ACCTCTAGTATTTTTAGGTTTATTATAGGGCCTTTAGTAAAGCCCTATATATTAACTATAGCTTTTATATTAATAAACTTACAGGCTTTTATAAAGTATATTAGGTAGTATTTATCTAGCGTAAAAACTGCTCTATACTTTCTTGCCTACTTTATATACTAGTTATATGCCTGTTTAATAGCCCTATAGTTTTTTTCTATACTTTTACTATATATAAAGATATTTATATTATTAATAAACCTATAGGCTATTATATTACTATACTATAGTATTAGTAGAAGTATACTAGTAAAGAAAAGGAAAAGTATTAGTAATAGGGAGAAGCTCTATAGTATTCCTATAGTAACTATAATAGGTTCTGCTATAAAGTTTCTAATAGTAAGCCTTATAGTACAGTTCTATAGGAAAAACCTTATAAACCTAACTATTTACTCCGGCACTTATTAAATCTATAGGTTATATATTATATATTTATATAATATATAGTTAAACGCCCCTAATATATCTAGGCTAAAAAGTAATACTATAAGCTATAGATTTCCTTTCTATATAGTATAAATTTATTTAGTAAAAAGCTTAAGTACTATTTATATTAAACGTTTTAGTTATACCCCTATTTAACTAGGTAAAAGCATATTCTTTTCTTCCGTAATTTTTAATAGCCGTATAGCTATAATCCGTTTAAATAGCTTACCTATTATTTCTAGTAGGGTAATTAGCCTATAGGCTTTTACTATTATATAGAACGCTTTCTAGGGCTTATATAGCACTACTATAATAGAATTTTTAAACAGCTAAAAATAGTATCCTTTATATAGGTATTTTATAAAAAACCGAGCTAGTATAGGCGCTAGCTATATTTTATACTTCTTAAGAAACCTATTAGTAATTCCTATAATACCCGGGGCTTTATCTAGGGCAGTTTCTATTAGCGCTAAAAAAATATCCTTAATTATAATATCTAGTATAGTATTATATAGTTCCGGGTATTAGAACTCTTTTAAGTTAAATAAGTCTATATTAGCCGGAGGCGGAAAAAACTGCTTTACTAGTATACGTGCTTTTATTTTATTATCTATATATAGAGTAGGGTTTTTAGGTCTTAAAAAAAAAGGAAATTAAGGCGGAGGTTTTAATTCCTTACTAGCTATATAGCTCTAATTAGCCAGCTTTTATATACTTTTTAGGTTTTTTATTACTTTTTCTACTATATAGCGCTATATTTTAGTACTCTCCTTTTATATAGTTTTTTTTTTATAGTTATACTAGATATAGTATAATATCTAGTTCTCTATAAATTATAATAAGCGCTATATTTTATACGCTCTCCTAGTTTTATATACTTTTTCTAAGTATTTTTCTAACTATACCGGTAATACCTGTTTTAATAGCCTTATAATAGGTACTATAGCAGTAATTATAGCCTATATATATTTATAGAGAAGGTATACGAATTTATTAAGGTTCTCCTTCGTGTTTTAAAAGTTATTTTAGTTATCTAGCTTATCTAGCTAGGTTTAGAGGTGCTCCCGCGCTTTTTTCTAGTTAGTATTTTTCTATAGCTAATATTATAGCTATTTTACTGTGCTTAGTAGAGTAATATTAAACTTTATATATATAAGGCGGTAATCTAAATTATAGTTCTATTCCTTTTATACTATATAGGAAATAGTTTATTCTATTAGCTATTTTATTATAAATATAAGGTTAATTATAAACTATAATATTTCTTTTACCTATATTTCTATACTTTTCTCCGTAGCTAGGTCTATTCCTGCTTCTATTATAATACGGATAAGCTTTTTCGCTTACTTTTCTATATTTATTACTTATATTCCTTCCTATAATAGGTAATATAGGTTTATATTACCTATAAAAACGTGCTCCGCGTTATTATTATTTAGCAGTAAAAGTAGTATAGCTATAATTTCGTTTAGTTTCGGGTTATAGATATTATAAATTTAGATATCCTTTCTACTAGTATAGAAAAAAAGGGTAATAAGGTTTAGTAAGTAGTGCTCTACTAACTACTAGTTAATATTAAGGTTTTTATTAATATATATATACGTTTTTATATATAGGCTTCCTCTATATAAAAAGTAATAGAACTTTATATAGAGTATTATATACTTTTATTACTATATATTCTTTTATAGCTTTTATATTACTAGTACTAGTAGTTAAGGCTAGGCTTTTTCCGCTTTTTCTAGGAACTTTTTTTAGGTCTTGCGGCTTTTATTAATATTATACTATATAATAGTAAGTATACTAGGTTATTTTAATATTAAACTATATCTATAGTATTTATAGTATTTACTATACCTATTTCGGCGCGTAGTTACTAGCTTATATTATTTTTCTATAAAAATAGTACTTAGGTAATAGTTTTAAGTTATAAAAGTCTATTTATATTTCTATATATTATTAATTAAGTTAATTAGGTTAGAGGCTATAAAAATAGTAATATAAAGTAAGAAGTATATAGTATTTAAAAAGGCGTTAGATAGGAAAATTGCTGTGTTAAATAAGTAGTCTATATTATTCTATTAATCTTCGGCTAGCTTAGGTTTTTATTAAAATACTTAAATATTTTTAGTTATTCTACTTTCTTTAGTACTATTAGCGCTAGCTTTAGTTCTATACTGCCTTTATATACGTTATTATTAGCAGCTTTTTTTTTTCCTAAACTAGGTTAAAGTTATATATACCTCTAGCAGGGCCTAGAGCGTGTATAAGCTTAGCCCTTTATTAGTATTATATTAGTATAGTATTGCCTACTTTTTTAATATAGCCTATAGCTAGGCCCCTTTTTTTATACTATATTTAGTACTATATACTAAGTGGTTTTTCTTATAGTTAGCGCACTTTTTAGTATCTATTACTATATATTATTTTATATTATATTCCCCTATATATACTATATATCGGATATTCTTTTTATAGTATTTTATAATATACTTATAGCCCTGGTATCTAAAGTACTATATAGCTATAAAGCCTACTTTATATTTTAAGGCTATTAGTAATTATCTACTTATTATAAATTCCTTTATAATAGCTTTATCTGCTATTGCTTCTATATATACGCTGGCAATAATTAAGCTAGTATATTAGCCTAGGTTCTCTCGCGCAGCTTTTATACCCTTTTTATTCTTCTACATTATTTTCTTAATAACTAGGCCTAGGTTAATTATCGTGTTAGCCCTAATAATATTATTTTTAAGTATTTAGCTTTCTAGGTTTAAGTTTTTAGGTACTTTATATACCTCTATTAGCACTACAGGCAGTTATATATATGCCGTTTTGCCTAGCACCTGCACCTATTTCCTTTTCTTAAGCAGTGCTTCCTTTATAGCCTTATCCGCGATATATGCCTTAACGTTTCTACTCTGTAGCTTCCTTATACCGCTAATCTTTGTTATGTCCGGTGGTCCGGCTGCTTAAAGCTTCTGGGTGATAGTTATATTTATATCTGCTGCGGTTGTGGTTCGCTCGTTGTTATCCTCGATATAGATGGTGATTTCATGGACATTTATAGGTTGCCCTGCATACTGCCTATTTCCTGCTGCCTTCCCGTATTGCGCAGCCATGCCGCTTAGCATGGCTAATAGTGTTGTGCCTGCTGCTGCTGCGGCATACGTCTTCCCGTGCGTTGACAACGCGTGTACCTCCTTTTTCGTGTCCTCCATCATCTTTATCAGCTTTTTCCATGGTGTCTGCCGTAGGTCGATCGCGGTATCCGAGAGGCCGAACAGGACGCGTCCTGCAAAGTCGTAGAGGGTTTGGACGATCGCATTCATCTCGAGGGATTGGATTGGCTTATTCCGCAGGAGGTCTTGTATGCCGTGTGCTTCGTTGACGAGGTCTTGGACGTCCTGGTGGACGTTCTTGATGGGCTTCGGGTTTTGGTGTTGGTTTTGGCGTTGTTGTTGTTGTTGTTGTTGTTGTTGTTGTTAATGGTGTTGCTGGGGCGGCTGCGCGTTAGGGGTCGCAATTCGCGGTGTACCTACCGCGACGCCGCCGGCACTACTTGTAGGGCTTTAAGGCTGCGTACAATTGTTCGCAGGGCCTTAGATAGCCCCTAGGGGCCCTTCTTAGGTTGTATTTCCAAGATGCTGTAGGGTTAATTGCATCGTGTTTTTTACCGGCCTTACTAATACTTAATAATAGCAGGATTAAGTATATCTTTAAACGGGCTAAAAGAAATAGCCGGCTACTATATACCTAGCTAAGTAAACTACTAGTAGTAATCTATTTTATCCGGTTATATATAAAGTACTAAATTTAGAAAAGTAGTAGTAAGCGCTTAGTATAAAGGTTTATAAAGCTTATAAGCGTATAGTATACTATATATTAATATAAAAGTATAAGTATAGTTATTTAGGTTATATTTATTTAATTTTACTATTACTTTTTAAAAAAAGTAAATACCTGCAGTATAACCTTTTAATATAAATTACGGAATTTAACCTTTTTAATATAATACGAAGTGTAAGTATAATATTTAGCTAGCTAGTTTTTATTTTTAAACTTTATATTAAGGATAAAGTTTTATATATTAAGGAAAATATTAAATAAATAGCTAGTTAATACCTAAAAAAAGCCTTTAAGCAGGCTATACACGCTTTTATTCCGTAATATAATACTATAAAAAACTTAGTTAGTATTATATACCTAAATTTATATTTACTTAACCTAAATTTTAATACTAAAATATATAAATTTAAAGCCTAAACTTTATATAGGGCTTATTAATATATAGAAAAAGCAGTACTAAAAAGGGTAAAAAAAAAGCTTAAAAATTAATTAAGAAATAGAATATAAGCAGACACTTATATAGTTCTAAAATATTAAGCTATTTAAGTATAGTAAGTTGCCTAGAACTACTTATATAGCTACTACTTTTTTTCTATATACTTTATAAGGCTAGGCCTTTTATTATAGTTATTAAAAAGCTTTTTCTAGGCTTTATTAAATTAGTTAAAGAGCTTTAGCTTCTATATAGCGGTCTAATAAATAAGGAATTTATTCTTTTTCTTTTACTGCTTTTTTTCCTTTACTTTCTTCTATTCTTCTATATTATTCTCTATTAGCGCATTAGTATAGCCTATAGGAAATATTAGTTTATTCTTATATACCTTAGCTAGCTTAGTATTAATATTCTTTTTAATATACTATATATATAAAAGGCGCAGGATAGTAGGCTATTATTTACGTAGTATATTTTTTAGAGCTTATTCCTTATCTATTAAGAAAACGCGTAGCGTAATAGAATAGCGTTAAAAGAGCTTAAAAAGCTGCTGTACTACCTAGTTATAGTTTACTTTCTTCTCTCTAGGAATAAAGCAGTAGCTAATTTTAAAGTTGTTACTTATATATATTACACCGGTTATATAGAGGAATAGTATACCGAATCTATTTATCTTATACGTGCAGTCTATTAGTATAATATTGTAGTTTAACTATAGAATTACAATAGAATCCGGATAAGTAAAGAAAAGGTGATTAATCCGGTTCGAGAGGTCCTTTGTATAGCTGTATACGTACTTCCTCTCTCGGCCGTTAGGTGCAGGGAATGTAGATGTTTCTAGTGTATTGAGGAGGGCTTGTATAGGCGTGAGGCCACTAAGAAGCTCCTCACGGTACCGGGTTCGCTCGTTCCTGATGTCCTGCACGTTGATAATAACCCCCTTCTTCAATAGCTTTGTATACGTCTTATTAGGCTTCGTTCCGCTGGATGCATCCGTTCGAATAAGGCGATTTGTTGAGGCTGAGCGCTTCCTATTGCATGCGGCTGCCGTAGGTTTGAGCATAGGATGATGGTCGTTGTGAGCTGCCTCCTTCGTCTCCCATAGCCATGGACGTGCACCGTCATAGGCATAGTTAGGAGGCTGCCGAGTGAGCGTACCGTGCATCATACAGTCTACTTTGTTAGTAGCTGTACGGCGCACGCGTGCAGTAGACTCTGGATTGCCGTTGAAGCAGCATTTGAACCATATTTTTCTTGTTTCCTCTCCTCTCTTATCACTCTTGGAGCGATACCTTACAAGCCCGTAGCCGTGCGCCTTTGCATGCTCTGTGAGCGCATACTCGGCTTCCTCTACGGTGTTGTAGAACCGTTGCGGTGGCGGCTGGAGGGCCATGGCGAGTGTATTGTGGAGGTGGAGGTGGAGGATGAGGATGAGGATGTAATTGCTTGTATACACGCCGCATTTGGAGAGAGCATTTGGAATTAGCGAGTAAGCTTAGCGAGCGAATCGGAAGCTCCGGCGCTGGCTCCGAGCCAATTAGAAGGTGGTGAAGCGCTAAGAGTGGGGCGGGGGGTGTGCGAATAGTAAAAAGGGGTGTGTAGTTAGTATAGGGGGGTGTGCGATTAGTAGCGCCCAATGAAAAAGCACGTATATTATTCTAACTAGAGTTAAGGTGGCCTGCTTATTAGGGCTAAACCTAACCCCTAATTCTAACGGCAATAAGGCTACTGTCCACTCGACTTCCCCGCTCGTATTAACTCGCTATTACCCTTTCTATTCCACACTACAGATACAAATTCCAACAACGCCAGCAACCGCGGATCTTGCATACTCGCTAAATACGCACTGTGGCTCTTCTCCTTCCACGCCCAGCACTTGCCTAGCAGTGCCACGAATGCCATCACGTCATTATCCGGTGGGTTGAGCAACGCTAACGTCGTCAAGAAACGCACCACTGATAGTGATTAAGTTCCAATCAAGATATTAAGATAGAAACTACTTATTATTCTTAAAGAATAGTTAGTAGAGCTTATAAGAAATTACTAACATAGATAGCTAGCCATTCATAACATCAACAGCGCCTTGTCCCTACAGTTCCCAGGTCTTACACTTCCGCAACCAACGCCGCAGGATCTCGCAGCGTCAAATAAACATCCAACCCACTCTGCACCGCCAGCCACGACGACGTAATCCTATACCGCCCCGCATCCACCACCCTGACCTCAAACCGCCTGAAAAACTCGGGCACAAACTTGGTCATCTCCAGCAACGCGATATTCTTCCCAACGCACGCCCGCTTCCCCGCCCCAAACGTGAACAGCAGCGCCTCCATCTTCTTCGCCTGCTCGCTCGACACCTCGAGCCACCGCTCCGGGCGGAACTCGTCGGCGTCCTCGCCGTACAGCTGCTTGTCGCGGTGCACGGTCCACGCATTGCAGCCCACGTTCGTGCCCGCGGGCAGATACACGCCGCAGAGCTCGACGCCGCCCTGCGGCACCACCCGCGGCAGGATCTGGGCGGTCGGCGGGTGGTAGCGCATGGCTTCTTTGAGGCAGGCCTGGTAGTACGTCATGCTCAGCCCCTCGGCCCAGGTGATCGGGGTGTCGGGGTCAGTATCCTTCGGCCGCGCCTTCATGACCGTGCTGATCTCGGCGACGACTTTGTCGAGGACCTGCTTCCGGGTTGTGATGTTGAAGACGAGCGTCCGCAGCATGATCGCGGTGGTGTCGGAGCCCCCGGCGACGTCTAAAGGTGGCAATAAGGTTAGCAAATCATTTAGAACCAGAGTGAGGAAACCATTGTTGATTTCTTGTAACAGGTACTGTTGCGTGAGATACTCCTTCAGGGGATTCCAAGACACCGCTGTGGTTGTCTCGAAACACTCCCTGAGTAGTTTTTCAAACAGACAAATTGCTGAGAAACTTTTCATCTGTGTCGGGGGCTTACGTACTGGTGTTGGTGTAGTCGTGCAGGAGGTCGTCGTCGACGATGTCGGGGTATTTCTGGCGCGCTTCGATGAAGCGGGAGAGGAGGTCGCGGCTGTTTTTCTCGGGGGACTTTTCGTGCTCTTGGATTTGCTTCAGGGTAAAGCTGAGGATGTTGCTTGTTGGCCGTAAGACGTGGAGTATTGGGTTTTTGATGCGGAAGTACCAGTCGAGGTTGGGGACTTGGCCGATCTGCTCATATTAGAGTTTAGAGTCAGTCGGACTTGGAACTTGAGTTAGACTCACGGTTCCGGTGTACGTCATGAAGTTAGCAGTGTGGTGCATCATATCGTTAATGTCCTGGCCGGTCTCTAGGAATCCAAACCGCTTGCTGAATGTAATCTCGCCGCTGCCTCATGGTCAGAACTCGAGTGAAGGCGGCGTGCGATCAGGAAACCTACATGACATCAAACGCGTACATCTGGAGCCATTGCCCAAGATTGCACTCTCGTCCTGGTCTCACAAACCTCTCGGTCATCTGATGCACGAATTCCTGCGAGGTGGAGTCAACGAGCGGTTCAAATTCGACCATAGTGCTCATGTTGTACGAGTTTGCGACCGGTTTGGTGATCCGGGTGTGCTCTTGTTCGTCCATAGTGGAGGCAAGATTGTGGACAAGCTGTCCTTGTGGACTGAGTTGTGCTTGTGTAGTATAAATTTGAGACTAGAAATGGAAGGTTAGTAAGTTGGCAGAAGTCAAGTTGCGTCAAGAGCGCGCCAACCTTGCGAAAGACAGGCTTCCAGCCATAAATCACGCGAATTGCCTCGGAGTCCGCAACTGCAACGGTATTCGGGCCTGTGCGCAGAATGGGAGAGTTATATTTTCGATGTAGAAGGTAGTCTTTGTGACCTTTGCTCGCGTAGGAGTGGTGTAACCGCCAAAAATCAGTCAACGACGCCAGGAAGGGGCCGGGGACCTTTCGCAGCCCCGTTCCATAGCGATTGACAATGAAATGAGTAACTAGGAGAAGCAGAAGGAGAGGCAAAGAATAGGCTTTCAGAAGCTCTGCCGGCGTAAGTATAACAGCCATGTCGAACCAGTGTGAGTTAGCATCAGCAGAATGATCAGGTCTGAAGAGAGCACGGAAATGTTGAAAGGGAGGTTCAGTCCATAAGCTGCATTGAAATACTTCAAGTCCACTCGCTCTTCACGGGAATATACAGCCTGCTCGTTGGAGGTGGAGGGCCTCCGTACAGCTGATTCGCTGAGCGGCCATGGTGTAGTGTGGGGAGCTGGATATCTGGGGTGCGGGGAAAGAGGATAAGACGGGGCTGCCGCCGATTCGCCTGCATCGAAGGTCCTTGGTCATCAACAACATACCGGCAGGCGAGAGAAGCTTTGGGAGGATTGTGGCGTTGTCGGCGGTCGCCGAGGGAAGCTTTGAGCACGCCGCTGGTGGACAGGGAAGGTTTCGGAAAAGCCTCTGAATCGTACACAGGCTAACCATCTCGGTCTACTCCGAAACCTGCACCGAAACCTCCGGTACGAACCCGGGTGCTCGGCAACGCCAGCATCGATAGCATCGATCTCAATACCCGTGACTCGGCGTACTCATACGTGCCTTCCAAGGTTCGTTTGACACGGACCTGAAAATAACCGTAGAGTAAGTCACGGAGGAAACCAGCCGTGCTTGATTGCAAGTACACGCGCCATTTCCATTTTCCCACCGCCGCATATTGTAGATTCTCTCCTAGATCTCCAGCTGCTCACAATGCCCACACCTCAACCACAGAAGACGCCCCTCTGGCAGCCAAACCCAGCCACAATATCCAACACGCCGGCCGCGAAATTCATACAAAGAACAAACAGCCAGCGCGGGCTCGATCTCACATCCTACAGCGACCTCCACAGCTGGTCCATCAACCCCTCCACCTTCCAGGATTTCTGGATAGATGCCTACACCTTCTTCGACATCGCGCCCAAAGGGCACAGCAAGGATCCCGGGCCCGCGCTTGAAAACACCCACTCCACGCTCTTCCCGCCGCCCAAGTTCTTCCCCCAGGCGAAGCTGAATATAGCCGAGTACCTGCTCCGCAACGGCAACGATGACGACACCGCCATACATTTCGTCCGGGAGGGCGTGGAAGGCGTGGAAAGAGTCAGCTGGGGCGCGCTGCGTGGGCGGGTGCGCGCAATGCGCGACGCAATGATCAGTCGTGGTGTGCGAGCGTCCGACGTCGTTGCGGCCGTCATTTCGAACTCGGTGGACGCGTTTGTGATTTGCCTCGCTGCGCTATCGATCGGCGCGTTGTGGTCGTCCGCGTCTTGCGAGCTGGGTGCAGAGGCCATTGTGGAGCGCTTCGGGCAGGTGAAACCGAAGCTGGTGTTTGCAGACGATGGGTATATTTATGGGGGCAAGTTGGTACGCCTAGGGGAGAGGATCGGGGATTGGTCGCACCGGCTGGCGGGTGGGAATTTGAGTGGTGTGGTGATTGTGCCGTATTGCGATTTAGGCATCGATACTGGCAGTGTTTATCGTGGTGAGACGATGAAGGACTTTATTGATGGTGGGGTTGGCCGTGAACTTGATTTTGACTATCTGCCTTTCAGCCATCCAGCTTTCATACTCTTTTCTTCCGGAACGGTGCGTCCCCCGGTTTATATGAATGGGGGTTGAAGCTAACTCTTTTGCAGACGGGTGCTCCCAAGTGCATCGTTCATTCTGCAGGGGTAATTAGCCCATTCCATGCCCGCGCCGTGCTCGACTGACAGCTTGCGCAGGGAGTCTTGCTCAAAGTGAAGACCGATTCCGTTTTGCAGCACGATATGCGCGATACGGACATAGCGTTCCAATACACAACCGTAAGCTCCGGAAAGACGATCGACGAAGCACAATTCTGACGATGCAGCAGACTGCATGGGTAATGTGGGTGTTGAACTTCGTCAATCTCTGTTCCGCCAAATCGTTGATGTTGTACGACGGATCGCCATTCCATCCAACACCCGGAGTCCTTCTGAAGCTTGCAGAAGATATTGGGTAATGGCCTCCGTAACGGCAGTTGTAGCGCTAGCTAACAAAGTTTAGAGTGTCTGTATTCGGCACCTCGCCCAGATATTTGGCCGAGATCAGAGCTCGCGGCATCGTGCCTAGTAATCATCCGCTAGACATCTCATTCAGCTTCCCTACTAACTCGTTGAAGGGAAGTCCCATAATCTAGAGCACTTGAGGACAGTGACTTCGACGGGTGCGGTTCTTTCTGCTGATATGTACCACTGGTTCTACGAGACGGCGTTCCCGCCCAGCGCTCATTTGGTTTCAATGAGTGGGGGAACAGATATTGCTGGAAGCTGTAAGTCCATCTTTCAAATGCTCAAATAAAGATGATATCGCTTACTAGCCTAGTCGTTGGGGGAACCCCCTTACTTCCTGTATACCCAGGTGAGATTCAAGCCAAAGCGCTAGGTATGGCTGTGGAAGTCTTCGACGCATCTGAAGACAGCGGCGTGCCCATCAAGTCAGCTGGGCTCCCTGGCGAACTCATCTGCACCAGGCCATTCCCGAGCCAGCCTCTTGAATTCTTCGGAGCCGGAGGCGTCGAAAGGTACCGCAAGTCGTACTTTGAGCGATTCGGCGACAAGGTCTGGTGCCAAGGCGATTTCATCCTAGTGGAGGAAGATACGCAGGGGCTCATCATGCTGGGAAGATCGTGAGTGCACGCTGTAGCGCGCTTTCAACTGCCATACTGACAAACTAGGGACGGCGTACTCAATCCTTCGGGTGTTCGTTTTGGCTCAGCAGAGATCTACGCGGTCACCGAAATGTTTAGTGAGATCGAAGACAGCATCTGCGTTGGTCAGAGAAGAAAGATCGATGCCGACGAACGCGTTCTTCTATTTGTGAAAATGAAGCCCGGCCAAGCGTTCGGCGAGGAATTGGTGACGAGAATAAAGCAGGCTATACGGCAGAAGTACTCAACGCGCCATGTCCCGAAGTTCGTTTTTGAAGTCGCTGATATTCCGCATACGGTAAACGGGAAGAAGTGCGAAATCAACGTCAAGAATATCGTTAGCGGACGAACGGTAGCTGTAAGCGGGACAGTGGCGAATCCACGTAGCTTGGATGAGTATCAGGAGTACGTGAAGCTCCCCGTCGAAGGGGAGAAGCTTGTCTCGCGAACAAGCAAGCTATGAGGTCATTCTTCATTCAGATGGCGAAGCCGCTAGTCGTAATGTAAAATACAGCCTCTGTATAGATACAGTTAATTAGATCAAAGACATAAAGATTTCCGCTTTCAACGACGTCAATTCTGCAGGTTGCTCTCATGTTGCATCGGTATTCCGTACGTTGGTTGTTGAACAAACGTGTCATCGAACGGCCAATCCTGAGAAAAGCCCGTCACAAGCTCGCTCGGAAAAGTCTGGTCGTCCGAAAACATCCCGTCAAACGTTTCTGAGTACTGTCTGAACTCATCGGCGACAAAGAAATGATCGCCTATTGGTATTTGATCCATCGCCATGCCAAAATCGTTGAAATTGGTTGGTGCCGTGCTGTGTTGTTGCGCGCTAGCTTGAGTCGGACTCGTTTGATTCTGGACCTGTCTAGAGTTTTGGTCTAGAGTATAGGTTTGGTTGAATGTCCTATGGTGGTGCTGTTTTGCTGCGTCGTTGACCGCGTCGCGGATGACGGCGTTGCTGAGCCGGTTGAAGAGTTCGCAGGACCGGCGGACAACGTTCCATCGCTCGCAGATGGCTACTAGGACGTTCGAGCAGGCGCGGGTATCGTCGATGATTTCTAGATATGCTGGGACTGGCAAAAGTGGCGTAGGATCCTTCAGGGCGCGACCGACGCAGTATACATACGCAAGACCAGCGAGGAAGACCCCGTGCAACGTTATCCAAGAATAATTAAGGCGCCTCTTACTATGCAGCTCCGCATATGCATTGATAGTACTTTTGGCGGCGGTGAATAGGTGCAAGAGATCCCCTTCTTCATTGCCTTGATTTGCCGAGTTCGTGGGATGGGGAAAGGATGGTGAGGGTCGGTAGAGGAGAAGCATGGCGTTATTGTAAACAGCTGTGTACCACTCCTGAGACAAGAAGCAGGATTTGAAAGAGCCGTTATGTTCGGGTTTAGCAACCAAGTTGAGGTGCACGGTGTCGTCCTTCCATTTGACGACTTGCTCGTGTAGTTCGTGTCGAAGTTTTCGTTTTTCGTCGTAAGTTAGATAAGGGTTTTGTCTCGCAGCATAAAATGCCACCAGAATCTCTCCAGATAGACGACGGATGCGGATGAGGTGCAAGAATGGAGATGATCTCAAACCAGTGGCCTGTCCTTGAGGGAGCGGTTTGCCAGGGCCGAATTCAGAATCATCGAGATACGAAGGTAACGAGACATCGATGTCCTCGTCTTTGATAGCGGCTGGACGACCGAGCGTGAAGCTTACGACCCTGTGGACGAAGTATTAGTAAAGCAGCGTCTCGATGGATACTTCAGCAACTTACCGATCAAGGTTGTATAGGCACCAAAAGCACCGTCGATTCATCTCTTCTTCGAACGTCACGAGCTTAGGTTGCGCTTCTCCGAAGTTACCAGAAGGACGCGGTTCGAGATGGAGCCCCATCTCATAGCATATTCTCACGCCAATTCCTATTAGATGCCATATGCTAGCGCTGGTGTCTTTGAGATTGCTAAATATGCCGTGTTGTGAGAGGAGGATGATTGCCCGAAGTGGCCTCAAGCTAGGCATTCCCAATACAGTAGGCAATTTTGTTTGTGCCCGAGAGTAATGGGTTGCCGAGCTAGCTGATGCGTCTCCGAATCGATTGAAGTTAGAGCTTCCGATTGACAGAACCATGTCGAATACGTATGCATCGTATATATGTGTTGCATAATAGTCTGGATCGCTATATATCTGGTCGACGGTACGGAGAAAGCTTGTGCGATGTAGCAGCGGGAAAGTGATGTGCGTGTGTTGGAAATATGCCTCTATGAAAGGCATCGCCGATTGTCGTGGAGGCAGTGAGCTATCCACGCAAGGGCCGGCAGTGTTGAGAGGACCGGGGGGATTCGCATCTCTCATGTCCGTGGGCAGCAGTGTGAGCCCCGCGCCTTCGTCAACCATATGACTGATGATGCTGGCTAGGCCGATGCCGCTACTAGAGCCGACATAACGCGTCTCACCTGTGGCTTTGAGTGACAGATAGCCCACTTCAGTGCTGACCGCATCTTCGGTCGATCCTGGGGTATTGTCTGTGCTGGTTGGTTGCTCAACGACAGGACTATCGGTGGATCTTCGCGCGTCGGTCCGGCCCTCGTTCATGACGGGGTTGGCATCATAAGAACCTTGATTCCATCCGTTTCCATTGACAGAGTTAACGGCGCCTTGCGGACTTCCACTGAGTCCAGCATCAAATCTTCCCGCCTCGTCTTGGCTATCGTTCATGACAGGATTAACACTGTAGGAGCTTTGGTCCCAACTCTGCGCCCTAGGGGAGTTGATGGTGGCTTGCGAGCTTCCACTGTTTCCAGGGCCAATGGAACTGCGCAGCGTAGCCAGTTCCTGCCTCAGTCTGGCGTTCTCTTCTGCTGTGGTTTGCAGCCTGCTTTCAATTCCATCAACATAACCACGGGGCATGTGCCGTTGCCTCAGCTTGTCCCGGTGTAGACATTGAGCTCCAGCCTTTTCGCAAGCTGTGCAACTTGGTAGCCGGCGGTCACAGCGCGTCTTTCGAGAGTGGCAACGATCGCAGGCCTGCATGCTTCGACGTCCAATGGACTTTCAATCGTTGGTTGACGTGTCTAGGTCGTTTGCAAAGTAGTGATAGAACATGAGGGCAAGTGTGTAGTGGAGGTCTGGGGGTCTCTCACGTCGACGTTGGACTAAGGTTAGCCTATGTAGTCGGCAGATTGTCACCTGGGCAGATCCCCGCAATTCAAGACCCTCCCCGCTTCCCCAATAGCGCCCCTTCCTCCGCGCCACAGACGCGAGGGCAAATCTCGACCATTCTCATCAGAATCATCTTCCACTTGGCAAGAATTCAGGCTATTCTATGTCAGGGAACTGCTTTTTGTTCCTGACTGCGAGGCCTCAAATTCTCCTTTATCTCAATGCAAATGCATGAGAATGACAATTGAAGTAATATCACGGATGATTGCAGATTCTTCTCATTTTCTATCATGACAGAACATCTATAGATTGCTATTGTAATTACAAAGCCTCGAAAGTAGCTCAATGGCTAAGTTCACGGTAGTAAATGATCTCCCTGTAGCTCTTGTAGATCTAAATTGCACAGCACATCTAGAGACGATAGTCGAGCAACTGGGTGGCTGTGCAGTGTGATATACCTGGAGGAAATAGGTGCTCTACTCTTAATACCTTGATGGCTTAGATTGCAGGGCTGCTGTGTTCATACTTTAAAAACAACTTTGCGGGCTTGGTATTTCTCAAAAATGTCATACCCATGAGGTGCTTGCGCCAACGGTATCTCGTGCGAAATGAAAGCTGCGACCTTGTCCTTGTTTTTCCTTAGACACTCCAGCGCCTCTGGGAATAGCGTACTGATCGGTGCCCGCCCGAAATTCAGCCTGTGTATGAAGGTCAGCCATTGGCCCAGACGCAAAAGCACATGCCTTTGAGAACTTACGTCACATTCTTCTGGTACGCTTCGAACGCTGTGAAGGGAAGCTCGCTCTGGTGGAATCCTATCGATGAGATGATGCCGCACACTCGGACTAGATCGATAGCAGACTTTAGTGCCGGTTTGTTGCCTACTACTTCGACTACCGCGTCGGCACCACGCCCATCTGTAGCTTTCATAACAATGTCTGGGATATCGTCGCGGCCGAGCTTCAGCGGTATTCCACCCACAGCTTCCGCTTCTGCTAGTCGCTCGTCCACGGCATCTACTACGTATACGGTGCCGACGCCTTTAGTTATTGCGGTAATAACTGCGCATATGCCTACGGGTCCGCACCCTAGAACCACAAATACGGTGTCTTTCAGCGCCTGGGGCTCAAAGGTTGCAGCTCGCTTCTCAAGGGTTGATCCGTTCTGGATTGCCTGGGGTAGCAGAGGTTTACCGATGAATTCGATCGCTCTCATTGCGCCGTAGTATCCTGTTGGGAATATGTCGCACATCATGACCAGGAGACGTTCATCTAGATTGGGTGGAACATGCTGTAATGTGCCTTCTGCAAACGGGACACGAACGTATTCGGCCTGGCCACCATCAAGTTGCTGGGTACCAAACGCGAGAGAGTTGGCGCAACGATTTCCGAGTCCACGTTGACAAAACCAGCAGGTTTGGCTGTGGCGTTTTTTTAGCATTCGCTACTGGGTAGTGGATTGTGGAAGCTCACCATACTGTCGCAAATACAGACACAACTCTGTCCCCAGGCTTGTATTTGGTCACCTTCGGGCCCACAGAATCAACTACGCCAACAAACTCATGGCCCTGTGCGCATATCTGGATAAGCTGGTGCTGTGCTGTGCCTCGATGCAGCTTCACATACCATGATATGTCCAGTCTTGGTCTTTTGATGACCTCTGTACATATGCAATTCGCTATCGTCGAGAATAGTCAGAATTGGTCCTCGCGGCAGAAGACTGGAAAACAGACATACCTGCCGCAGAGTCCTGCGAGCTCCACTTTCACCAGGGCATCCGTATCATCCTTGATGGTGGGTTTGGGCCGTTCTTCGACCTTCACGTCGAAAGCGCCATGGAACACCACTGCCTTCATAGACATATTGATCAAGCTGGAGCGTCAAACAGCGATCAGTGTATGCTGAAAGGCGATTGAGGCTCTAGAAATCACAATCTGATAGCCGCGGAGCAACAGTTTCGGTTCTGAGATAGCCGCGGACGCGGTCGCGCGTTTTGATGTTTGTTAACGAGGGAGTCGAAATCCGCGCAGCCGGGTACCCCTACATGCCCTTCCGTCTCTGCCATGCAGGCGTCATCCCGTGATGAAGCATGTGAGGAACTAGCGGGCCTGAGCCGTGGTTGTTCCACTGTTGGTGTCAGACAAGTGGATCGGATTGGCACATGATGGCTTTCGTGATGGGAGCGGCTGGAAACATGGCTGGCGGTCTCCACGCGGTTCCCACGAAATCTGTCCGCCCGGCAAGAAAGCCGGACGCGTCTCGCGGGGTAGGATGGAGAAGAGTGGAGCATGGCGAAGACCGTCCAGGGGCTTTGCTGTGGGTCGTCGGCGAACGCCTAGTGTGTCTTCCCCTCAATGAGCCCCCTGCACCTCGGCCATCCTGCCGTCTGGATATCTCCACATCTTGACGCATCACAATGGTGGGGTTCTCGAGGCTGGCGCGGCGCACTTTACACCGAGGTTGCAGTGTAGTTTCTGCAGTCGTCATTGCTGGTGGCTGAGACACTTTGGAACTGTTCTGATAGTCTGTCGTCGACGCGTTCTGTCGCATAGTTAACACCTCGTCTCATAATGTATACTGTTCAATCAGCTACCGAGTATACCAAGTTGTTTATCGATGGAGAGTACGTCGAGTCCCGCTCGGGGGAGAAGCTTGAGCTCCGCAATCCCAAGGACGACACCATCGTAACAAGTCACGTGCCCATCGCCGGCGAGGAAGACGTGGACAAAGCTGTAACTGCTGCCGAAGCCGCGTTCAATGGTCCATGGGGTGGATTTTCGGGGGCAAAGAGAGCGGAATGTTTGGTGAAGCTGGCTAGCTTGTTGGAAGACTATCTTGAACCAATATTGACACTGGACTCCTTGACGACTGGAAACCCCATCTCCATCATACCGACGCGTGAGAAAAACTATATCAAAAACTGCCTTTTATACTACGGTTTGGCTCACATTCCTGCCTGCATATTTGCACATCACTGAAACATAATTTTAGCTGGCTGGACCGACAAGCAGAGGGGCGACTACTTCCCGGCCGACGATGGCTTTGTGAAACTCGTGAGACATGAGCCTCTTGGGTATGCCCATCCTATGGTATGCGTTGCTGCATTATATTGCTAATCATGGTTCTTCGTCAGTGTATGCGTCGCAATCAATCCTTACAACTCGCCGGTTGCATCTTTATTCGTCAAGGCGGCACCATGTCTGGCAACTGGAAATGTCCTCATAGTCAAGCCCTCAGAAAAGTCGCCATTAGGCTCCCTCGCCATTGCTCCTTTGTTCGAGCAAGCAGGCTTTCCCAAAGGCGTCGTTCAGGTTCTCAGCGGGGGCGGTACAACTGGGGCACTGCTGTCAAAGCATATGAGAGTCAGAAAGGTCAGAAGCATCATCTTGAAGGATTTAGACGTCCATATCACTGACTTGATCGTGTATAGATAAGTTTCACAGGCAGCGTGGCTACAGGAAAGAAGATCCAGATTATGGCTGCTCAAAGCAACCTGAAACGGGTGACCCTCGAGCTCGGTAAGCATCAATCGCAAACGTGAATTATATCCAGCTTATTGGATTACGAATAGGGGGAAAGAGTCCGGCCATTATTTTTGAAGACGCAAATATCGAAAACGCTCTAACTTGGTTAGTCTCACACGAAACTTTCAATGGTAACATCACTGACTGTCCGCTCAAACCGTAGGACTATCAACGGTATTTTGGCGCGATCAGGTCAAGTCTGCGTCGCAGCTTCACGAGTCTATGTGCAAGAAAGTATAGCTAGCGAATTCATCCAGGCCTACAAGGAGAGGATGCAGGCAGCGGCAAAGCAACTAGGAAATCCACAGGATCCTCAGACCACTCTTGGACCTCTTGCTGATGCAGCCTCTTTCGAAAGGGTGAAAGCCATGGTAGAACGCGGCAAAACCGAGGCCGAGTTGCTTGCGGGTGGCAATCAACAAGGCGACAGCGGTTGCTTCATGGAGCCGACGGTTTTTGTGAACCCAAAACCAGACGCCCAGATCTTACTCGAAGAAGTCTTTGGACCAGTGTCTGTGGTCATGACGTTCAGGACAGAGGAAGAAGTCCTGGCGCTTGCAAACGACACAGAGTTTGGTCTAATGGGAGGTGTCTTTACCAGGGATATCACTCGTGCGCTGCGTGTTTCGGCGAAAGTGGAGTCGGGGGTAGTAGGAATCAACTGTATAAGCGTCGTGAGTCTACTCCGGTCGACTGTGAAGAGTGCTTGCTAATGTTGCTCAGATGAACCTCCAAGTCCCCTTTGGGGGGAAGAAGTCGTCGGGAATAGGCAGAGAATTTGGTGAATACGTAAGATGACCTGATTCCTGTTGATATGTAAATGCTAACCGGGTCCTCGCACAGGCTTTGAGAGCTTTTACGGAACCAAAAACCGTTTTAATAAAGTAAGTTTGTTCAGCCAGAAGGGTTCGTATTGCTAACGGTACACAGCATGAACGCATAGGAGAGGCCGAAGGGGGAGGAAAGCGGAGGCTCTTGCCATATATGCATGTACAAGATACTTAGAATCAATCGTGGAATGACCATCACAGGGATTTGGGAAGCCAAAGACTTTGCAGACGACATCCGAACTTCTGTTTGTTTGACGTAGTTAGCTATTATCACCTGCTAAATCGTATCACGTGACACTTGCCTTACCACAGTAGTCACCCATCCTTACAGGAATAGTTCATCAGTGCACTATTTCCTGACTCGTATACTAGCCCAATCCACACGGTTAGCTTAGCCGAATATTGTCCCGCTTCTGCAAGAAAGACTAGACGTCCAACGCATCCTCTCGGCCTTTGCCGCTCACGCGCATGACTTCGCGTCAGGGTGCCCCTCCATCACCGACTGCGGCGAAGGTCCGTCCGAAATCTGCTGCAAAACGGTACCCAGATATGCGGAGCTCATTGGTATGCAACATGTGCATGAAAGTAACGTACTACCACGGAGGTCTCCTCGGCTATCTCAACCCTTAGCATAGTGTGTAGCACGCCGGGTTTATATCCTTGATGTACTTACATTCAAACTTACTGTATACTTTCGTCTGATTGCTCTCTTCGCTCTCACTCATCAAACTACGCCATGCCTGCAGCCACAATCTCGGAGCCCAAGCGGCCAATCATTATTGGAAATGTCGCTGGGGCAATGGAAGACTGTCCGTATGCAATGTGAGTATCTACGAAAGAGCAAGTTCCCGGAGTTCATGACTGATATGGATCTAGGCATCGCATGGTAACCGAGGGTTACTTGGACGCAATTACCGGCGACTGGCTCTCCGAGTTGAACATTGCGTGGAATGCCATCAGGAAGCACGATGATCCAACCAAAGGGTATGAGGTTGGCTTTCTAGAACAACTCGACGACTGTATCGACATCATTGCGGAGAAGAAAATAAAGCTTGTGAGCAATGCGGGCGCTCTCAATACCCCAGAATGTGCGAAGAAAGTTCGAGAGATTTGCGAGAGTCATGGTCACGGCCATCTCAAAGTTGCGTATATTGAAGGAGACGATATCACTGAGTACGTGACAAACCCAAAGAAGCAGCAGGAGATAGGAGGCATCGTCCACCTGGATCATCAAGAGCAGAAGTTAGACTCGTGGGACGAGAAGCCATACTGTGGCGTGGCCTACTTTGGGGCCTGGGGCATCGTGGAAGCTTTACGCAATGGTGCCGATATAGTTGTCTGTGGCCGGGTTACGGATGCTAGCCCAGTCATTGCTCTGGCAGCATGGTGGCATAACTGGAGCTATGATGCTTGGGATGCATTGGCAGGAGCGCTCATCGCCGGCCGTGAGTTGAACCAAAGCTTTCATTTGATCAATCATTAACACTTGCACACAGACCTTGTTGAATGTGGACCATATGTCACTGGCGCGAACTTCTCAGGCCTGCGGACTCATATCGACGGCCTCGTTGATCTCGGCTTCCCAATTGCAGAAATCGCGCACGATGGAACGACCGTCATCACCAAACATCCGGGCGCTAATGGGTACGTTGAAGAGCTCAATGTGCGCGCTCAATTTCTTTATGAGATCCAAGGCACCAAATACATCAACTCCGATGTCACAGCAGATATCGAACATGTGCAGATTGAAGATACAGGCGAGAAAGACCGTGTCCGCGTTTCTGGTGCCACTGGATCACCTCCACCGCCAACCACCAAGGTTATCACGGTTGCAATCGGAGGCTACCAGGCGGAGGCAACATTCTACATTAATGGACTGGATATCGACTTGAAAGAGAGATTCATGCGTCAGCAGCTGGAATATGCTTTTCGGGACGCCAACTTTTCGGAACTGAGCATCGAGAGATACGGCACTGCGGCAGTGAACCCTCGCAATCAGGCATCAGGCACGGTATCCATCAGGGTGCTCGTCAAAGGCAAGAAAAGGGAAGACATTGACGAAAAAGTCTTCCGACAGCATCTTTATGCTTTACGGATGCAATTTTATGCCGGTAAGCCCGGAATACGCCTTCTCCTTGATACGCTGTTGACTAAGATGTGTTGTGTAGGATACCACATGTCGCTCGATTTCCGTACCATGGTCCCCAAAATGTTCATGCAGCTGTTCCCTGGCCTTGTCTCTTATACCAAGCTCCCTCACCGGGTAGTGTTCCCGGACAAAACTATCAATATTGAACACCACGGAATCACGCAGCCGGCGCTAGGTAAAAGACCTAGCAAGGAGACCGCCAGACCCATACCTTTGGAAGAATTTGGTCCCACTAAACCAGCTCCGTTAGGAGCCGTTGCTCATGGCCGGTCTGGTGATAAAGGAGATAACTGTAATGTCGGGTTGTTTGCTCGCAACGCCGAAGAGTACAGCTGGTTGCAAAGCTTCTTGACTGTTCCTCGTATTAAGGAATTACTAGGGGAGGATTGGAAAGAGTCTGTCTCCGTTGAGCGATGCGAATTTCCACAGATCATGGCAGTACACTATCGTCTTTTAGATTTCCTTGGAGGCGGAGGCGCCAGTAGCACAAGGATTGACATGTTGGGCAAAGGTGTTGCCGAGTACATTCGCAGCAAGACTGTGGATATACCAGTGAAGTTCCTTGACAATCCAATTTCATGGGTTGAGTGAGGCGAATGAAGATGACTTTTGGTATTTTCAGCGATAGAAGGAGCTATCAACCCTTGCAAACTGCTTCCCACCTAGCCAACGAAGCTGCGCTGTATTCTACTAGACAACAAATACGTATTGATACGAGTTTTCAACGCCAAAATCTTTGGACTAGCAAGCAAGGTTTCATCGCGTAGGAATGCGCTTGAATCTCATTCTGTCATGTTCAACTGAATGCGATTTTACGAAAAAGTCGAGTAATACGTGTCTCTTTTCATCGGTACCTCCACCAGACTTCCAGATAAGATATTACTCCTGCGATTGCTCGGTTAGCTTCAAAGACAACGTGCTGTTTTCGTTCAACTACGTACCACCAGGAATCGCGTGGTCGCAAGCGCAATTTCTTGCCAGGTCTTGACGATGTCTCCCTCTTTATAGTCGTCTTTGTCGAGATCCATATATCCTTCCGGTGCTGTCACTCGCGGAACGATACCCAATGCACGTCCTACAGAATTTAGCTATTGATATCGAGAAGAGGTAGGCACACTGACCATTCACTGAAGTATCTGAAGCGATTTTGAGCATGGCCTTTGCGGCATCTTCAGTCAAGGCAAAGCCAACGCCTTGGCCGTCAAGGTAATCCTGGACCTTTTGGCCGAGTATTGGTGTGCGCACATACCTGAAGTGGTCAGTTCACGTCCCGCTCTACTGACGTTTGAGACCAAGTATGAAAAGACCTACCACGGTGCAACAAGATTTACTCTAATATTCTCCTCCCAAATTGTCCGACGCAAGTTTCTCATCAGAGCCCTTGCCCCAAACTTTGATATGTTGTATTGTGGAGAGCCAGCATTATCAATGTACGCGGCGATGCTTGCTTTGATGATCAAGCAACGGTCACGAGAGCTCTCTAATGGCTGTCTACGCATATAATGCATAGCCAGCTTCGCAGTGTAGATCGTTCCGATCAAATTGATTTCAACGATGCGAAGATCTGGTTTGACCGGCGGACCGTGGGGATCTAAAGATCACATCATTACTAAGTGACTAAGGCAACATGAGAAAAATCATTGCATTACCTTGAAGTGTGTAGAGGTCATCTTTCCCAACAATGCCTGCATTCGCAATGACGATATCGCAACTCTTGTGAGGTGAAGCTTCAACTGCCGCCTCAAAGACGCGAACCTGATCGTCCCAGTTGCGGACATCACACTTCACAAATTGAGCTTTACTAAAATAGAGTATATCATTAGCTTCAGGCTGCTATTTGAGCGATGGGATTCTAGGCCGCGTTTTCGGACTTACCCGGCAAGGTTCTGGACCACTTCTTTGCCAGCAGTTTCATTGAAGTCGGCGATAGTCACGAATGAGCTTTAAAAAGCCACAGTCAATCATTGGAAGCGGAGCAGATCAAGCTCCAGAGAAACATACCCTGCCTTCGCAAATGCTTCCACGTAGGCTCTCCCGAGTCCGCTGGCCCCTAATATCCCGGTTATTACAATCGGGAATGGTATTTTGCAGCTGACGTAAAACCTCACCTCCAGTCACAATCACGGACTTTCCTGGAAGGTTGCTTAGGTCTAGGTCAGGACCAATCTTGAGGGGTCCCGTATCCTGGTACTCGGTCATGGGCATAATGGCAAATTGAGGCTAGTTTTGCAAGGGGTTTTCACGAATTGCTTTCTCGCATTTACCGTACAATTATTACTACTGAAGCATTGAGTAGTTATTTCAACTCTCAGTCTCCGCCGAACGCCTACCTTAGCCGACAAGCTGGTTCAAAAGGTCCCGGGGCGGAGGTGCGGGGACTGAGTCGGCGGGCGCCAGTGAGGCCGGCGTTCACCGAATGAGCTATTGAAGTGGCTTACTATTCTCTCCTGCTTTCTAACTTAAGTTTTGTTCTCGTTCTCCATACGAGTCATTGGGCGCCACCATCCCCATGGGGTCCCCACGGAGATCGAGACTCGTACCACCCTGCTACACGCGTGGCAAGCATATAACTTCGATCAAGACTGAAGTGTTTCTTGGAATAATCAAGTGTCCATTCATCTCTTTGCAGGTCTCTTCAACAACCTCGTACAGCTATTGCAAGACACTTCGTCACCATGGAGAAGAAATCACGTTACAATCTCTTGGTTAGCTCGTCTCTATACTCAACTGCTCCAAGACTCTTTATTAACACGCCCAGATCGTTCTCGCTGCATGCGTCGGCAGCTTCTTATACGGCAATGCCATCTCCATCTTCGCGACGACTCTCGGAAAGCCGCAGTTCTTCACCTACATGGGCCTGGACGTGGTTGGCCCCGGTGCTGATTTCGCAAACTCAATGACTGCCGTCTGGAACTGCATGCTCTACGTCGGAGCTGTAATAGGAGGAATCTCGTACTCCTTCGTATCGGACCGTTTTGGCAGGAAGACCCCGATGGTCGTCGGCTGCGTCTTCGCCTTCATTGGCAGCGCGCTGCAGGCGGGTTGCGTGAACATAGCAATGTGCGCAGTTTCTCGCGTCATAGATGGCGTAGGTATCGGGATGCTGCTACCCGCGATCCCCCTTTACCAAGCTGAAGTGGCACCACCGCACTCCAGAGGCCTTTTAGTGGGTTTACATGGTCAGCACACTCTATCTTTCGCAGTATGTCAGGGTGTACCGGACTAACTGGATCGCATCAGGTTCTGCACTAGGTTTCGGAAACATGTTCGCACAGTGGATGGGCTGCGCGTTCTTCTACGCCGGCGGCCAGGTGGCGTGGCGTGCTCCTCTGGCTATACAATGCTTGTGGCCGGCGATCTTATTCGGATTAACGCTCGTTATGCCCGAAAGTCCTAGGTGGCGTAAGTACATCATTGGATGCAAGCAGCAGTAGCTCACAAGCTGACTTTCATCTACTAGTCTACGCCCACGGACACGAAGAGCGGGCATTGAAAACTCTAATCAAACTTCATAAGGACAAGAACGATGATTCTGATACCTTTGCCCGTCACGAATTCTCCATCATCAAGGCTCAAACAGACTTGGATATGGAGAAGGGCATGATGACTACTTGGCAGGCATTGAAAATATCTTCAGTCCGCAAGAGATTCATAATCGGCTTCCTCGCGATGATGGGAACGCAGTGCAGTGGGTTGCTTGTGCTCTTGAGTACGTCCACTGCGTTTTTAGAATCGTATCCGCGACCTGGGCTTTGAAGCTAACCTTTTATAGCATATTCTCCAACGATCTACGAAGGCCTCGGATTCTCCCCCTTCATGACCAACGTCATGGCAGCTATCTGGTCGACTTTTAACGGCCTCGGAAACCTTGGTGGAGCGGTCATCGCAGATAGGGTGGGACGAAGGCGTCAGCTGAGTAAGTTTCCTCTCTGTCTTCAAATTCACATCAAGACGTCGAACGCTAATCCTAGCATTGCAGTAAGCGGCTACGCCGGTGTGCTTGTTTGCCTGATCGGCGCGACGGTGCTCACCAAACTCTACGCGGGCACTGCATCCGCAGGGAGCAAAGCGGCAGTATTCTTCATCTTCGGAATCATCGTCTTGTAAGTGAGGCATAGAACGATTTCAAGCCTTCCGCTGACGTTTCAATTACAGATATACCTTGGGTATTGAGGCCGCGTCCTTCGTATACGCGTCCGAAATCTTCCCCACCCAGCTGCGTGCGCAGGGAGTGGCTTTCTCGATGCAAGGGCTATTCCTGAGCTCTATTCTTTGGACTGCTGTGGCGGCCCCTGCTTTCAAGAACATTGGATGGCGATTCTACTGCGTCTTTATAGCTACGGACGTTATGATGATCTTGACCGTCTACTTCTTGTTCCCTGAGGTAAGTTCTGCGAAGCGTTCGATCTTGATCTGAGAGCTAACGACGTCGGTAGACGAAGGGCTATACGTTAGAACAGTTGAGCGCGGTCTTTGGCGACGAAGTTGTAGGAGACGACGTCGACGAGCAGCCCGCAGAGAAAGGCACGGAGACGATCGAAGCTGGAGAGAAGGGAGATTTATCGCATATTGAGTACGACGGTACTAAATCTTTGTGATTACTACTGCGAGCGAAAGGTTACAGGCGGGGAGTATCTCAGCCTGATTAGATACTTTTGGAAGCTCGGTGGGTATTTTGTGATTACTGTTCTAGACGACTGTGGCGATTGCTCGCAGTATTTCGCTGCTCTCCGATAATTATGGACTTAACTGCACAGTACAACTCATGTACCTTCGTAGAGTCGCTTTTATATTCTCAGTAAAAGTGCAGGAATCAAGGAGCTTGTATTCATTCAATAAGACCTAGATGTATCACGTGTGTCAATTTGTTCAAAGATGCTGGATAAGTTGGCTGAGAATGTGACCCAACCTGCTGGATCTTGGGACGATCGTAGAATTAGTCCGATAATTCTAGGTCATCGGAGAGCGCCTAAAGTTTCCGCCCGGTAGTACCAGCCATCTTTACGTCAAGCACATGACTTTGCAAGTGATTCACATATGACCTTTACATTGCCCCTTGAAAATATTTCTTGGGGCTAAACGCGCTCTCCTAATCTTGAACTGATGCCACTGGCCATACCGTCCCACCAGTCATGAATCTATATCACCTTGAACGCCGATCCACTCTTGCTACCGCTCTTCGTCAAGATTTGCCTCTGCTTCTTCTTACTCAAATACTCCGAGTCATCCTTTTCACGGATATAATAAGCCCAGTCGCTAGTCAAGTCTGTTTCTGTCTGACTGAACCCGTTCCCAAGGTAGTTGAACCGATTGCCCTTGTAGACGACGTCGTAGTCATCCGCGCGAGGCTGGGCCAAGGTCTCAAGATAGTGCAACGTGCTGCCTGGCCACAGGGCCGACACCCGGCCGGTAACACTGTTGCCTTTATACCAGGAGCTGCAGTTCTCAGTCCAGACTGTCGACTGCATGAAGCGGTCTGAATGAGCGACGAAGTCTTCGACGGCCTCCCACTTGGGCGTAAATGACCGGATGTTCTCGGTCTGCCAACGGTCGCACCATTTGAGGATATAGTCGGCTTGCGCTTCTGCACAACACGTTAGTTGCAATGCTAACTTGGCGGGTAGGAAAGTTGCTTACCGATAGCTGCCATAATAGGACCATTGCCAATGGGACAATTTGGGCCAAGCATGACAAAGTAATTCGGCATGTCCGGAGCTCCGACGCCCATATACCCCTTCGATTCTTTCTGCCAGATATCCTGCAAGTTCTTCCCGTCTCGTCCAAGGAGCGGAAAGCGGGGGCGGAACGACACATCGAAGCCCGTTGCACAGACGAGTACGTCGAAATTGTATTCGTTGCCGTTTGCGCACTTGCACCCAGTTGGCGTAAACTCGGTCACGGAACTTATCACCAGATTGACTTTGTCCTTCTTGATGGACTCGAGATACTTAATGCCGGGGGTCAGCCTTCGGCAGCCAACGCTCCAATTAGGTATCAGCTTGCTTTCCAAATCGGGATCCTGGAGCTGAGCTTTCATATGCTTCTCCATGGTGTCTCGGACCAACTTTTGCGTCTCCGAACCTTTGATAAATAGATTAAAGACGCCGGAGGTGCTCGTTTGGTATTTCTTGCGGTGTTCTAGGAGGAGGCCGGGCTTGTTGGCGAAATCGCTCAATTCTTGCTCAGTGTATTTATGCTGCTCAATACCGCGAAGCGGTGGGGCTACCCAAGTCGCGGTGCGGATGAAGTTGGTCAGACTCTTCACTCGTGGCAGAATCTCTGGGAGCAGTTGGATGCCCGAAGATCTAGATGCAGTTATCAGCGCATACACTGCTGTATAGTATAGCTAGACTTACCCATTTCCGATCAAGCCAACCGTTTTCCCATCGAGGTCGATAGATGGATCCCAAGCCGCACTGTGCAACTTCGGCCCTTTGAACAGATCTAGATTCTTGATGTCGGGCCACTTCCAATTATTCAAAATGCCGCCAGCGTTGACCAAAATGTGGCAGAAGTCCTCGTAGACAGAGCCAGAAGCGTGATCCTTGACTTGGACATGCCATTGATCCGTTTGCGGGTCCCAGCGCGCACCGACAACCTCATGCCGGGTTTTGATGTACTTGCGGAGGCCGTACTTGTTGGCGAAGTCTCTGAAATAGCCAAAGATTTCTTCGCTCCCGGCATAGACGGATGACCAGTCCGGTTTCGGCTCGAATGAATATGTGTAGTTGTGGGCGGCCACGTCGCACGCGCATCTGATATAGGGATATCAAACGTCAGCCACCTAGTCTTTCTATAAGGACATGAATTATGCTACATACCCTGGATAGCGGTTTTCGTACCAAGTACCGGAAATGTCTAGATTCTTTTCATAGATGGACAGAGAGAAATTGTCGAAGGACCGCTGAAGCTTGTATGCAAATGCGAGACCGGATGCGCCAGCACCAATGCAAATGACGCGCATTTGGCGCTCACTGTGGATGGGGACTTTAGGCAACTGGTCTGCCTCATCTCGGTGGGCAGAGACACCGTTCGTCACGGGCATAGTCGCCATGATGATCTGGACGGGGGCACTCTATCGCAACGGTACTGTCGTATTGAGACGAAAGAGTTCAGTCGTCCTCTTGAAGCCTGTTGTGCGTGGCCCTCTGACCCGAAATTGTTGCCATCATTGCCGTATAAAGCATTCGGTTGAAAGATAACCGGAACAGATCTTCCTCCGCCGCTCTATCTCGTGATCCCAACCCCATGGGGTGAGAGACACGCCAACGGTCTCCCCGTGAAGGTGCATGTCGTCGGGGTAAGCCGATCACTGTGGGGAAACCAGCGGCTGTGGGGACCGGGCTCCTCGCACGCACCGATCTGCGCCCCTCGGTCTATGCCGCGAACACATCGAGTCGCTCGGATATCTCCCCGGTTCGCTGGCAATCAACAGGCGGATAGGACTTTGTCGGCCGACATCACGTGAGTACAGGGGGAGCTCCCGTCTCCACCTGTGGTCGTCGAGAGGCACCGGCACGAGACAGCAAGTAGCAGTCGAAATGGCGGTTCTAAAGACCACAGACACCCGCGGTGCAAACCGGTGCAGTCTAGTACTTTCCCAGCGACACCATGGTCATTTCAGCAACCCAAGCGCTCATTGACGAGATCAAGGCGCAAGCAAAGGCCATTCCGACCACTGATGCGCGCGGATACTCCATCGAGGACAAACTCCTAGGCTCGCGGCGACCAATCAAAGTGGTCTGCATTGGCTTTGGAGCTTCGGCCATCAACATCGCTCATAAGCTCAGCCCACGCATCAAAGAAGGCAATGTCAGCTTGCAGTGCTATGAGAAGAACCCGGAGATTGGAGGCACTTGGTACGAGAACACGTATCCGGGCTGCGCTTGCGACATTGTGAGCTCAATTCCCGCTCTTTTGAGGGTCTGATGTGTAACATGCTGATGTTTCCCGAAGCCTGCAGTAAATTATACATACTCGTGGCATATAAAGCCGGACTGGACGACATAGTGAGTGCTTAGTCATGTCCCGATATCAAAACGACGCAAGAACTAACCTCGAGGTAGCTATGCGAAATCGCAGGAGATATTAGCTTACTTCAAAGATGTTGTCGCGAAACACTCGCTGGGTGAGTTTTGCAAGCTCAATCACCGAGTTGTTGGCGCTTGGTGGAATGAGGATCTCGGCGAGTGGAAGATCAAGGTTCAAAGAGGCGATAATGTCGACGATACTTTCGAAGACACGGCCAACATCTTGATCAACGCAACTGGAGTCCTCAAGTATGTGCCTCCATGGAATTCACGAAGCCATTGGGACATGCGCTAACCACATCTATTAGCCACTGGAAATGGCCAGCCGTCCCGGGCGTAGAGAAGTTCAAAACGCGACTTCATACTGCTGCATGGGATAGTTCGGTTGACCTGACGAATAAAACCGTGGGTGTAATAGGCAATGGTAGCAGCGCCGTTCAAGTGATACCAGCCATTTTCCCCAGTAAGCCCGCAGGCCTTGCATCACTATTTGCAGATATCTGATAACAGTAATACAGAGGTCAAGAAAATGAAGTGCTTCATACGATCTTCATCATGGGTAACGTCGGGGTTTGCTTCGAAATTCGCCGGAGAACACGGTGAAAACATAACTTGTAAGAACTCCGCTCGAGAAGCTTGTTGCGGATGACACTCACAAGTTTTAAGACACAGAAGAGCAAAAGAAACATTTTGCGGAGCACCCTAAGGAATATCTAGAGTACAGAAAGGCTGTCGAGCGCGAAGTCAATGCAAACTTTGCTATGGTAAGTGTCCGACTTCATCGCTAGAGTGTCTCGCACTAACAGGAGAGTAGATGATCAAAGGAACGCCGCAGCAGATAGAGGCTCTGGAGGTTCGCACTTTTCAATCACTGCTTTTGAACCAGGGTTGCTGACCATTCTTCAGTTTGCTAGATTGGAAATGTCACGTAAATTAAACGAAAAGGAACATCTGATCGACAAGATGGTCCCGAAAGAGTTCGCAGTCGGTTGCAGGGTGAGTTATCTGGTCAACTTTTGTCAAGGAAATATACCAATCCCAACCTAGCGCCCAACCCCTGGAAATGGGTATCTAGAGTGCATCGCCGATGAAGAGAAATGTGACGTAAGCTTTTCGAGCATCACGGAAATCACAGAAAAAGGCATTATCACAGCAGACGGCGTGGAACATGATATAGACGTGCTAGTCTGCGCCACCGGATTTGACGTGTCTTTCCGACCAAGATACCCCATAGTAGGCCAGGGCGGACTGGACATGCGGGATGCCTTTGCCGAGCACGCGCAAACGTATCTGAGCATGACGACACCCAACTTTCCAAATTACTTTAGTATGTTCTTCTCTATCCTAGGCTTTTATTGGAAACGTCATTGAACTCACCCTTCTAGTGATGCTTGGCCCCTTCGGACCTTACGGCCACGGCTCTGTCATTTCGTCGGTCGAGGTCATAACGCGCCATATCGAGAAGATCATCACCAAGATGCAGCTGGAGGACGTCAAGTCTTTTGCGCCCAAACAAGCAGCAGTCGACGACTTCAAGCAACACCGCGAACTTTACCTGAAGCGGACAGCGTGGGATTCGCCGTGCAGATCGTGGTTCAAGGGTGGAAAGGCTGATGGGCCTATAATGATGTGGCCGGGGAGTCGTTTGCACTTCTTTGATGCACTGGAGAACCCGCGGTGGGAGGTAAGTCTTAATTCTCTGCGAAACTGACCTCATGTGTGAAGAATGCGGCTGATGCGCGATACAGGACTATGATTGGTCGTACCGAACGATGAATAGATTCGGCTTCTGGGGGAACGGGTTCAGTACTATGGATGCTGGGGAGGATGATAGAGATAGCACGTGGTATATTGACGAGGTATAAGAATAGAGGGCGTAGATTAGAGACACTAATCGATTGTTTTGATCCATCAGAACATTAAGTGAGTCGTTTCGTCATTAATCAAGTTAGATCCATGCAAAGAGCGTCTGATTTAGACATTAGTTAAGGATAAGCCTACTCATCACCCCCCTTTTTGCTACGTATCACCCCCATTTTGCTGCATATCACCCCCCCTAGATTTAGCCTAGCTCAGGCTCGTAATAACTTTGGTCCACCAATTAGGCCGTCCTTTAGGCGATAATATTGTTTAATAACGGGTTTTAATTCACCAATACAGCACCGGATCTCTCCGCCAGATAAGCCGACCCTAACAGTAACCAAGGGCTCGATTTCCTTAGTCCCCAACAGTCAACCAGCCCTTAAGGATGGCCCTCTGTCTACTCCTAAGGAGGAGGCTGTTCGTAGTAAATGAGCCGGTGCAGCATGAGGATATTCGGGTGTGAAACCTTGGTATAATGGTGTATACGGCGTTCCTTTCAATCAGCAATTAAGAGGTGGCTATCTAGGCGCTCTCCTCTTCTAGGAGTCATGTAATTCTTTGCATAGGCTGCAAGCAAGTGAGCATAATTGGTGGACCAAAGTTATTACGAGCCGGAGCTAGGCTAAATCTAGGGGGGTAATATGCAGCAAAATGGGGGTGATACGTAGCAAAAAGGGGGGTGATGAGTAGGCTTATCCATGGAGAACCGTCCTAGCTATGAGTCCTACTAAACATACTAGTTGTAGTAGGAGAGAGCAAGGAATAGCATTAGACCCCTGCTAAACCGCATGTGGAATACAGTCCAGTCTTGGCAGCATGCACGCCCCTCTACGTAGGCCCGACCTAGCATCCCATTTCCTTTCTCCTCATCATTTTCCTTCCATTCCTACCCTTGTATCTCCACACGCGTCAGCTTCTGCCGTTTACATATATACCTGCCATAGCCGCTGAATATCTCTAGGATCTTGCCCTATTGGAGGCATTAATCATTTCTTGGAGGAAGCCATGGCCCAGGTCTCGGACATACATCTCAGTTACCCTCGCCAGAGCCTGTGAAAATGTCCACTATGAGGCCATCCGACAATACAATATCCTTTATCGTTTCCACTCCGGCGAGGCAGTCTGTCGAAGAGAAGCGGAAGCTTATCCGTAGCCATGTCATGCGTGGCAAGAACCGCAAGATGCTGCCGACAAGACCCCCGTCATGGATTGATGCCAATAAAGCAAATGATAGAAAGCATCCAAAGCAGGGACTTGATCTCTGTGTTCCGGCCAACGTTGGTGGTCAGTTCTCGTTTACAGCTTTCTCGGCGGAGATAAGCCCAGATATGCTCGAAGCCATTTGGGAACGTAAGCTAATACCCCAGTTCTGGACAGCTATCATGGCTAACTCCCTAGAAGTAAAACGGTTAATGTTCCCTATTGAGTTTGGCCTGGATTCCTATCGTTCTGAGTCATCGTGGCTGGAGCCTATATGCGGCGACGCGGCTTGTCTCCACTTCACCGTCTTTATAGCGAAAGAATATTTAAACGTACACCTTAGGCAGAAGGAAAGTAGTAAGACGACTTTGGTTCATCTGGTCAAAACCCTGGCGATCCTCCAACAGCGTTTGGCTAGCGGCGACAATGAGCTGTCGACCTCTGACTACACCATCCTAGTTGTTGTCGGCCTCACCTTGGCAGCAACTGGCCTTAGGGATCTTGAGACTGCCGTGAAACATCTCAAAGGCCTACACAAGATGGTCATACTGAGAGGCGGCATATCGGCGTTCCAGTGGAATAGAAGTTTACAAACCAAGATTTTCCGGCAAGTTAACCATATTCCATTGCCTTAAATGAGCACCAGCACTAATCCTGGATAGTGCGGATCTTGGAGTAGCCCTCAGTACGGGACGTAAACCACTTTTTTTCTCTGACGGCGTCTCATGGGACTCTTACATTGCCTCGCAAGGGAAAATACCTGCCTTACGGGCCCAAGATTCAGATTCAGATCCCCAGATACCCGCCTCCGGTCTCGGAATCTTTCTCGACAGTCTAGACACGCGGCTCCGCTCCGTTTGGGATGACGTCTCCGAATTTGTACGCGCCGCCAACATCGCATCGCAGTGTAAACGCGGTATCGACAGTGATCTCTACCAGGAAGTCATGATCTCGATCCACTATCGTCTCGTCAACCTGTGCTTCGATAGACGCACTATAAATGAGATTACCCGACTCGCGTTAATGGCTTTTGCTAGCACACTTTTTCTACAGTGGCGTGGCGTCAGAGTACGTTACGAATGTCTCGCTCAAAGTCTCAAAAGAGCCCTAACTCTGCTTGGACATAGTCCTGGAGTTATACCGCACAGCTAGCCGTTTGGCTCCATATCGTTGGTGCCATTTCTATCTTCAGCGAGCATGAGCAAAGCTGCTTTCAGCCTGCTCTGGCCGATCTACTCTGGGATATGGGCTTGAAATCGTGGCATGAAGTTCGAGTTTCGCTGAAGTCTGTTCTTTGGGCGGACGTGCTACATGACCCCCCAGCGAAGAGGGTAGTCGAAGCTACGCTGGGCGCGCCCTGACTTCTTGTCGTAGACTGCACGTGCGAGAATTAGTTGAGAAATGGACCAACCAGCGACCTAAGATCATACACAACCATTTACGGAGGAACACCTTGATTCCAGAGGCTCATTTAGGACATAAAGTAACTAATGCTTGGAACTGAAGGCGATATCAAGCTCTCTCTAGCAGACAGCACATGCAACACTTGGGAAACCTCCGACACGCTTCTTATGAGCGCAACTGATTGTACTACGAGGCCTGATTTAAAGGGCCACGGCTTCGGCATACTGAAAGAGAGTGAGAATCGCACGGACTGGCTCCCTTTCACACTTCTCAATAAAGTCAAAGACATCCAAATTCCAAGGTTTGATTTAGGACGTCTGGATTTCCACACACGACAAAAGAGCCAGAATTGGCCTCTACACCGTCGTAAGCCTCGAAAGTCCGCAACTCCCAACACCCTCCCACCCCTTCACCCCCCTTTCACAGCTGGCCCCCTCTTCTCACAAAACTGCGGCGGTCCTCCAAACCCCTTCCGAACCTCCTCAACATCCAGCAGTCTCGTATACCACCCCACGGTCTCCGGAAACTCCGCCCTCGCACTCCCATCCAACAAAAACTTAAACGGCCAAAACAATCCCGCCGCCACACTCAGATCCGCCAAACTCGGCCCCTCCCCCCCAACCAACCACTCCGCCCCCCTCCCCTCATTCCGCTTCAAATGCCCCTCCACCGGTCTCACCGCCCGCAAATACGCCGCCTCCCCCGCCGCCACCACCCCCTCATCATACGCCACCGTCCCCATCATCGGCCCCAGCACGGCGCCCATACCCGGGAAGATCTCGCTGTCGGCCAAGCTCATCCACATCTGCACCAGCGCGCGCTCTTCGGACGTGCGGCCTAGCAGCTGCAGCCGCTTGGGCCCGCTGTCGGCGAGGTAGTGCGCGATGGCGCTGGCCTCGGCGACACAGAAGCCGGTGGCGGTCTCGAGCGCGGGGATCTTGCCCATGGGGAACTTGGCGAAGAAGGCGGGGGTGCGGTTGGTGGTGCCGTAGGCGAAGTCGGGGGGAACGGTGATGGGGAGGGCGTTGAGGGCCGCGGCGGCGAGGGCTTTGGTGGCATGCGCGTGCAGCAAGGAGGGGGTTGTGTAGAGGGTTGCGAAGGGGGTTGGTGGGGAAGGTGGGGAGTCGGACATGGCTGGGAATGATGGGGGGCGTGGAACTTTTTTAGTGGTGAGGCGGAGGTGTTGGTGGGCTTTTGTGGCGATTGGGGGTGGCTTTATGTAACTGGGGGTTTCGTTGGTGTTGTAGTCTTATATGTTGCTTGCTAGATATGTAGTCGTTCTATCTTATAGCTATGAAAGCGAGATACGGCAAGATATCTGCACCTATGCCGGCCGGGTGATGAAACAGTGCTGCCTAAGGCACCACACCAAGACGATCTTGGTCTGGGGGTGCAAATACCCACATATGATTGGATGAGGAGGCAATATCATTGGTACATCAGGCTTCTTGCTGCCTGGAGGCGGGGAAATAAGGCACCAGATCACATCGTGTTCCCGGTTATATAAGCTCGTGCGACACGGATTCCCTTGGGGGGGTGCTGTGCAGGATAGATATTGGTGCCTGATGGATGCCTGGGAAAGCATCAATACGAGCTGACGACCTGGAGTTCATAGATAAGATCATGGGGTTGAGAGCCTTAAGGCAGCTATGTGGGGTCTGTGGCGTTAAGATCAGCTGTCAGTTTATGCGGCATATCGAAGCCACCCAAGTACAAGCTTGTATAGGCCAAAATGCGAAGATACGCTGTCAAATTAGACTCATACAGCCACCGTCTCCCCAATATCACACAGCCCAATCTCCGCCCCCCATTCTAACCCCGCCTCCTCGCATGCCTTCCTCCACCGCACCGGCGGCTCGGTGACCGGCTCGTGATGCGCGCTCAGATTCCCCCTGAAAGTGCCATAATGCATGCCGATGCTCTTCTCACTCCTCACATCCTTGTGTATCGAGATGGAGTCGTCAGGAGACGAGTGCTGCGAGGACATGAACGTGCGGGGGAGGTAGCAGCCGATTGGGAGGAGCGCGAGATCGAAAGGGCCGTATAGCTGGCCGATTTCTGCAAAAGCCGGGCAGGGAGGGACGGGGGAGTGGGCGGAGGAGAGCTCGGCGTCGGAGTGGACGCAGCAGTAGCCGGTGTCCCCTATCTGTGGTGTTAGCTTTGTTCCCTCCCCAAACTCAATCGTAGTCAATACCTGTGAAGTACAACTTTTTTCCTATCCTCTGCTTCTCCGCCCCATCCTCCTCAGACACACTAGCAGCCCCTCCCGACAGAACCTCCTGAATCACCCAACTACACCACAACGTCCCAAAAAACCCCCACGGCGTCCTCCCGCTCCCATGCTGCGCAGGCGTACACACCACCTCGACCCCGCCCACCCCCTCCACCTCGACCCTCACACCCCCCCACCAATCCAACTCCACCACCTCCTCCGCCCTGATCCCCACCCCCAGCCCCACCAGCGTCTGCTTCACCCCCAACGCCACCAAAAACCTGACCCGCCCCCCGCCCCTCTCCCTCACCCTCCGCAGCGTCTGCGCATCCAAATGGTCATAATGATCATGGCTAACCAGCACCGCATCCACCTCGCCCACGTCCTCAACCGCGCACGGCAAGCCCACGAAGCGCACCGGCCCAAACTGCCCGTACGGCCCGACCGCGCGGCTCCAGACCGGGTCGAGCAGGAGGCGCACCCCCCGCGTAGCGCCAGCGCCGCCGCCGCCGCCGCGCGGGGCGGGCGCTTCGACGACGAAGGAGGCGTGCCCGATCCAGGTCGCTTTCAAGCTGTGGGGCAGCTGCGCGCCGAAGTCGGGCGGCCGGACGGCCACGAGCTGCGACGCGTCGGCGGGCACGGGGACGAAGTTGCGGTTGGCGCCCCAGCGGGCTTTGAGCATGCCGCCGATGCTGGCGGGTCTGTAAGAGGGCCAGGGGTTTTTGAAGGAGCGGGGGGGCGTGCCGATGTGGTGAGAGGGGGGGGTTGTGGAGGAGGAGGAGGAGGGCAGGCGGGGGGGGAGGGGGGTTATGGTGGGTGGAGGGGCCATTGGGGGCGGTGTGGAGGGGTTGGGAGATGTTGAGGGGCGGCTGTGAGGCATGGTGGAGGTTGTTGAGGCATGGTGGGGAGTGGTGACGGTGTTAACTTTTTGAGGGCGTGGTGGGCGGAGATAGAGGGCTGGTTAGTCCGTCTTGGCGTGTAGGTACGCACGTATGCTCTGTCGTTCTATTGGGGGCTTTAGGATTACTTGTATGGTTTCAATGAGCTTGATAGTAATGGTTGATGGTCTGGGGAGCTCTGCTGAGATTCTGGCATGTTTTCTTCGTCGTGTGGATGCTGGAAGGCTGAGATGAACGAGAGTTACGCCAAATCACGTGATAGCTCCAATTCAGGATGGTTCATCATAAGCTATCAGAGGGTCGATGCAAGTTTGTGTTTTTTACATAAACGGAATAGGTTCTAGAGCAAATCAGATCTAGACATGAGTCAGATATCCAGTGCCAAAGAAACCATAAACCGAAACGCTACTCCTGAACGTATGGAAAAGCAAATCACATCCTAAGATATGAGAGGTAACGCCATGTTAGGCTTCTATTGCAATGGCCTCTGAACTACACTATTAGTCTACTAAAGAGCGGGTCTAAGGTATCCACAAAAAGCAGGCCACAAATCACAACACCATTGATTGCTTTGACGCCATTCCATTCCTTCTACGAATATGTGTCCGAGCAGTAAGTATCGGCCAAGTCCAGCAAACACAACACGCTACGTGAATACATCAGCCCCTCCAACATACCACCACACCTTAGCATTGCCAAAAAGGAGCGTGACTCCAGTCCCAAGAGCCTTTGCACTCGTGCAGTCCATGTTCGGTCAAAATTTTCGCCACGTCCTCTATTCCAGACGACAGCTCCGTTGAAAAGAGAGAGAGGGAGGGGAAGGAAAGAAATGGATAGGAAACAGGTCTCGCAGTCTGGTATCTCTGGCAGCAAACAAAAATGTCAAAGAGTTCTCCCAAAAAAAGCGCTTTGTGTACTCGCAAGCATCGAGAAGACGAAAATGGGTATTAGACTTCCGCTCCATTCGCAAAACCGATGCCTGCGTTTCAGTGTGTGTTTCCCCCACATCACTCCAAGTTATGCAACTTTCTTTCTTCCTACACCAAGTTGAGAGGACGCCGAAACAGTCTCCTTGGAAGACGCTTGGGCAAGAAAAAAAAGAAAAGGCTGAAAGAAATTGAAATAGCAACGCTACACGTCGGAAGTTTGTATGGGAATCTTTGGGGTATTATGATTCGTGGTGTGTACCGGTTTGAACAAATAATAAAAAGGGTATCTGAGTTTCTGGCGTCTTCAGTCTGAGGTGTGTATTACCAAAGGCGTCGAGAATGTCGAAAGATATGCACTGCGACTAGTCAGCCAAGTTACCCTGTATATCTGAAAAAAAAAATGGGGAAGTATTACCATCTACGTCACCGTAGAATCAGCGTTTGACAGGGGCTCCTTGTTGATCCATGTTGCCAGTAAGCTCAGCAACGCGAGCCTTGATGCGAGCGACGCGGCTTTCGATCGTCTCCTCTCCGCTGGTCTCACCCTCATCCGTGCGGTTGCTTTGACTTTGGCTGCGACGCGATTGCTCTTCACTAAGTCTTGCAGCCCGCTCCGCAGCATTCTTCCTGATCTGAGCCCATCTGTCCTGCGCTGGAGACACTTGACGAGTCAGGTCAACGGACTGCTCGGAGATATCGTCCCTGGCAGATGGGTCAACCGGGTGCGAGAGCTCTTCTTCGTGATAAACTTCCTCCTCAACCGAAGCTGGGTGGGAAACAGCATGCCGATTGAAAGGTGGTGGAGGAAGAGCACTCATCGGTTCCTCGTCAGAGCCATCATCTGGGACGAAAGCCGGCATGTCGTCCATGGGGCCCTGGTCGAACCTGGCAAAAGCATGATCGGCCTCATGCTGTTCCATCGTAGTCATGCGGGGTCCACTTGGACGAGGAGCCTCTCCAGGGTAGTCGTGGTCATGCGAGACGGCAGAAACTGCTGGACTCTCACCGATGGCTGGCGAGTAGGCAACAACTGGCTCGGGTTTTGCGGTCAATTCGCTCGGTGCTGGAGACTTCTCTGCAACCGGAATGGCAGGCGATGGCTTCTTCCTCAAATGAGACATTCGTCGCCCGAGGCTTGACTCCGGGACTTGGAGACCGTTCTCTGGTTCTGCCTCCGTAGGCTGAGGAGTTTCCGATCTCCCGGCAGGTTTGTCCTTCTTTCCAAACATTCTCCTGAAGCCATTTCCACCAGTGTTCTTCTTGAGCTTCTTCGGGGGAGATTTCTTGGCAGGTACTGCCGCCTCCGGGCTGTGTTGGTTTTCCCATGCTCGTTTTGCGGCTTCTTCAGCGGGGTTTGATTGGGAAGAACTCTGTTGCGGAGCAGCAACAGGCTTCCGGAGCGCTGGGTGTTCATCCAAGGTCGGGCCAGTGGAGTACACTGGCGCTGGCTTTTCGTCCAAAGGCGTGGAGACAGTAGGGGTCACACCAGGTAGAGCAACTTGAGCTGCAGAGGAAGCCTCCGCCTTCTTCGACTGGGCCTGGGCCGGTGTTGGAGTAATTGGAAGGGGTGCTGGCGGAGGGGCCTTCCTAGGTACCTGTGGCGATGATTCCTCCCGCGGAATGGCGGGAAGATCATGGTTATTGCTTTCTTTTGGCGCTGAAGACGATGCGTGGCCATTTGTGGTGGCAAGAAGGTTATCCCTCGAGCCCTTTCCAGCATGGACATCTCCAAGATACCTCTTTCGGACTGCATCCTTATCAAACTCTTTGGCCCATTGCATCGCCGGAGCTGCGGCACTCATAACGGCAGGCTGCAGTGTCATGACGCTGTTCGTCTTGGTAGACATAGCATCATCAACTCGGCCTCGGCGTGTACCATTCTGCTCGGCGGCTTGATCTTTCGATTGCTGAGCTAGTCTGGCTGCAGCGGCTTGAATGCGCGCATGTTGATCTGGTCCGATGCTAGTCTTACTCATCGGCGTGGTGCCGTTCTTGGCATTGTAGGGCTCGTTCGCAAGCGTAGAAGGCTTCTTGCCAGTTGACTTCCTACGACCGAGTCGCCCTCGTCTTGTGAAACTGAAGAGTCCTTTCTTCTCTGCGATGTAGGCTCCTTCCTCTGGGCCAGGAGAAGCGCCCTTGACTTGCTCTTCTACAACAAGCCATTTCGCGCCGGGAATTTGAGTCTCGATTAAAGCGCATCGTCCGAAGACTGCCTTGCGCTCGGTTGTTTCCTCGCCAGCCAAGCTGGTCATCCAGACCCACCAGAAGGTTTCGTCCAAGTCGAATTGTGTAATGCTAGCAAGCTCTCCGGGCTCCAAGTGCTGCTCCTGCCCGACACCATTTCTCATATGCGACTGCGAACTGTGAACGCGAGTCACTTCTCCAATGGGAGGGAGCTGCTTGTCTGGAGGGAGTAGTAATGGGGCATGCTTGACTTCACCATTCTCCTCGACAAACCCAGATGACAAGAAGTCGGCCCAGGATGGCGTTGTCGGGCGACCGAAATCGGTATTCCTGGACCGCGGGCCAGTTCCCAGCCCCTGGAAGTCGTTTTTGTCTCTGGGGAACGACGATCCATTTGACAAGGCCGATGCTGGATTTTCGCTTACTCCGCCAAAGCCAAAGTCTTCAAAGCGAGACCAAGAGGCGTCCGGAATGCCATGATTTGTAGAAAGAACGGATTGATTGGTGGAAGAGATACAGTCCAAGACTCTTCGGCACTCGTCCGTGAGGGCCTTGACCGGATCCTCGAAGGAGGAGAACTCTTGCAGTGCCTCGTCGTCATCACGGTACTCGAAGTTCTTGGCCCGCCGCAGAAGGGCGAATGGGGTGGGAGATACTGAATCGACGATCATGACAATCCGTGTCGTAGTGGTTTGCATAAGAATAGGCGTCATTGGAGGGTACTCGGTTTGAGAAACGAGCGCTTGGAGTGAGCGTGGCAAGGTGGAGATACCGCTTATACCAGCAACCGAGTCTGGAGAGAGAGAGCGGAGATAGGCAAAGAAGAGATGGCTGGCAGCATCGGCAGCCCTGTGAAAGTTAGCACCGCTATTCCTCGAGGTTTCAGTCTGGAACATCTTACTTCTCCCAGGACTTGTATCCGCCATCAAATCCCTTGCCATCGTCATTATGCCCAAAGGCCCACCAACCAGCCATTCTAGACAGCTTTCTTCCGCCAAGTCCATTGGTCTTGCCTCGTGCAGCGATTGCGGAAAGCAAATCGAAAAAGTCGACGATGACCTGTCTCCGCGCCTCGGAGTCCACGCTGATGGGTATAAAGGTATCAAAAGCATGACGAGCGTTGCCAGAATCTAGCCATTGCTATTAGTGATGCCAAGCATCATAAAAGGCCTGATATAGCCTACGTACCCGATTCACCAATCTTGAAAAGCTCATATACGTCCCAAGTCACTACACCTCCAGGCAGTCGGCTCCAGCACCATTTCATTATACTGCAGAGCACCTGAAGCCGTTAGCTTTACGATAAAGTTTGGTGTACCGTCACTGTCTTACCATGGGTTCAGTGAGGCGCAATTCCTGGTTCAGCCCTTCCCCAGTGTACTGCGAGCTACCTTCAAACTGCGCCTTGAAAAAGCTTCGAATCATGTTGCGAGCGGCGCTGGTGTCTGATCCAGGTCGGAATGGAAGGAGGAGGAAGGGCATGTCGAGGGCTGGAAAGTCCGTCAGTGAGCTTCCCGCTGCCGTCCAGAGGCAGAGAAGCACTGCAAATGTGCAACAAGCGCAAAGACATACCTCTCGACTTCATCTCTTTCGTGCAAACGTGAATCAATTCCTGGACCTCCTCCGGCGCAACGTCTTTGCGCGACCAGGCGTCGTCCCAGCGCGGCTTCGGCGGTGCCACAGGGCCAGCGTTGTGGTCAGCATACTTGCCGGCTTTGGAGGCAGATCTGGAGCCATCCTTGCTCTTGAAGAAGTTCTTAAACGACGGCATAGCGATAAATGGCGGTGATGTTGCGGAGCGTCGTCCGGTCTTCAGGACTGGGTCCGCTGGGGGCAGTCGGCGCACGCGAGGCGGTCAGAGTGCGGTGCTGGCAGGCGGATGCAGGTGCATGAATGTCTCGGCGGGCTCGAGTTCAATTGGGAGCTCGCGCGGGCGGGCTGCACTTAGAATTGAAGCTGCAGGCGGGACGCGAGGTTTGGAGTCGTGACAGGGATGGAAGCACGCTGACGGCAGAGCGCGTGGAGTTGCAGCAGAGGCGAACACGGGCGGCGGGCGGTGGAGGGATTAGTGAATTCGGCCTGTGGAAGTGGGACAGAGCAGTAAGGAGATGCGCGAGCATAGACGAAAGGGAGTGTCTGAAGCTGCGATAGTACCCCTAAAGGCCGCTAGCCGATATGCTCAAAATCCTGGTCGAGGGGACGCCAACGCATCGCTGTATTCTCAGGTAAACCTCCACGTTGCCACCGTCGATCGCGAATCGTATTGCTATTATCGGTCCTGTCGCCGCCACCAGCGGCGACACAGGCGCGTCTATCATCAATTGCCGGCCGCCTCGCAGCGTACAGCGCCCGCAAAGCGTCTCGACGTCTGCATCATTGATCCGCGACGGCGGCGCGTCGATGAAATTGGCACGGACGCTGGGCCCATCATCAGCGGTCGCTAACAGAAAGGCGAGGCCAAAAGCGACGGTGCCGACAGCCCAAACGGTCCCAGGGCGCAACCCGTCGTGCATCGATCAGGCTGCATCCGGCAAGGCGGGCACGGCGGGCGCGCTCTCATTTCAGGGCCCACGCCTCGTGCAAACCACCGGCGACCGCACCGCGAGGAACAATCTCCTGCCCGAGCGCTTCGCTGCATCACGGCCTCCTCACCACGGCCTCCTCACCACGTCTGCTCTTGACAGCGAATGGCCTGCGCCGCCTCGGCCAGGCAGAAACACGCCAGGATGAGTTGTCCGCCGGCTGTGACCGTGTGCAGCCCTTCAATTCGCCAGCACGTCGCCAGCAAATCAACACCACGCGAGCGCCTCTCTCCGCACTTCCTCATTTCTTTTTTGCAGGTCCCTGCACTAGACTCGGGCCCCTCGGAGCCCAATTGACCGCAGAACCACCACACTCCAGCTGTCAAACCTCTCCACTGCCTGTCTAGCTCTAACGACACTGGCTGTTTCAGAGCCCGTCTTGGCAGCGTTTTGATCCTATGGGGTGATGCTGAGCCATTTGGCAGCAGCTTCATCACTCGACATCGACTGAAGAGTTCTGGAAAACACCATGCTAGGAGGGGCACTGTTCTGCATGGCGCTATTTTCCACGTTATTTCGACCAACGCGGCCTGTCAAGGGTCTGTGTCTAAGTCTGAGCTTTCAGACACCGCCCACTGCCTCATACCCGTACCAGGGTTCTGCTTCGGATGTCCCGATCCAAGTTCAAGCTTTGCAAACAGATCCAGGTTGATTGATCTGACCGGGTCCGTGTGTTGAGGCCATTCTGAGAAAGTCTGACAGTCGTATTCGCCTTCACATCAGTATCAGGTCCAACCGCAAGTATCATCTCTATTCCATTTTCCAGTCACCTCACTACGTCCAAACTGCGTACGTCTCTCTTTCTCTTCTATAAATACATCAATGTCATCTCCAAAACACGCTTATATTGCATTCTATAGTCGAAATATTACAGTCACGTGATATGCGCGTGACTTGAAAATTCTTGTTTCGCTAAATCCAAGGCCAGGTCCTACTAGGCGACAGCGATCTGATCCTCGACAAGGATGTAGATTACTAGACTTGATTTGGATTTGTAGAAACAGTCCTGATAGTACCATATGGCTTGTCACCAACTTTCCAAGGAATGCAAAGCGGCGGCTACAACGGCAGGAGCAGCTACAGCAGTTGACCATCAAGCTCAACCCATCCCGCCGAATCAGTCAACCGTGGGAGGTCCAATTGCAGGGCACAAGTCTGGCACAGCGGCAACAGCAGCGGTTGCCAACCGATCTCTATCCAACGCGCCTGCAGATCGGTCGACCGCAGGAGATCCTGGTAGAAACACAAGTCGACTATAGTGGCAGCCCAATTACTCCAATTATCGGTAAGGGGGTAGATTGCCACACTCAATTATAATTTATAGACAGCTCTATGTTGGTTAGATGTTCAATTTTTCTAAAAAGCTATTCCAGAAACTACCAATGAGACAGCTCTTAGCAACTCTTCGCTACCTTTTCAACGTCACCCGCACGAGACCAGCACACCACCCACAAGCGGCATACTACCCCGTTTTCAGCATCAGACAAACAAAGCACTGGCACCCACTCCAAGCCACGCCCCCCCTCACACTGCGCTCTCCACCCTCCCCTTCCTCGCCGGAAACACCCCACTCATATCCCCAACCGGCAGACTAACCGGGAACTCCACCGCCGCCAGAATCTGCGCCGCGAGGATCCACCACGCGCCCGCCGACGCAACAAACCCGAACGCGCCACCCGCCTACCCAACAACAACATTAGCCACCACATTCGCCCTTCAAGCACCAGATCAGAACAGAGAGAGCAACACTCACAGTCAGACACTTCCCCGCCACCCCCGCATTTCCCCGCGCCAGCTGCCAAAACGCCGCCGTCAGCAGGCTGAAGCACAGCGTCAAGCCCCACTCCACAACCATCAGGCAGATGTTCAGGCGCAGCGTGCCCAGCGCGAAGAGCAGCGACAAGACCGCCATGGCGAGCAGGAAGAAGCCGAAACTCGCCGCGAACGCCGGGTCGTCAAGCCCCGCGGACGGGTGCGCGGCGCTGTAGGCCGCGGAGTAGTGGCCGTATGCGCCGAGGGACGGCGTCAGGGTAGCGGCGAAGGAGAGCCAGAAGCCGCCGTAGGCGCCGAAGAGGACGAAGGGGTAGGTGTTGCCTGGGCGCTCATCATCAACCGTCAACCATCTGTCGCGTAAACTGCCACGCCGGTTTTGGGGAAAGGGGAAGACGCACCCATGATCCACTCCCCTATGCTCCCGATGACCATCAGCATCCCGCCCATGAAGTAGTACGACCCGATGGACGCGGCGCCGTTGCCGCCCGCGCCCCGCCACCCCATCACGTCGCAGGAGAAGGGGGTGAGCGCCATGGCGAGGCCGAGCACCGCGAGCGGGGTGGGGTTCGCGAAGGTCTTGCGCAGGGAGCCGTGCACGGGAGTTTGCGGCGAGAGGTAGTATTTCTCGAAGAGCTCCGGGGAGAGCGTGACGCTGGGCGCGCGATGCATGGGGGCGAGGGGGTTGTTGGGAGGGGGCTTTTCGTCGTGCGGGGGAGGGGTGTTGGTGGAGGAGGTGGACATGGTGGCGGTGGGGTTGGGGGATGAGGTGGAGGTTGGATGATTGAGGTCTGATGGAGCAGATGAGAGGAGGAAGAGCGCTTTAGATATAGGGGATTTGGATGATAGATGGGAAAAAGGGAAGTATGTGGAGCCCTTTATCAACTTACCCCCTATAGCATCGCATCGGCATGGTGCGGCATCTTCGAAGCAGTTTGGATGGCTTATCTGGCTCTTTGATTGGCTCTCGCCGTGTGGAGAGATAGAAGAGGAGATAAAGGGTCTTTTCGCTCCATGAATCGCTTCATAGCCCGAGAAGCGTGGAGGCTGATTGTGAGTGTCGATCGACTCCTAGAGACGCAGTGGTATCACATCTCTACTCTATCATGCCATCTAATTCCCTCTTTACTATACATTACCGTCTGTCATTTAGTGTGTAGTTGTTCCCACAGGCACTTAAACAATACGACACTATCCCGTCCCCTTCACGTGCCCCAAAGTTCCCCCCAGAGAGTCAAATACGCAACACCGCATAACCAAGAACATCCACAAAAGCACAAACGCCATCAATCGTCCATCTCTCGCTAATCCGGCATCGCATGTGCGTATGTTCAGCATTCGCCGGTCTCGGTGTTTGCGTCTCGCCCGGGCTTTGATGCGCTCGGCGTTTGCTTTCCTCTCCATCAAGTCGCAGATCCGCAACGCAGACAGAATAAGCTTTACGATCATCTCTTCTAGCTCGAAGGTCTCGGGATGGGTTAGTCCGCTAGTACCGTCGTCGATGAAACGTGGGTGGTCGTCGATCCGCCCAAGCAATTCTCACCAACCCCAACTTCATCCCTCACGACGCACTACCTCCCTTCCCGCCGCAAAGCCGCAATATCCACGTGCAGAATCTGCACCCCCTTTTCCATCCTCGCACTCGCTGCCAACTGCCCGTTCCCCGTGATCCGGCCGGTCAACCCAATCATCCGCCTCAACCACACCCTCTGCGCGCCCTCCAAGCCCAGCGCCGCCGCCGAGATATTCAGCGGCCAGGGCAGCAGGGACGCCTTCCGCGCCGACAGCTCTTCGGGCGGTGGCGCGTGCTTCACGACCTCGACGGCCGTGTCGCCGGGGTCGTCGGAGAGTTTCACGCGGCCGAAGATGAAGCTGGCGCAGATGTGGGCGACGAAGGTCGCGCTAGTCGCGATAGCGCGGGCGTACTGGGCTTGAATGATGGCGGATTGGGGGTAGTCGAGCTCGGAGTGGAGGCGCTGCAGCCCGCGGGAGATGATGATGTTGGCCGCGACGCAGGCGGCGCGGTAGCGGTTCCACGCCGTGGCGTGGAGGAGATCGAAGTGCACATGGACGGTGGTGCTGTAGAAGAGCGTGCTGTTGGCAGTGCCCGTAGCAGAGATGGCGGCGGGTGGGAGGTCCTGGGTAACGTAGGACCATTCTTGGGGGATCTGGGCGGCTCAGGCGGCGAGTTCGGCGTCGAGTTTGCTGGCTTCGGAGATCAGGTTGATAGCGGAGTCTTTGAGGCATTGGCGTTCGAAAGGGTCGGTGGGAGGACCCTGTCAGATCTTTTCTCGGACGGTTATGCCCCAGGCGCGGAGCTGGGACAGGCGGATGATGTAGGCGTCGAAGCTGAGTTCGAGGCCTTTCTCGCCGAATTCGAGACCGTTGTGGAGATACGCGGGGACGGCGAAGCCTTGTATTAAGGCGTTACACATCTAGGTTGGTCAACTGGAGATCACAGTAGTGTTTCAAGGCTATGTCTCATTCAGGCGCTATTGTTCACTTCCTACTTGTCGCCGGACGTTTTTGTCAAGGCGAATACTCTTTTCCGTCAGGGGATTGAGGGATCGCCGGAGGTTGAGAATGGCCATGGCACCGTTGAGATGATGAATACTTCCCCAGAAAAGGGGTTCTTGAGTTGAAGTGTTGCAAACGATGTTCTAGGTGGCCTTGACCAAAGGTCCAGATAGTAAATGAAGCTTTTGTTGTTCAAGTACCTCATACGACACCAACATCATCACATTCAACAGCGTCTCATCAGAGATAGCTCGGTTTGCGTTGGCTACTGATTGCTTTGCCATTGAGATGCACGAGTCCTCTTTCGTAGATGCTAACCTTTATACGACGCGTTCTGCACGTTCCACGCCCACGGCTAGGGTACGGCATCCTGCATGGTGCCCGATCGGGGGAGATACTGTAAAGAGGAAGACGAGAAGGCCTGCTTCGGAGCAGCGCAGAAAGGATCCCTTTGGGAGTCAAGAAATTCGTGCACTTTTAAAAGCTGGCGTTTGGCTTACAGCAGCTTAGCAGGGCCCCCTACAAATCAGAGACCTCCGACCTGCCGAAGTTGAATGCATAATTATGCACATTGCAAAACTTTCAAACATTATATAACTATTCTCTCTTTCAAGCTATCAAGCCGTTTGCGGAAAAGGAAGCCCTAGTCTCTCTTATTAGTTTGCGCCTACTCCGCCCTTAATCGCATTAAAACTAAGCTCTATATAATTTTGGGAAGTTCATAATGTTTCAAGCACAGCTTTACGATCAGCATTTGGTGTTGGACGCTACCTCCTAGGAAGCCGAGAGGCTTGGTGTTAAGTCGCATCAGGGCTACGGCTAATGCGCACGAGCCGACGCTAGCAGGTGACCTACGAAGGGATTTGTTCAACGTTCCACGCCAAAACGTGCGGTCACGACACCTCAACCGTTAGAGTGCGGCAAAGCGAAATCCTGCCACCTTCACTAGTCGGGCATTACCAACTCCACCACACCGATACAGTTGCATCCTTACGACGTACCAAGCCACTGCTTGCATGGTATCTCCAGCTGAGCGGCACGGCGGCGAGTAGCAGGCCCAACGGCAAGGCACCTCAGATTCTGCATTGTTGCTTGAAACCTTCCAGAGGCACTGGCTCATCTGTCGCAGAACTATTGGCACTAACCCAACTGTCGCACACGCAGTCTCTGTTGATCGGGACTAGCTCGTGCGACCCGCGACACGACAACCACCTGACGTTCGACTGCCTAGCCCGCAGGCAGGCCCGAATGGCACTCTGGGAAGACAGTGTCTTGCTAAGCTGGCTTCACCCTTGAGACCACTGTGCTATTTTCTGCACCTCTAAGCATCCTGTTTTAGGTGTGACTCATCTACCGCCGCCAAGACCTGGAAGCGCGGCCAAGCTTTCGCTGAACGTTCCGATTTCCAAACCATCTAAATACATCGCTGGGTATGGCGAGCAGCGCGGGATATAAGCACCGCTCTTCACTCGGCCTTGATCCGTCTGCATACCTTGGAGATCTTGTGGTCGATAATCGCCATATGCCCGAACAACAGCTCTCCAGTTCACGCAAACGTCAACGCTCAGAGTCTCAACCGAACGAAATATCGGAACCGGCATCGAAAAAGCAGAGGCCCGGCGATCTCAGCGGATCCCAACCACCAGCGACATTTTGGGATAACTTATTGAAGATTTGGTGCCGGTTACTCGAAACTTCCTCGCTCAGCCAAAGAGAAATCGCCAAACCGCCCAAGACCCCGTCGACTATCTTCGCTGTTGCGATCTGAGGACCTTGAAGGACGTAAAGCTGTTTACCAGACACGGTGGTCCAGATCTGTCGGGCCTGAGGAATGTATGGGCTGCAAGATACTTGCCGGCTGATGTCAAAGCTAATGGGTCTTTCTACTATGTAGTACCCCGAACCTATACCTCCTGATTACACGATGAGCTCGAGCTAGTCTAGTTCTTAGAGCCGACAACAGGGTTTAGTGAATCCCCCAAGCACTGAGCCCACCACGAATACTATAAAAATAAAGAGCACCGGGGTTTATAACCGCGCCTTTTAACAACACCTTGTTGATAACGCCGTTTATTCTGATATATACGAATACCCTAATGGCCGTGTGCCCGCGAAGCTAGACAACTAGAAGGATTTGAAATGTATATTGGCACAACCTCGACCATCTCTTTCACCATCTAAATTCGCTGATGAAGAACATGAAAGATTTGCGCGGGCAGACGCGCATGCCGCCAAAGAAAAGCAAGTATCAGAATTGGTGATTCCCATCACCGAAGGCAAGATCGCGGACGCTAGGTGCCACTCGGGAGGAATCCCGTTCACCAACCTCATCCCCCTGACGGACGGCACGCTTAAACCGGGAACCCAGACGTCTACTATGGCGCGCGCCCGGAACAGCTCGCTCGAAAAGTCCGCGACAGGCTTGGCGGCCAAATCACTCCTTCGACGCAGCACGACCTTCCCATCGCGCCGAACTTTTTCCTGGCGGCTAAGGGGCCAGATAGATCAGCTGCTGTCGCCAAACAATAGACTTATTACCACGGCGCATTAGGAGTGAGAGGCATGAACAGTCTTCAGTTATACGGGAAAGGCGAGCCTGTTTCCGACAACGCCTATACCATTACGTCGACTTATATACGGGAAAGGCGAGCCTGTTTCCGACAACAATGCCTATACCATTACGTCGATTTATATGCGGGAAAGGCGAGCCTGTTTCCGACAACAACGCTTATACCACTACGTCGATTTATCACGACGGCCAGCTCAAGATGTACACCAGCCACCCTGCTCAGCCAACTAGTGCCGGAGGCGGGCCTGAATATTACGTGACTCAACTCAACACCTGGGGCATAACTGGCAACCCTGAATCCTTCCGGCAGGGAGCTACTGCGTACAGAAATGCAAGAGACTGGGCAAAAGAGCAGATAGACAAGGCCATTCAACAAGCGAACGAGAGAGCTAACCCGGTTCAAGTTGAAGCACCGGCACCAGCAGGTGATCCAGCGGGTGATGCATCAGGTGCCATCCCAGCTTCAAGTTTCGTGACTGCGGTGTCGGATACAGAGGCCTACACCATGAGCCAGGAATCTCGGACGTCGCTGAATGAAGGGGGCTTTGAGGAATTTGATGGTTCAATACAAGACTCTGCGGAATACAGAGTTCCGGCCAAACGTTCTCGTCTCCAACAGCCTTATGGAAAGCGACGCAATACTGACGTTAGCGGTGCTGAAGAAAGTGATGGATCCGCCGTAGTTCATGTCGCGCAAGCAAGCAATGTGACAACTCGGGAGAGCTAAAGGCGGTCGTGGACAAACGGCAAATTTCATTATCACGAAGGACAAAGTCTTGTGAAAGAGCAGACTGAGACTCCTGCTGATGTGTGGATTTATTTTGATCAAGGCTAGGCTGGTCAAAGAGAGAAGAAATGGAAGTGGTGGACATCGGCAACCGGAGAACTCCTGTATTCTTGATGGCAGTGTCTTTCTGAATTATACGTTACCTCACCGAAAAGCGAAAGAGGAGTATTGCGAGAAAATTCTGTTGAGGTCACGCGCACAGCTTTACATATCTGAAATTAAGTATCGAACTATTTTCTGGTGACATCGCTAGTAATATTTGCGTATGGCCTCTTCCACTAGCTTTATGGCTTTATATCATCTCCTCAATTCTGAATGGGTTGCCTGCTTGCATTTATCACGTGCGCTAGACCACGATGCCTTCCCTAAACTAGCAATGCCGTCGACAAGCCATTCAGTCAGCCTACCACGGAATCATATGCTTGTATTTCAAGCCCCTCGACCCTACATCGCGGCCCTCAACGCTTCCTCTGACGCTTGAAAAGGATGGACTCCATCAAAGCTCCCGGCCATAGACGTGCGCGACGCAAGATCAGCAAGCTGACTGAGACGCCTGGAACGGGCCGCAACCACAGTTCAGACCTTCGTCCCCTCACTACAGCAAAAATGTGAGCAGTGGTGCAGGCTCGCCGGAGTCTACCTTGGCGCAGTGAAGACTGCAAAGCCACGTCGGCTACGGTCAGGTGAAGTGCTGTAGAAGGCCTGCACGGCGTTGAGGCTCATTGCAATGCAATCTCGTGGTGGAAGCAAGAAGAGAAGAACACCGCCAGCGAGGCTGGGGTAATGGCAATGCCATGGGACTGGCTGAGGAGGGACGATACACTGGATAAAACTCCACATACAGCTCAATGACGAACTGCGACATAACGCTACGTTGAGCAAGGCGGAAAAGGCGGTGCAAAAAAAGATAGGCACCGAGCATGCGAGAAGACGACGTTCGTAGGGCGCCCAATTCAAATTATCTTACCCAGGTCTGTTTTGTGGCTGTGTGCGTTTGGTGGAATTCATAACCCATTTGCCCTACGAATAAGAACAGGCCACGGATGCGATCTCTCGCAGATATTAAGAGGGCCATTTGCAAGCGGTGAAACAGATCTGGACGTATCCAACGCCATGGACTAGGCTATCTGCCGGTACCTGCATGAAGCCGATGATCCTACAAAGGTAAGACAAGACGCTGGATGGGGACGCGAGGCCTCGGGAAAGGTTTTACCTAGGCGCTCTGGCCGCGTGCTTCCTCCAACACCTCTTCTATCACCAGCCCTTTCGACGCCGTACCATGATTCCTAAAAACAATTACCGAACCTAAAAGACCGTGTGCAGTGTTACATCGCAGATTAAGTTTGGTAGCCATCTATTCTAGTCCAGACAGCACCTCGTTCATGCAAGACCGGAGAGCACGTTTGAATCCCCGCATTCCACGCCATCACACGGATCTCCGTACATCGGCGACATGTTCCTGTAACGTCCATACTGATACTCTCGCGACCCTTTTCTAGCACTGTCCAGTATTGAGTTCTCAGGACGCAATAATTCCGTAATTCAATTCTCCCTGAGGATTCTCCTAAGTGCTGAACATTTCAAGCCAAAAACGAAGTGCGCATTGGGATGTATTCATGGAAAAAACAAAACTTATCGGCGTCTTTCCATTTCAAAGAACGTGATTTTGGTATCAGGATAGTGTCAAGCTTGGCGCATGGAGGATTTGAGCTCGCCAACAGAGCACTTGAAGAGTTTCTTCCGGTCACCGTAGCTCAGTACATCTCCTTGGTATTGAAAGTCGACAGTAGTCTAAGGTCTATCCCAAAATTAGGCGTTTTACCCCCACACTTCTCGCTCCTCACACCGCATTTCGCCATATGGTGTATTACGATCAAGGTTTTCACTTCGCCTACCGCGGTCAGACGATCCTGTGGACCATTCACCTTCGTCTTGTAATATGTTGCCATGCATTGGGCGTGATGGCATACATAATGCTTCCACCTACTCTCTACATCTATACCTCCTCACCCACTCTCTACCTTCATACCTAGACCTTGAATATCTATATTCGTACGCCATGGGACTTACTCGGGCTTTCATCTCGTCTGCCTTGACTATAATCACCACTATTCTGGCACTAGTTAGTGCAAGCCCAACTTTCAGTCCTATACAGCCTCCTTCGTACCCTCTCGCAGTTCGCAGTCCATATCTATCGGGTATAGTTGCTTCTATACGTCCCATTGATAGTTTTTACGCTGATTGGAACTCCTACAGTATGGCTTCCAGGGGGCTTAGCTACCAATCTTCCTACCGCGGTTCCGGAGTTCTGGACTGGCCAGAAACTAGGTTGGTCCATCTTGGCCCGAGTGGAAGAAAACGCCAAATGGACTACATACAGTCTATTCGGCTTTGGTGGGAGCGATGCCAATGTCGTGGCAGCAACAGTAGTAAGCGGGGAATACACCTCGACACGTTCAACATTCGTATTGACTGCTGGCACGGTAAAATTCTCCCTCGAATTCTTTTCGCCTGTGGATCCGAGGAATTACGTCCGTCAAAGTTTGCCGTTCAGCTATTTCACGGTAACGGCTTCTTCATCCAAAGGCGTTCTAGTGCAAGTGTACTCGGCCATCGACAAATCCTTTACCGGAAATTTTGATGCAAACCCTCAAATCAGCTTGACGCACACTACCTCCGGCAAAACTTCGATCTACGAATGGACGCCTAGCAATCCCCAAGTGTTTGTAGAGAAAAATAATGCAGCTCAATGGGGAACGGTTGTGTTCGCTTCTCGCCAAAGCGATGGATCCAAGTCCCTCACTTACTCTACTGGCCAGCGGGACATGATTCGAGGGCAATTTGTCAGTAACGGGACTCTGAGTAACCCAAGTACCAGTGTGGCGGCCGACACTATCACAGCCTATGCTCACGATCTAGGAACTGTCACATCGGCTGCCAGTGTTACCTTTGCAATTGGCCACTACCACGAAGATGCTATTAACTATTTGGGTGCTCATAGGACACCCTATTTTCGATCTGTTTACCCCAACTCAGTCTCGGCCCTCATCCATTTCCTAGATGACCATTCCTCTGCACGTGCAGACTCACTCGCGTTCGAGAGTAAACTGCACGACCTGGCAATTGAAACGGGCGGAGAGAAATACCGAGACATCCTTGCTCTCACTGTTCGCCAGGTATTTGGTGCTATTGAGCTAACCATTCCTGGCGGAGCAACCCCAACGGATACGGACGACTTCCTAGTGTTTATGAAAGAGATTTCATCGAACGGAGACATCAACACCTTGGACGTCATCTTCCCAGCAATCCCTCTCTTCTACGTCCTCGCGCCGGAATATATTCGCCTCCTTCTCGAGCCTGAATTACGATATCTCAAGAACGGCGGTCCCAATCAAGCATTTCCCGTTCACGACTTAGGCACCTATCCAAATGCTGTCGGCCACGATGATGGAAAAGAAGAGCATATGCCTGTCGAAGCCAGCAGCGTCGTCCTCATCGCCTCCCTATGGTATGCCAAAGCTACCGGTAATGGCATCTGGAGCGGTTCAGGAGGCACCTTCACCAGCACCCTCACCAACTATGCCGATTTTCTCAGCGACGAGAACAATGGCCTCTACCTCCCATCCCAGCTCAGCACAATCGACGGACCAGGCCCTCTGGCCGGCCAAACCAACCTCGCCATCAAATCCGCCGTTGCGCTCAACGCTTTCGGTGTTCTTTCCGGCATAAAGAAGTATTCCGATAGAGGCCTGTACTACGCGTCTCAGCTCTACAACAGTAGCGGTGACGGGATCGGCCAGAGCTGCGGGGATGCAGCGCCGCACTTTACGCTTCAAACGAATGATGTGCATGACTGTGCCGACTACGCTTTCTCGACCGCCTTCAACCTTTATCCCGACGTCTTATTGGGCCTAAAGACGTTTCCACAGGCTGCGGTTGACATGGAGGACGCTTTCTACCCTATTGCACGAAAAGAAGCCGGCGTCCAGGCAGACACGCGAGGTGATTGGATGAGCACATTTTGGGGCTTTTGGGCCGCAGCAAGTGGAGAAGAGGGCGGAGTCACTGAGAAGCAGTACATAAATGATATCTATGCTTTCATCTCGAATGGGAAGAACACTCATCCGTTCTGCGATCGGGTACATGTTACCGGGGACAGCGTGGGCTTGGAGTATACGTGGCGTGCGAGACCGGTGATAGGCGGTCACTTTGCAGTTTTGGCAAGGAAGAAGGGGCCTGATCTGATTTGGAAATAACTTGCTGGTGGGAGTGTGGTAAAAATGGCAGAGAGCGTGAGGCTGAGTAGCGGCATCCTGTAGCACTGCGTTTGGTTTCTTATATCACTGTGCAGCGCGGCTGTCACTTAACTGTTTGATACAAACTAGAAGGAGCCCCACCACAAGCGCCCAAGGTAAAGCCTTTGACACGCCGAACTCCAACACTGGAAGGACGTGAAGTCAGGAGAGTGAGTCGCTCAACGCATCGATCGCCTGTACCTTTAGGAACGCTCTGCCTCTTGAACAGCATTTGTCTCACGAGACCAACGGGAGCAATGCGAATACCAGCAATCACCATGAGCAGGTCGCGCTCATCGGACATTCCCGCCGTCATGCACGAAAGCCGTTATTGACAGACTCCTACGACTCTAATGGAGCAGCATCGAAAGTAGCATTAAGCACTACTACGGAAGAGTGGCGAGTCCAGGGCATCCTCCAATGCAAGGCAAATGGGCCTTGGACCACATTCACCCTCAACCCTCTTTATGTATCGGCCCTATCAAGAAGTCTCGAAAGTCAAGGGCCAAGTCCAAGTTCACCGGAGAGGAGAACGCGCTGCTCATCAAATTGAAGGGGGAACAGAATCTACCATGAAAACTAATCAAGAACTCATTTCCAAGAAGAACTGTTGGATCACTGCAGGTGCACGATTCTACGAAATTGAAGGGAAGAGCTGCTGTGCGAAAGATCCGGCGGTGATGGTGGGGCTTAAAATGTCCACGTTTGAGATAGTGGTACTCAAATCTATCTTAGAGGTCTATTTTCTGGCTTGGGGTTTGCTGGAGACCGCCCTCATGCCTTAACTTCCGGACCTAGACTACGAAGGAGCTCGTTTTTCTTGAGTCATACCCTGCCACTGAAATTAGGCGAGGGCATAGGACTCAAGAAAAACGAGCTCCTTCGTAATCTTTCAAATTGGCTCCACGTGCGCGGCTGGCGTGACATTGACATGGAGTGCTGGGGTACCATCGCCCGCCACGGACGAGAGGGTTAGAACTCACAATAGGATCTGGTCAGGCCCACGACCGTGTCAAGCGTTACCAGGTCCGGCAAATGGCGGCTGTCAACCGGCCTCAACGCGCGGCGACACTCGAGAAGCGCTAATCATTTTATCATCTAATCATGAGACGACCGAATTCGATGTTGAGTTCGTTGCAGAGCGAGAGCGCCGTCCATACGACTCGTCTACTAGTACCTCTGTGATATTTCCGATCACGTGAGGTAAGAATTTGGAGAACAATAGATGTCGATTCTATGTAGGAATCTAGCTAGCCTATATACTTGTAGGAGAGGCCCGTGCAGGCCTAATATGCGCTAGATCCACTGTAATAAGCGTGCCTATATCCCATCTCAGGGCATGGGTGGGAAGCTAATCCGCGTCACGAAATCGCATATCCGGCAGGTGAGTACTGATGAATGCGTATAATTTAGTAGTCGCTAATCCAACTCCGGCCCATTAGGAGATAGGAACGTGCAATCGCAGCCCCTACCGATCCCATCGTCGTCTTTCATAGTTGACATTCCTCTGGATGATATTACGAACTGGCAATCGCAGCCCCCATCGATCCCATCGCGGTCTCTCATAGTTGACATTCTCGGGATAATATTGTGGATTGGCCTCCCTGGGTCATGGATGCTCCACCCTACAACTCATGGGAACCAAATTACGAATCTAACACCGTCACTAATGAAGGCTGGCTGCCCAGCGTTGCAGAAGATGGCATGGCCTAAGGAGATAACGGCGCGTGGAGAGTTCTCATGTTGGGCTATGTACGCGTCGTGTTTCGGATGGGGATAACGATCTGATCACTAGAACCTCCAATATACGATCCTGGTGGCCCAGCTGCTCGGTAAACTCCTGATCGCAATGCGAACTATTATGTTTAGAGGATGTTTATAAGCGGTGGTAGGAACGCACTCTTAGGAAGAGCTTAATCAGAACATTTTCTCTCTGATTCTTTAGTGCAGCTTTTTGCTCTGCTTCACACCTCTCCAACGTAGCTGGTTGCGCCGCCTTTGAAGCAGTATATTCTGCCTCATGTTCCAACTCCCACTTTTCCAGTTCCTCATCAATATCTATTGGGAACTGCTCGAGATGCGATGGCATGGGTAGTGCAGGTAGATAGAGATAGCGGGTTGCTTGTTTTGGGATGCTCCGCGTAGTACTACGGCATGAAAAAAAAAATAGAGCAAGCTGCAGGGCACGGTGCGTTGCTTACCTGAGTGACGACACAAGCTTTGCTGAAGAAGGGGGGCGTCTTCAACGCGCTGTTGAAGTTTGCACATTTTGGCAGAGGGGTAGGCATTTGCTCAAAAGTCTAGACCATGTGACTGCCACCACCCAGCTTTCCGGCCCCATCCGTGCTGGTCTTGTCACGCGCCACTCTCCGTGTTTTGCCGGCTAGCGTAGTTCTGCGACTAAGCCACAGAGCCTCTTCGAACGTCAACTCTTTGACTCGGAACACACCGCTGAAGGCAAGAAGTCATACAACCCGCTCCTCTCTGCCTGTAATGGACAACTGAGGACTTATTCTCCGCAAGTATACTCGTAGCGCCCGACAAGCCATTCAATCAGCCGACCACAGAAATATACGGTGATCCCTTGGTCCCATGCATTCCGTGGCATTCGGCGGCCTCGTTCAGACGCAGGCCTAGACAATTACTAAGGCGGTAAGAGTAATGAGCACGTCGAGGCGCAAGGGAAAACCACGCGAAAGCAGCGTGGCTTATGCACGCAGGGGTAACGGCACAAGCTGGAGGCTGGAAATAATATAGCGGGCTGATCAAACCCTCGTCATATAGAGCTTTCTCTAGTTACCCATTTTCCCTTCCGCTTCCTTACGAAACATAACTAGATTTCCATTCTACCCTTCCCCGTGGATGATCCGGAATCATGGACCGCTACGTCCAGCTTCGAGCTCTTTGTTGAATGTTTCCTTGGTCTGGACAAAACTTTCATCCGCCCGTTCGATCACAATGGACACAAATACAATATCCTTACATCTTCTCCTCAATCCGCCCCATTTTCTGACTCGACAATTACGCATGTTTGTGGGATCATTGAGTCATGCTCTCATCTCGATGGCGCTCACGTTCTCACTTGCGAATCCAATCCCAACAAGGAGAACTTCCGTGCGTATGTTATCATGCCAGGAGGCAAATTCGAATTCCTTCACGAACCAGGTTGGACATTGTGGGGCTTTATCACGACAAGATCTTTCTGGGTTGTCTACGGTGACGCGAAAGATAATCTACCTCGACTTCCTCGGTTGAAAGATGAACTTGGGGGTAAGTCAAAAATACCATTTATGGTGAGTGTTGTCTAATTATATTATCTAGAGAAGCATTCTACGAATGGGTTGCACTGGCTGGCTTGATTGTAGCGGGTGGCTTGCACGTATTGGGTGTCTGAACCCGGTAGATTTTCAGTACGCGTAAAGTCCGACAGATTAAGAAATTCCACTCTCACAACCAATGCCCAGCCCGCTGTGACCTGTAACTATTCCATTCACCACCGAGGGTATTTCCCTCCCAATAACCTATCCAGTAGTCTAACATTCTCGATTGGTTTCTAACGTATGCCGATGCCGCATTCCATCCCACTCGAGATAAAGCAATACTAAGAATTAGCCAGGTTGGAACTTCCAGCCGTCTCACCCCCTCCGCAGCCACAGCAGTGGAACCGGAACCGGCGGCACCGGCAGTACGGCAGGTCATGGAGATATGGCAGGAAAGTTGGATTCTAAAAGATTTTCGTAATGTGTCTCAATGAAAGAAAAGTCTGTCTTTCACGTCTGCTCCCGTCAAACGCCTCCAACCACCACTTGCCAAATTTATTGAAGAACCCTCTCTATTGCAGCAAGTCTTGTTTTCCAGATTGTTCTCCAGATTGTTCAACAATTGGAAGTCTTGCTAGCTTCCTAAAAATGTCTTCCATTAACATCTTAATATCATCTTCAATCTCGCTTTTATCGCGCTACAGTAGAACTCCCCAGCACGCCCATTAACTATCTTGATTTCATATTCAACTCTGGACCCCTTCTTGGTGCTGACAAATCTTTTGGTTGGGTTGGAGTTACGCCATTCGGGAATACCCTTAAGCTGACCTATGATATGTTAATAATCCATGAAAAGGAAGGGAAGAGACTCATACTCTTAATCAACTTCACGAAGAGCAGGCTTTCATGGACGAAAAGCATATTGCTTGGCCTGAGGGAGGAGATAGGTGGAATGGAAATGTGATTTTGATTTGTAAGGAGGCGGAAGGATAAGAGGGCGGGACGGTCTATTTATGTCTCTGGCTGGCTGAGGAAGGACCTAACGGGACCTTTTAACAAATAAGGGTGAATCATGCAACTAGTTAGCCACGAATTTTGGAGCAGGTCGAGAATGGCTTATCGGGCGCCACGACTTCACCCAGACATGAGCGGGCTGTATCGCGTCCTGCCGGCGTGCTCCAATGCAAGAGTGACCGCGAAGAGCATTGAGGGCGTTAGCTTGTTCGACTCCCCAGTCGCGATACGCAACGCCCTCAGCATATTCGCGAACTAGACCAACGGCGTACTTCTGCTGCATCTCGAAGGCGTTCATCACACGCCTGCGGATTCGCGACCCGCTCCAAAATTCGTGGCTAACCACTTGCATAATCAATCCTAGTTCGTCTGCCGAAGGGCTCCTATATCGTAATGTCCTACTGGAGCGGCTGCCGGGCCACGTAGCGGGCTAAAGACTCGATGCCCCGTTATATAAAGCTTCCTTCAGTTGTTTTTATGGTTCTTGTTTCATTGCGGCCGCACTCTAGTCCTTCCCCAGCCAGAGAGATGAATAGGCACTACAGACCTCTTGTCCTTCCGCTCTTCATTCGCAAATTGGTTCTATTCTACCCATCCCCTTAAGCCAGGCAACAAAATGAGTTCTATCAATAAAGATTATGAAAGCAGGAAACACTCAGATATCGCAAGCTAATTAAAGGGTCGCCTTCGTCTTCCCTTCTTTTAGCGGATTGCTAACGCATTTTAGATCAGATTGAGGTCGTCCAGATCCTGAATCCGCAGTGGAATAGTTGCAAGCCGAAACTGGGATACATTCACCAAGACCGCAAATACGAAGCCTTCGTTGTTGATGTGAATACTGGAAAGGTTCTACTGCACTTCAGACCGGAGGATAGGCACGATAGATTGGACCATGTACTTAAGGGAATGCTCCCCCCCTAGGTTTGGTTGTTTACAAGCGTCAATGCAAGCGCTGAAGCGCTGCACTATCTTGCTCAGATGCGTCTGCAGGGTGCGCTTGCATTAGCTCCATCTGCATGCCTGTCAACTGGGCGAACTGTCCAAAATGAGGATACAACAATATGCCTGGCAAGGAAACACGTAAAGGGACTTTGTCAGATGGAAGTACCTGGCGCACTTCCTATTAGTACAGCTTGATAAGGTAGTTAGTCTCCGCATGCGGCCCTCCGAAGTTATAGTAATTGTCTCTAGTAGCACAGTTGCAGGGAATAGAAGTAGCTACGATGGCGTGAGCTGCAAGGGATTTGCATTTGTTGAACTTTTGGCACTTCTCTCAGATAATGCAACCGACACTCCTTCTCGTTGTGGTTCACCATAGGTAGAATACTTGCCAGAACCCACAGAAACTTATTTAGCAATTACAATAGTCTAATCTAAACCTTCAATAAAGGGATGTGATACACAAATCACGATTGCGGTACTTTGTACCCCCGCCACTCCATCCAAACCTGTGTGTGATTCTCAAACCCATGAGCTCCAAGCGCCTTTTGGACACTAGCTCTCCACCAAGTTGGATAGTCGGTTGCTGAAGCGGACAAGTCCATCCCGCTGGAGATTCGAAACTTGGTCCTGATCCAGCCTCGAGGAAAGTAACCAGCAATTTCGAAGTCAATGATCCCAACCTGTCCTGAGCGCGGCTCATGTTCCACAATGATGTTCGTAGGTCCAAGGTCAGCATGAAAAAAGACGAAGATAGAGCAGTCCATTCCTATTGCCTTGCATCCCGCTTGGAGCGGGCTGAAGTCGTCGCTCCCTCGGGGTGTGACGAGGAAGTATTCGGGTATGTTCTCATTGTCCGCGCCGCAAAGTCTATGCCCTTTCCACCCTGCCATTTCTTTGCAGATGTTTACTACAGCACTGACGTAGTGAAGTCGCCACTTTTGATCCAGACTTGGCCATGCAGCGTCTAGGGTACAACCCGGAAGTCTCTGAAGAAAGAGGTAGGATCGGTCATTGCCGAAGGCATGGTGTAGTACCTTGGGCGTCTTAAAGCTCGGCCGTTGATTCTGGAACGAAGTTCAATGTAATTGATTCGGGCATAACACTCTCCTCAATGTACCTAACTTTGCAAAAGGCTCTATTTCCTATAGACCAAACTGCAGAGGCATCGCCAGCTTCATGGATCAGCTCAATGTACGGGCTGTCAAGAGATGTTGTAGAGGGAAGCGGAACAGGAGCTTCCGTCAATTTGTAGCTTGAACTGTCACCGTCGTCATTCCAGGTTGCCTCATCGGATAGATAGGGTGAACGATGGAGCACAAGGCCACCAATAAGCCAAGTATTTGAATCGATTTGTTTAAGGGACTTGTTGATATGGTCTTCGCCCCATTTCCGCACGACGACCATGTGGTGCTATTAATGCGATGGATGGATATCTGCCGACAAATGTTGATGCCCTGGTGACTACAGATTAGCGTTTGATTTCAGACTATGATCCATAAACTTACAGTGGTAGAACTAAATAACAAAAGGCACCAGCTTCACCGAAAGGTATTTCTCGACCGTGCGAAGGATGCAGCTGAGCGAAGGTATTTATTCGGATAACACCTGCCTCGTGGCGGTAATATCCCGGCCACTATCCGGAAGCACCGTAACTAGCTAGTTAGTTAACGTGTTCTGCGGGCAAGCTGCCCGTGCGGGCATCCTGCCCACCCCATCCAAAATCGCAGAAACGCGACGCGTTACTCAACTACTGCCTCAATGCCTACACCACAACAACGAGAAGACCTCTTTAAAGAGGGCAGAATTGATCTAGCTATTCAAGTGTACAGGCAAGGCCAAATTACAAGTTTCCGAAAAGCACCAAGCACGTACGACGTGCCCCGGAGCATCGCCCGGCTACGCGTCAAGGGCATCAAACCAAAACGCGATTCTATCGCATCGAATCGCCGTCTTACACCTGCACAAGAAGAGAGCCTTAAGCAATGGATTCTATCATCAGATCGACGCGGTATGCCGCCACAAATCGCATTCGTACGGCAGATGGCTAGCCTACTAGCTACACAGCACCCTGGTGCTAAACCAGTTGGCGAGCGATGGGTATATGACTTTATCAAGCGTCATAATAACCTACAATCCAAATAGAATCGCAAGTACAACTACCAGCGTGCTAAATACGAAGATCCTGTGCTTATTCGAGGCTGGTTTAAACTCGTGCATAATATAAAGGCAGAATATGGAATTCAAGATAAGAATAGAGTATTTGAGGGGGTTCTTGAAATCGACGGGGTATTTGAAATGGCTCGTGCGTAGGAACATCAAAAATGACGGAGAATGCCGCTTGTAAGGGCAATCGCATACAAATTAGCATTCTATCGCATATTTGATGTTCCTTACACCGTATCTCAATTGATTTTGTATATTGTCAAGTCCTAGCATAGTGTTAAGGTTGCAGGTGTAAGGGCCGTAGGCCTGAAACAATAGATTGTATTAAGTACAAGAAGAATTCATTAAGGATCTAAACTACGAATACACGCTGCCTATATACCTCATCGTCGAGAGAGTGATGCAACCGTCCTGTCCTCCTCCGTACGGTATCGCCGTGCTGCATCATCGTGCTTGTGCTGTAATGTCGTGCTGCATCGCCGTGCCGCAATGTGAAAGAGGCTTCGTAGGAGGCTACGTGAAACGGAGAGGATGCGTAGCCAATTGAGCAGCCGTTCGAGCGGCTAGGTCGTGAGAACACGTGTTAGTGTACGGTTTGATGAATCGGACAGGGTGGGGCAGCCTAGCCGATTCCTAGAAATAGAGATTCAATCTTAGAATAGGTCCTGGTGACGGCTTGTAAACCAGGACGGATAACGTGAACGGAAAGGATGAATTAAGGCGTTACAAATTGGACGGGGTGGAACGGCCTGGCTAGTTTTAGTATAGAATTCAGGTTCTTAGAATAGAACTGATTCTATGCTAAGTTCGTAAAACTGGCAGGCTGCACGAGTTGGATAGGCTATACGAATTGGCACTGCGTTGGTTCGAATTGACGTGAGGGACGAGCCGAGCCTTGTGAGGTAGTCAATGAGAAGAAGTCCAGGGCGTAGCCCGTGACAGCAGGAGTGCTAAGAATACATAAGAATGCCTCCCCACGCTGTTTTTTGTACTGCACGTCCATCACGCTGCATTAAATAACACCCTTAATACTAGGGCAATAGTATAGATATATAACTTTTTTAATAAGAATCTATGCTCTAGGAGTAATATACAGTATCTTTCAACTGCTAATTCTGATTTGGGGCTTAACTTCTGTTGAAATTTATGTACATCTTAGTGAGATCAGCGTTTTCTGTTGATGCGCTTGAGAATGGTATCCGGGTGTATCCCATAGACGAATGCGCTAGCTGAGGGGCTCCCGTAATATCCAGATTGATGTCCACTGATGGCGTCCTGTATAATCTGTTCTTTGGCTTGTCCACAGTGCAATAGCAGTATGGTAAGTGGGTGTATTAGGAGTAAGGGGCCACGGGGCGTAGGGGCGAGCTGATTTTTGGTGTTCACAGCAGAATCGTTGATCCTGACCAATCAGAAATAGGCGGTGAGGCGTACGCACGAGCCATTTCAAATACCCCGTCGATTTCAAGAACCCCCTTAAATACTCTACCTGGAATTTCGATGAGACTGGCTGCCAGATGGGTGTTATTGCAATTGCAAAAGTTGTTACTGGAACAGATAGGGCCGGCCGGCCTAGAACTATACAACCGGGCAATCGAGAATGGGTCACAATTATCAAATGTATCAATGCCAGAGGGATCGCAATTCCACTACTTGTTATCTTTGAGGCAGTGATGCACTAAGCTGCCTGGTATGAGGTTATACCACACAACTGGGCGATTGGCGTTAGTGAGAATGGCTGGACAACGAATAAGATTGGCCTTGCCTGGCTAAAGCTATCCCATGAGCATATAAAGGATCGCACGATTGGCACGCACCGGCTGCTTGTGCTGGATGGCCACGGCAGCCATGTTAACCCCGAATTTGATCAATTCTGTATAGAGCACAACATTGTTGTTGTATGCATGCCAGCCTATTTGTTGCATTTGCTGCAGCCGCTTAATGTAAGCTGTTTCTCGACGCTAAAGCAGGCCTATGGACGCAGCGTTGAACAGCTTATGGGCCGCGGTGTCAACCACATTAATAAACACGAATTCCTGCCGCTATATAGGCAGGCCAGGCAAACAGCGCTACATCAAGATAATATACAGGCAGGCTTCGCAGCCACTGGCCTTGTTCTATATAGCCCTGAGCGCGTGCTATCGCAGCTGCATGCCGAATTTCAAACGCCATCACCCCAACGCCGTCCACCGTCCTTAAATGCATCTTTGGCAGCCGAAACACCTCACAATATTGCTGAGCTACAGAAGTAGACAGCCTTAATAAAGCGCCATTTCCACCGACATACGCATAGCCCATTAAGTAAAGCAGAACAAGCCCTTAGCGGGATCGTTAAGGGGTGTGAAATGGCGATGTTAAACGCTGTGCTGCTTGCAAGCAAACTTGAGACGGCACGCATAAAAAATAAGCGCCAGAAACAAAAGAGGGCAAGGAAGCGCAAGTATGTAGCTAAAGGAGGGGTTCTATTAGGAACAGAAGTGGCCTCTCGTGCACAAGCTGCCCAAATAGAGGCAGAGGAGGCGCCAGCAGCGGCAGCGGCCGAGCGACCGCAGCGTGCAAAACCTAGGTGCAGCATGTGCGAATCAACTGAACACAACGCACGTACGTGCCCTAGACGGCAGGCAACTAGCTAGTAGATAGCTACACTAAATACAATCGTTCGTGGTTGAGCAATTCGCAATATTCGGCGTGGCGGCTTGGTGGGGTGGGCAGGATGCCCGCAGAACACGTTACAGGCGGCTGCTTATCTAACCAGCCAGCCCACAACGCGAACCCGCATCCGCGCCTTGGCCGTCGAACTTCATGGACTCGGAGATTTTGTCTGAGGCCTCCTACACACCCACAAGACCATTGTTATGGTCTAATAACGCCTCAAAAGGGTCAGTACATAGATATTCTGCATATTTGTCCTTTCTTAAATTCACCACCAGCGAGGCTTACAAATAGCAGCAAGTTTGTTCACCACCGCAACCCCTCCGTTCACTTTCGTCTCAACCGATCCTCGATGAGAAGGCAATCCGTTGCCTTGCCGCGTTCCAATCTTGAAGTATTCAGATAGCGCGCGCTTTGCCTTCATCCGATCTCTACCTGTAATCGCGACGCTTCCGCCTGTATAGCCACGACTAAAACCCACTTCAACGTCGCCTTCAACGAGAAATCCTTCTGCCTCCTCATATACCTCCGAACATTCCTGAGAAGGGTCCATATAAAAGCTGTACATTCGAAATCATATAAAGAAGAGTTTGCGGAGCTTTCTCTTCACATGCGAGAGCGCGGCGTCGGACTGCAGGGCGTTCTTGAGCGATCAATTGCGGGCAGTTTGAGCACTTCAAGACGCGTCTATTTTGAAACAGTTGGGCCAATTCTCTTCATGCTCAAGGTCTGAATAAGCTTGCCAAGCCGGAACCTGTGCCGAGCCAGAAAAGACGTGTTTTTGATTGACTTCGTCCCTTTCATTCACCGTCTGGCTTTCTCGCTTTTAGACGGCTCATAGGATAGCATTGCCACTTCGTTACCCCCGCAACGCGATCGGTGCGCGAGGCTCTCGGTCTCACGTTCCCCCGGTATATAAGTCGGCCTGTCGTAGACAGGTTATTGCCACAAAAATAGTCCACACTCCCTCCGCCGTGTAGTTGCCTAATCATAGAACCTCGCGCTACTCCAACAACACAGCTCAACCTCCTCCCGCAGAAGATTTGACCGCATTGTCCGCAGCTAGTCCGTTTTACGCTCCTCAATATGGACAGCCAACTCACCCAGCCGCTAACGCAACAAACCCTCGATCCTCGGAGGCTCGGCCGCAACAACTCTGGTCTCAAAGACTCGGACATCTCGGACGTCCTTTGCATTCTTCACCCCGCCTCCATAGCGGCATATCGTATTGTACAAGAAGCTGCGGTCAACACTCCTGAACACGTTCTTCAAAACGAGGGGCTGACGACGTTTGAGAACGTTGAATCCGGGCTTGACCTAGAGGAGCAGGAAACCATCATCATTGATGGCGAGAAGAAATCGACAGCGGGGAACGATCTAGCCCTTCGTATGTCTTCTATTACAAAGCAAAACTACGGGGGCTTTTTATTTGGAAGAAATGGGGCAATGTGCGACATCGTCTTTAGCAAGGACTCTGCTAAACGGACGTCGAACAAGCACTTTCGGATATTTGTCAATACGAACTCCATGCTAATGCTGGAGGATACATCGACAAACGGTACTGTGGTGGATGATATCCTTCTCAAATGCAAGGACCCACGGCACCATCCCACGCAACGTGTGCTAGATCAAGGGTCGATCGTCTGCATCCAAAGCACCCTAGATAAAGATCTAGTGAAGTTCGTTGTACGATTTCCTTCAAGGGAAGGTCACGAGGAAGCCTATGACCAGAAGTTCAGGACCTACGTCAACCGGTGTGCCATAGAAGAAGCGCGCACAAAAGGCAAACCGATCCCAACCCACTTGACCACTAAGCATTTCAAAGCCAGTGGGCAGGGTAGAACGACGTTTGGCATGTATTGGAACGGCGGAGAGAAATACAACGTTGTCGGTAAGCGCTGGATTCTGTTCAAAGCTTTTCAAAGCTAATCCCTTCATAGGTCTACTAGGGAAAGGAGCTTTCGCGACGGTATACCAACTTGCCACTAAGAACGAAGGGCACGCTATTGCTGCTAAAGAACTCGAAAAGAAGGCCATCATGAAGAATGGACAGATGGACCAGAAGATCGATAACGAAATGCGGATCATGAAGGAACTCAGGCACCCGAACGTTGTCCAATACATCGACTTCCACGACTTCGGGTCTCATCTGTACATCATGATGGAATTAATTGAGTATGGCGACCTTAGCGGCTATATAGAGCGACACGGTCGCCTTTCCGAGGAAAAGGCCAAGACGATGGCGCGTCAAGTCCTCAGCGCGCTTGCCTATCTCCATCAAAAGAACATCACTCACCGTGATATCAAACCCGACAACATCCTAATCAAGTCCGAGAACCCTCTGACCGTTGCGATTGCCGATTTTGGGCTTGCTAAACTGGTCAAGAACAACGAAACCTTCCTGAAGACGTTCTGTGGAACTCTCCTGTGGTGCGCTCCAGGTATGGTCATAAGTCCGGCGTGCATAATTTTGCTTTTTCTGACAATATTATAGAGATTTACCCTTACTATAGGGAATGGCTTTCAGCTCAAGGAAGGAAGCGTTCGCGCGGCAGCAGCAAAAAAAGTCACAACGAGTACAGCCAGTCCGTCGACATTTGGTCTTTTGCTGGCGTTCTGTGGAGCTCTCTCTGCGGCAGCCCACCTTTTGTGGGCACAGCGGTGGGTGGGGGTTCGGCGATGTTCAACGTCATCATGAACACCCGTTTAGATGGAGCTCCCTTGCGGGAAGTAGGCGTTTCTGAGGAGTGTATCGACCTCTTGTTGCAGATGCTGAACACCGATCCCAACGCTCGTTTGACGGACGTGGAGTGCTTAAGGCATCCGTGGCTAGCCGATGGCACCGAGAAAGCTGAATTTGGCTTGGGTGATATTCAAGAAGAAGAGGAAGACCCAGCCCAGGACCTGTCTCAGCTCAGTATCAGTGAGCAACGCCAGGCCGAAAGTGGTGATGAAGATGCAGAAGCAGATCTTGAGGACGACATAGCCGAGTACTTTGAAGGAAGGCGTCCATCCAAACGCGTCAGGCCTGATGGGATATTTCCATCAAACCAGATTCGGGATGGAAACCTGGAAGACTCGAGTCTGAACGAAGCTGACTCCTTATATGAAAAGCTTGAGCAGCCTCATGAAGAGAGCTTCATGCCGCCTGGTCAAATTGGACGGAACCGGCTTTTTGGAGAAATCAGTCAGAGAGCGCTCCAAAGCTCAGGCCTCCTGGGCACCCAAGCCCATGCCGCCCTCTCGATCCCCCAATCAGCTCGCGATGGAAGCACTCGCCGGTCTTCTCCTCGCCTACGTGTACCCCCTCAATTAGACGGGGGAGTATCCTCTCCCAGTCTCCTCGGGGCTGAGTCTATGGTGCGAGACCTGAACATGACCTCACCACAGTCACCAAACTCAAGAGCTGGTACTTCAAGTGAGCCGACAACCCCGACCACCCCCAACGTTCCCCAGCACTCTTCGTTGGAGCTTGGAGATTCGGTCAGCGAGGCCACACCAAAGGCCAAAGTGTACGACCGGAGGATCAGAAATATCCAAAAGCCTCCGTCGTTCTACTACGACCCGTCTGACCTGGGCACTCACAATCTCGAGTATGCTTCTCGGGTGAGCGGCTTCGACTATGTCGCTCAAGCTGAGGCGGCCGCTATGGAGTCCAAGATCCCCGACACTATGGTCTTTCCTTCCCACGACTCCCAGGCCGAGAATAACCAGGATGACAACTCCAGTGTGTCTGTTCCCGCACTTTCTTCAGACTCCGGGTTTCTCCGCCCGCTGCCACGCCTAGGCAAGCTCACAGCCACCACCGATTCGTTTTCCCAGATTGTGTTGAAACTCGACAAGTCGAACAACTCTTGGGGTCGTAATCTCGACAACACGATTGTGTATGCCAACAAGGGTGACTCGCGAGTTCCAAAGAAGGCTTTCGAAATCTACTTCCACGCGGAGGGCCACGAGGACAGCCGCAAGCTTGAAGCCAAGGGCATCGACTGGACTAAGCTGAATGGCCTCTACACTGGCATCACCACATGGAGCTCGATCGGGGTGTCTGTCAACGGTGTGCATCTCAAGCGGGACGACGGCAAGGGTCGAGTACTCTTTGGCAAGCTGTACACTGGCGATGTCATCACCGTGTTCGACTACCCTGGGGGGAAGCTGAAGTTCGTGTGCGATTTCTTCGTCGGGTCTGGAAAGCAAAAAAGGGCAGCCGATCAACCTTTCAAAATCGAGAGGGGATCGCTGGTTCCTCAGCTCGCGTCGCTGGGATCGGCGCAGTCGTTGACTTCGTGAGCGTCTTCCCTTTGTTCGCATCTCCTACAAAAATCGGATCCTTTCTTTGGTCAGCGGCATAGGTATCGAAATTTGGAGTCAGCTTTTTCTTTTGTTGGAATTTACGGTCAGCGGGTGCTTCGTTTCCATTGGATTCGAATTTAGCGGGCGTTGGTGAATCATCCCCATCACATTATAATCATTAGCGAGTGAGCAAGCGCCGCGGAAAAGGCATCCTCAGCGGTCAAGTTCGTTGCTACGAGGAGGATTCTGGCGCTATGGTAGCACGGTGCAAGAAGCGGCCTTGATACGGATCTGAGTAAGAGGCGGATGTTAGGCGACGCATGTATATAGATCTCGAGAACTGCGTCTGGCTTTCAGACCGTTTGCAACCGGCAAGACATTAGATTAGCGCAATGCGACAATCATCTTGAAAATGTTCTTCTTGCTGAGCGAAAGCAATAGTTGATATTGTGCAGTGTTACACAGAGTGTGTCCCTCTTCAAGCTTGGTAAATAATCTTGACATACTCTTTTAACCTTCGCTCCGTCTCTAAACCTTTCTCGCATTGAGCCTTCCAGTCGAAACTAATATCAATATCCCTGTGCAACCTACTTTCGCAGCCCTGAAGTCCATTTGACCGACACCTGATTTGAACTCGTAAACGCTACTCGAATAGCTCAGATCGCAAAGCACGCCCCAACCTCCCCTCCTTTTCCCACTCTGCTAAACCCCCCGACGGACCCCTCGACACCCCCGTGACTTCCACGTGCAACCCCCTCCCCACCGCATCTATAAAACCCTCTGCCGCCTGCACCCATCTCTTGCTGCTCAGAGAGGAGGTCGGAAACTAGTGAGGGATCAACAAAGGAGTCGATCCGAGCTCATGGTGGAGAGATCAACAAGTCTCGGGGGACCGTTCGATGGTTCAACAACCACGGCCTACGCTCATTGATGAGCAAAACACCGACTGCCACGGTCTGATGGGTGGGCGACACCCGCTTACGCTTCACGTCATGGCTGTGTGAAGTGGGAAGAAGAGAGCTGCGATGGGAAGGTGTGTGTGTGGGGGGGGGGGGGGGGGCGGTCAAACTAGGCACGGTAGCATGGCTATGGAGGTGAGAGGGAGTAGAAGATTAGGGGTGGTGCAGCAAAAATGAAATGGGAGAAAGCCGATGGGGAGGGGTGGGAGGGAGAGGTGATTGGCATCGGGTTCTTGGAGTGGTGAGGGGGAAGGATAGTTGGGTGGTGCTGAGAGCAGGTACGGGGGGGTTGGTATGATAACTGGCTTTCTAGTGGGAATGGAGATGGTGTCCGTTGTGGAAGTATGATAGTGCTAAACATCCAATCCCCTAATGAGCGCCAGACTGATCCCTGACGTCAACACCATTTATTTTCTGTCGTAGTGGATTCTGATCCAGCAGTCCTCGCCCATGAGTATGTGGTGCTTTGGTTTTGAACCGACGCCCTCCAACCCATCAACTCTTCATGCACCGTGAGTTTGAACAGCCCCCCTCCGCCCATGAAGACTTTGTGGAAGGTATTTGTAGCACTAACACCGTCCACCACTCCCATCGTCACCTTGTTCTGCCGGGAGTTGATCACACACCCCAAACCCCTCCTCGCCTCTGTCCTCTACCCTCTCCTTTCGGTCTCGAACACGAAAGATATACCCCCGAAAACCAACGCTTAGTAAGACCGCCGGAAGACATGTGATAGTCTCGTGACGCTCCTTGCCCCGCCTTTGCCTCTAGAACGTAGCGACAGCGGAGATGATTGGCGCGAGAAGAACGGAAAGTCATGCGCGATCCACGTAACAGCTCTCTTGGCTCGGGTATATAATCTCTTGACTTCTCGAGCTGAGTTTGAAGGACAGGGCAGGGCGGTTTCGGGGGGTTCTGGGTCGTGGATCAAACCCCATAGCGTCGAAGTACAATGGTTGCGGAGGGGGGGATTGGATCAAAATGGCAGAGAAGGGTGATTGATGGAGGAGGGACGTTGGATTCTGGTCTCGATCGAAAGCTCCAACCCTCTTCGGTATGGTGGTGGAGGGCGGTTGGCGTTGGTTATTGGTTCAACATTCCAGGTGCCGATACGTCATGGTGGCGGGATGTTGGTGTTCTGGGCTCGATCAAAATCCTCTCGCATTCGATCTTGATGGTGGTTGGTGGGGGCGCGCTGGGTTCTGGTCTCGATCAAAACTCTCGCAGCCAACTACCTAATGGAGTGTGTGCGTCAACTTCCACTTCCTACTCACCTGATGCGGGAGGCGTTGGTGTTGGTTTGAACGTCCCGATTCTCAGCTTCGCATGGAGGATCATACCCGATAATCAGGTGGCCAATGGAGAGCGGGAAGGGGTTTGGAGGAGTAAAACAACAGCGAAAAGGACGCCATGGAGAGCCGGAGGAGTGTTGGTTGAGCAAATATGGTGCAAGGACTACCTGATGAGTGGGAGGCGGCAGCGGCTTGATGGTGGTGATGAGGATCGTTTGGAATGGTTGATAGAGAGAATAGAGGGCATGATGAGGGAGTAGTGATAGTGATTGAGCATATCCTTTACCATCTGTAATCGATGGGAATGTTTCGTGATTACGGATGCTGGGCATCGCCATCAGTGTAGCCGGTAAACCTCGAACCCAGCTCAGCACTGGCACTTCTCCATTGGAAGAGGGACATTTACCTTTTGCGCACCCCCATAGGGAATTGGCGCTGTACGTTTTACTCCAGCACCAGCTCCCCTCACATCTAACACAGACTCAGCATCTTCAGAAAGATATTTATGCTAGGTAAGCTATGCAGCACTCCGCAACACACGTGACAACTTAACCCAACTTCGTTCCGCTCACCATATAAATCGTGGTATCCATCAACATCCTGTTCCATCCCTTCCCTCTACCCCTGGTTCCCTTTCCCTCATCCCAACCCATCCAGTCCTATCCAATCCAATAACAAACCCAAAAAGCAATCAAACGGGGATATGTTTCAAACGCTCCAAACATGCCAGAAAGGAATCTCCTAAAAGCACGGGTACGACACGACGGTATGCTGCTAAAATGACTGGTAACGATGACTAGAAACGAGGGAGTATATGGCGTGCGGACGCTTGCTTGACTTCAGCAAACGACAGCGGTTGTGGTGGCCGATCGCGGGGCGGATTCGGAAAGGTTCCAATTAGAAGATGCGAGACGAAGGAAGCGTGAGTGCAGTAGCGGCGGGGATTAAAAGTGGTATCATGTGGTATGAGTAGAGTCATGGCGGTACACTCTGGTTCCTGACGCGGACAGGAAGCCGTGGTTCGTCGTATAGATGGGATGGCTGTCGGGTGATTCCGTTCGTGATTGCAGGGCGGTGAACAGACTCCTGAACATCTGCTAGGGGACGTGTTTCAGAGCTAAATTTGATGACGCTTTACGGCCACCATCCCATCTTTCGGTAGCTCTCAATTACGGCTTCGATTTCTTGCTGGGTGAGTTTCGGGTGGTTGTACCTGGGGAACAATTAGTATTCAGGAGGTTATAGTCACGACACCGCGCATTGGTGGATGCTTCAACTTACTTGAATCCTGTCTCTTTCACAAAGGCAGTCCCATCGAGACTTAGATCAGTGTCCTTTAATAGCTCCTTCTCCATAAAAGGACTGAGAGGCGTCGATTGGCTGATATTCGCTTTCGTCTGGAGATCTGCCCAGGGATCGAGTAACTCGTCATTAACATCGTCGACTACGTGATCAAGATTCAGACGGGCGAACGCTGAGATGATGGTACCGTGGAAGCCAGTGTCGATGTTGAAGACGGCGTGCATGAGGTTTGCCATGTCACCTTGCGCTGTGAATAGATTAGGAGGACATCCAGCGAATGTGAATTTTGGGACTCACAAGTATTGCCTTGATCCACCAGGTTGAATATTGGCACTGCTTTCCTCGGTGGTGAAGGAGTTTTGCAATACCACTCCGCACCTGTCCACAATGCTCTCGCAACATCTTCAACGTGCACTGTGTTGGTTCTTAGATCCCCTTTCCACAGCCACTTCATCTCTTTACCCAAAAACTGGTACACTCTCGCCATGCACAGTGCCGTGGAGATAAATTTGCTGGTATACGGTCCGTAAACATGCGCCATACGCATCACCATGAGGTTCAGTCCCTCAATCTTGGCCAGTTCGTCTTCCGCTGCGAGCTTCCACTTTGCGAGCTTGAGCCAGGGCTTCAATTTATCTGTCTCCTTTCGCGGCACACTGTCCGGCTTGTATAGCATTCCCGTGCTCATCTCGACGAAGACCTTGACACCACGCTTCGCAGCTTCCTTGCCTACCGCAAGCGACAGAGCGTGGGAACGTACACGGTATACCTCATCTTCCTGGGAGTAGCGAGTCTCACCCCCACAATTGAAGACGTAGTCCCACTGTTTGCCGCTCGGTCGATCGAAGATGCGCTGTAGGGATTCTATATGGCCAAAACGGATGGGTAGTCAGCATTTGTGTAACCGGTATGTATATCAAGCTGTGCTATTGCCGATAGGGTGGGGCAAGTAAGGAAGTACGCACGTTCTCGTGAAGCGTCGGCCTGCATGAACTTCTCGCGCGAGCATGCTTCCTTGAACTCGGGCGCCAGCCAAGCCAGCTCGGGGAGGTGTTTGTCGACGAGTCTGACTTCAGATGCGAGGTTGTTTTGGTGAATGTGAAGGGCGAGGAAGCGGCCGATGTATCCTGCGATTATTGTCAGCGCGAGCTCGATATTCCACGCACTGATCTGCGGCAGAAGAGCAGCAGTACAACAGGCGCATACGCACCTAGTCCCCCAATGATCAACACAGAGGGTCTGTCGTCCACGACGGGCGGCTTCTCTTCCCCGACGGGCGTCTCTCCCACAGCAGACGGCTCTCCAATAGCGGGGTTGGCAGCTCCATTCTCTCCCACGGCGGGCGTCTGTCCAACAGCAGGCGTCTCTTGCGTAGCTGTGGTGTCTCCAACGGTCTCGCTGACGGCGGGCTTCATCTCCACGGCGGGCTTCATCTCCACGGCGGGCTTCATCTCCACGGCGGGGTCGCTTCGAGCCGCATCCTCAGCCATGACGGGGTCACACGGGATCTCACGGCGCAGCGGCGTCCTCTATTCTCGCAAATGCGCAAGACCGGGGCCTGTTCTCGTCCGTAGCCAGGGGGTGAATCGGCAGTGTGCTTCGGGGCGTGTTGGGTTGCTGGTATGCGTTTTGCAGCCTCAGAGTGTGGAATGCGGGCAGCTGCAATTGCAGGGAGAGGGCAGTCAGGAAGGACGACTTGACGAGCCGACGGCAGCGGCGCGGGCAGGTGCTAAAGACGCGGGCAATGCTAGTTTTCGCAGACGCAGGAGTCAGTGACCTGCAGACCGCTCGACACTTTTAGATAGCTGGCACAGCGCAGAAGAAGTGGCCAGGCAGGGCAGGGCGGGCAACGGTTATGTATCAGTTCGTGTCAGTTCGCAGCCAGTGCCCACGCGCAGCCAGCGAGCCAGCGGCCAGTCCACCACACCCTCCGCTCAGGCACACGTCCGCCGCCTCATCGCTCGATCCCGCCAGGGCCAAGCTCGAGTGCCAGCCTCCATCCGCGCCCTCCCGCCGGCGAGCCTGGGTGCGCTGCTGGCCGGGGCGCCAGAGAGGGCCCCCGTGGCGCTGCGAGCCCGGAGGACGGTATCGAAGTGGTGAAGTGCTCCCGCGACAATCATGCGCCCCCGTCACCTGATGCGAGCCGCACCGTGAAGCGCCCTGCAGCAACAATAAGCATCGAGCAGCACTGCAAGCAGCGGGTCGGCGCAGCTGGACGGTGCAGCCGAGTGCGGCACAGCAGAGCGAACGAGTGCCTTGGTAGTGGGTGAATTGGCGTGCGGTTCGAGGCCGGTCCGCGCCAACGAGGCATGTAGACACCACTGCCAATATAGGCGTTATAAAAGCCCTATATCGCCTCCACCGCAACCTTATACGGCGTCTGCCGCTATCGCGAGCCCACCTGCCCGTCTCTCCGTAGAGCACTGTTACCTCGAGCCGCCTTCGGTCCGGATGGAGCGTCCAGGCGTGAGGGGGCGCTGCTGGAACGAGCAGTTCGCGCGCTGTTCGGGAAGCTGACTGGCACTGCGGAGAAAACTCTTCAAAAGCGCTGCGGTCTGGTGCTCCGATGATTTCCTTTCTTCTGTCGCTGTGAAACACGCCTCCTCAACAAATACACCTTCAGACACCGGGACGTGGAAATCATTGCTGCTTCGGGCCGCTTCCAATACACCACCCTCGAGCATCCCGCTCGCGTACATTGCATATGTGCAAGAGGCTTTTGATTTCTTTCGCATCTTAGAGTCTATCTATTGGCTAGCTGTGCGCCTGCTATGCAAGAGATGCAATAAATGACCCGCAGCTGTCCAAGGATCGGCCCGCATCCGCGCCCACAGCCCTGCCATTGAGCGCCATATGACCGGCCGGATAACTCGGTGGGCGACCTCCAGCCCTGGCGAACTTTTGTTGTAGGCCCTCAAAGCGGGTCGCCAATGGCGACTGCCGTCATGGACAATGCATACCGAGGTAACGAGTGAAGGAAAAGCATAAAACCAAAAGCCAAAAACCGCATGAATCAATCTGTGCCGCCCGTATGCCGCTGCAAAGATAACCCCCTGAGTAAGTATGCTGTAAATCGCCACCGAGTAGTGGAAGACTTCAGAATTCCCAATCCTCGTCGACTGACTTGATAGCCCAATCGAACTTCTCGCGGAGCGTCTTGGAGAAGAAGCGCTCGATCGGGACGTTGAATTTCTTGGAGAAGACGACGGTCAGACGTGGATCGATGTAATTCTGGGGAAGTGGTCAGTGTGGCTGCACTTGTGGTATGAAGTGGACATATGCTTACGATCTTGGAAGTCCCAAGAGCAACTTCCTTGTTGTTATCCTTGTCTGCCATCTGAACCTTCATCGTTTCGATGCGTTGAGTGAGCTTGTCGAGATTGGCCTCCATCTTCTCCACTGTCGCTCCCTTGCCCTCCGCCTCGACCTTGCCGGTCTTGTTCTCCTTCTTGAACTTCTTCTCCAGCTCATCCGCGACCTCCAGGCGCTCTTCCAGCTCTTTGTTCTTCATCTCCTTCTCGCCTTCGCTGACGCGCTTCTCGTTGTCTTTTTCGAACTTCTTCGTGATTTTCTGGCGCTGTTCCTCAACGAGAGCAGCTTGGTGTTCTTTGACCCACTCATCATCCATATCCTCGTCACGCTCGAAGAACTCTGCACCTCGCTTCTTCTTGAGCTTCGAATCGAGATCGAGCATCATCTGTTTGATGCGCCATTGCTGGTACCGGAGACCCTTGATCTATTGAACTGATTAGCCAGATAGTCACCATGGGTGCCCTGTGATATCGTACCTTCTCTTCCATCTTCTCGATTTGTCCGGCATGGCCTGCTGCTACTGTACGCTTGTGATTACAAAGAATGGCAACCTTTCGGTTCGCATCGTTGTAGTCCTTGACCTTCTCCGGAATCGTTCCCTTGGACGTCATCTCTCGGAGCAGTCTTGCCATGGTCCAGGAGGCATTGTAGGTACGGAACACCTTGGCTGTAAGGCCAGGCATGTAGTTGCTCAGGTGCTTATTAAGAGCGGAGGTCTAGATGAAGTCAGCTGCCGCATGCAGGATGTGACGAAAGGGTTCTTACAGTCAGTCTGTCGAAGATCTCATCACCAGTGCTTTTTGGTTCCTTCTTGAAGAGCTTCAAGTTCTTGAAGACCTGGTGGTCGACTTCAACCTCGTCGTAGAATCGAATGCTGTCCTTACCCAGGAAGTCGAATATAACCGTGTTCGGAGGCCGTAGAGTAACATGCTCGTATTTCAGAGAGCAGCAACCGACAGTGTCAGCCTCATCTTCACCTTTCTCGTTACCAGCACGAAGTGCAAACTGATCGATGAGGTAGACAGCAGTGGCGCGCTGACGATCAGCCATGATGCTGGATTTTAGGTCTTTTTGGTAGTCCTTGCGAATGCGGTCAATATGCTCCTTCAGCTCGCGAGCTTTTTCGAATTTTTTGTGATCGCTCTGTCCTTTGACATCGGAGTTGGCAGCCAGCATAACGTACTTGTACGCATTGTTGATGTTTTCTTGCCACATAGCCAGCCAGGTGCCTTCCTGGTCATGCTTGACTTCCTTCCAGCGGTGCCCTGCTGGAGGTTCTGGGACTTTGGCTTCCTTGCCGATGTTGATGGTGATTTGCTCAGGAAGCACTCGGTTTTTGACACGCCCAGTCTTGGGGTGCTCGCCGCGACCACGGAAAAGACCAGGAGGTTCGACTCTGAAGTTGCCGACTTTCTGCTTACGACCGTCCCATATGCAGAACATGTAGTCCTTCTCGGCTTCGTCTTTGGCTGCCTTGAGCGCCTTCTTTTCTGCGGCAGGCAGGGCTTTCTTCTTCAATCGCTCTGCTTCTAGGTAGTCGAAGATTGGCTTGAAGTCGCACTTGGCGAACTTCTGAATCTTGACTTTGTTGCCGTTCTTGTCCGTGGCGTGGCCAGTTTTGGCTAGCATTTTCTGGAAGTCCTCGAAGAAGTTTTTGTTGAACGTAGGATTCTCGACGTTGTGGGCAGAGTTCAGCATTCCACCGTAAAAGCCTGCGATTTCCTCGGCGTCCTCGTGGAGGCTGACCGGAACGCCGTCGTAGAGCATTTTGACGTGCGAAGGAAGAGGTTCATACTCTGGGGGAAAGATCACGCCGTTGTGCTCGAGAGTAGTCCACTTCTTGGTGCCGTCGCCCTTGGTTGGGTCTTCCCACCATCTGTATTCCTCTTCTTCGGCTTCAGCCTCGCGGTCCTGATCGGTCTCCTCCTTCTTCACTTTCCCCTTGCCCTTCTTTGCTGGAGTCGCTGGGTCCGCCTTGACTTTAGCTTTCTTCGCGGACGCTTTGCGCTTGAGAGGAGTCTCAGAGTCCGACTCGGCTTTGACTCCATTGGTAGCCTTCGCCGTAGGCTTCTTCTTCTTCGCAAGCGGAATATCATCATCGGTGTCGCTTTCAACCTTCTTTGGCTTTCGCTTGATGGTAGGAGCTTTCTTTTCGTCCCGCCTGATGGCCTCAGCCTCCTTCTCGGCTGCCTTTTCGATCTTCTCCTTCTCTTTCACTAGCTTAACGCCCAGAGGTGTGTCAGAGTCCGACGATTCTCCCATCTGCGCCGCAGTAGCTTTGGGAGGCTTCTTTACGGCCGGGCGTGACCTGTGGGCTAAGGGCTCATCGCTGGGTTCAGAGTCGGAATCTTGCGCAGAATTTGCAGCTGGAGAGGTCCTTCGGCGCTTACTCTATGACAGAGTCAGCGAGTTGAATGCATAACGGGTTCGGGATTGTAACGCACCAATGGCTTATCGTCGTCGGAGCTGCTGCTGGCTTCCTTGTAGGTCTTGCCGTTCGTCGTGCTGCCCCGAGACTTTCGTTTTCCGTTCGTGTGTCCATTCGGAAGGGCTGGAGTGTCGACATCCATCTCCTCGACAGGGCCCATGCGTATGGAAACGCCAGGCTCGACGTGCCCGTTGGATGGGTCTTCCTTGTCCATAGCTCTGTCGATGTTCTTGGAGATGTAGGCTTCCGATTTTACTGGGAGTGAGGAGTGGTTAGTGAGGGATTGATCATGGAGGAGTGTGTGGACGAGGGTAGTTTGTAAGGGCTGGCCAGGTGACGGTGGGCCTCGCGCGTAATAGGCAGAGGCAGTAGGCCCGAAAAGGACAACGTGGAACAGTGCTTGCCAGTGAGGCCATTCGCGTTCACGCCTCGGTAGTGATGCTAAGGGACGAACTCACCTCCATTCGGTCTGCCCTTGACGAGCGGGGTGTCATCGTCCGACGACGACATGTTCCAAGAGGTTGCTGGCAGCTGTAGCCGTGGCTTCAGGTACAGGGAGAAAGCGGAATTGCTTCTAGCGGACCCGAACACGGTAGCAGCAGGCCTAGCGAGTTGGCGGGGGCAAACTGCAGTTGATGTTAGATGGAAACGCCGGGCGAGACTGAGGGGGCCGCGCCACGCGACGTGGTGGAGAGACTTGATGGCAGAGATAGCGACGGACGCGACGGCGATGGGGAAGGAGAAAGGAATGGATTCGAGAAGGTCTTGGGTCTCACACGGACAACAAAAAGAGCCTCCTGAGCGCCTGCCCCCGCTGATTGGCTGGAGAGCTTCTTGGCTGCGCCAGGCCGCGTATAGTGCTAGCGGCAATTTCCTTCACTCCGAGAGCTTCCTCCAGCCGTGAAGCCGACCACAGCTTGACGCACACCACGGCCGTCTCCCATCTCCGCTCCATCTCCTCCCAATCTGTCTCACGATGCTGTCCAGAGCTGCCCGTCCGGCTCTGCGAGCGGGCGCCCAGAGCGCTGCCCGGTACGCCTCCTCCTGTCCTGTCCTGCCGCTCTCCCGGCGACTTCTCCCGGCGCCTCTATTCATCCCAATTGGCATCGAGACACTGATTGCATCGCGTTGACAGCCCGGCCACCCTCAATGCCACCAATGCCGCCACCTACGCTACGCTGCGTGAGATCGAGGGCCGCTTGAAGTCGATCCGCAACATCGAGAAGATCACGAAGACGATGAAAATCGTCGCCTCGACCAAGCTCACCCGCGCCCAGCGCGCCATGACCGAGTCCCGGAAGTACGGCCAGACGTCCAACCTAGTTTTCGAGAAGGCCGAGACGAAGCCGATTGAGGGCGAGGGCAAGAAGACATTGATTGTTGTCTGCAGCTCGGATAAGGGCCTCTGTGGTGGTATTCACTCCGGCATGTCGAGGAAGACGCGTGCCATCCTCGCCGAGAAGCCTGACATCGATCTTGTCGTCCTTGGAGAGAAATGCAAGGCGCAATTGGGCAGATCCAATGGCAAGAACATGCAGCTCAGCTTTGCCGGCATTGGAAAGGACGTGCCAACGTTCGCCGATGCTCAGGCCATTGCGGACCAGATCGCCCTGCTCCCGACCGACTACGCCTCCGTCCAGATCATCTACAACAAGTTCATCAATGCGACAAGTTACGATGCCACCATAATCGAGGCGTACTCCGAAGAGGCCATCCTCAACTCTCGTAAGCCAGACGAAAGCTCCAGCAAAGCGCTTCTAACATGATTGCTAGCAAACTTTGCCGCCTTTGAGATTGATGATGAGGTGCTCGCCAACCTCCGCGAGTACTCGCTTGCCAATTCGCTGTTCTGGGTAAGATAATCATCGTGGCTCTCACAATCTAATACTGATGATTTCAGGCGCTGGCTGAGGGTCATGCTTGTGAGCAGTCTGCCCGACGGAATGCCATGGATGTAAGTTGCTTGCTTCCCTAGTAAATAACGCAGCAGCTAATTGTGGCACAGAACGCGTCCAAGAACGCCGGCGACATGATCACCCGGTTCCAGATTCTTTTCAATCGCACTCGTCAAGCCGTCATTACCGGCGAACTCGTGGAGATTATCACTGGTGCTGCGGCTTCAGAGGAGTAGGCTGGAGCGACTTATAGCATGTATCTGTGTCCGATCAAGCGCCAACCGAGGCTCAAAATCCACCATTGAGGTGGTTGTATGTAGAATAAGTACTCGCTGTTCATTGGGTTTCCCCTTGTTACTATCAACATGTGGGCCTTGCTAAGTGAAAGAAACACGCACATGCGGCTGTGAAGCTGAATATCACATTCCAGCACCTGAAGATGAGTAAGACATCAATTTTAAATGAACGATGCTGTACAACCCCATTCCCAGCTTTATACCCCAGGCTCCGGGCTTTTGCAGATTTGTATGACCATGTGGAGAGACGCTCAAGGGTATCCGCAGCAAAGGCGGGGAGCGTGCGTTGGATGTACGCAGCCGTGGTGAGTGCGTATGATTTGCGTGACAAGAGCTCATCCACGCAGATTCGGCCATCGCACAGCATCGCGAACCTTGCTTTCAGCCTTACCCCAGCCGCACTCGCACCGTTTTGGGTGGCAGGAGCTGGATGCAGGCAAGGAGGCGCCTCAATGCGGGCAAAGGCGCCATGCGCTGATCTGCACGTCAAACATCGAGTGAAACAGCTCGGTTCTGACCGTCTGTAACATGTTTATGGCATGGGCAAACCTTGCAAGATGGGGAAGGCCGGAGTTGATGCCTATATTAATGGCTTCCTATTGCTCTTGTTCTTGCTGACGCTCGTTGTCCTGAGCGTTCGGTCTTTTGCATCTCGTAGCATCCTGGTTAGCTTCGGCCAGCTCATCGGCCTCAACCACCTTCCTTGTCAACCTGCACATTGTAAACACAACAAAAGGCAACGCCCATGTGCCGAACAACTTAAGGGGCCGTCCACTCTCTACATTCTTTTCCCGTCGTTCCTTTCGGCATAGTCACATTTGCTCGCCTTCCAAAAATTGGTTGCTCTTCCCCGAGGCCGCGGCACCCTACCTCCTAGCACCTTCCTTGAACACAACAACTCGCGCTCCAGTCCAATCTCACTCGGACTCTGATCAGAGAAATCCCCAAAGTCCACACCTCTTCATCTCTACGCTTCCAACCTGCATTCACTCAAACTCACAGCCCTCCATGTCGTCCTGCGCAAGCACAATGCAGTCGCAGTTCGTCGTCGGTGCATTGAGAGCACAGCTGCCTGCTATCAAGCAGCTCTTCTTGCGTGGACAGTACCGGCAGTGTGCAGCGGCCGCGCAGTCCCTTCTTCTCGAGATAAGCCGAGACGTAAGTCTTTCCCAGTAGCGCATTTGGATAATCTGTAAATTCGGGCTACCTCAGTGCTGTCCATGAACCTGCTTTCTCGAGAGATTCTGACTTCTGGCAGGAGCCACGCATGCACGTCGCTTTTCTGCACTTCTATGTCGCCCTCTCGCACCATGAAACCTCGCGAAACATGCGTATTTTGAACGACCAGCGACAGTCGTCCCTGGAACTGGCCGAGAAGCATTATGTGGCCGCCCTAGAGTCGCTGTATATGCTGCCAACTACTACCGAGCTTGAAACCATCGATGAGGTATCTGATCACTCAGGAGATGAAGACAGTATGGTGGAGTCTTGCAATCCTTCAAACCGCAGCTCCATTAATCATAAACGCTCTTCCCTAGACTCCAGCTTGACCGACGACACATCGGTATACAGTGACGACGAGTCCGATTCAGCATTTCCTCCAACGCCAAAGATGTTCAACCGCTCTCCACCATCTCGTAACTTCCTAGACGACCTCACTCTGCCTTCTCAGAAGCTATTCCGCAACCCGTCATTAACATCGATTCCGAGTCCTGAGATTGAACGCTACAACGTCAACCTCACCAGCTTCACTAGCATGCTACACTCGCATATCTACGCGGTTCGCTCGCTCCAGAAAGCTCAGGCGGCAGAGGACACGGGCCATTCTATCTCTCAGGGATGGCATGCCGTTCCGTACACAAGCTCTGGACCTCGGTATTCCGGGACTGCCAAGAACGGGTCAAAGTTTGCTCACTTCGTCAGAGGTCGTGCGAAGCTTCTCCCACGGCAGAGGTTCGATTCCAGAAAATACGAGGATCTCTGCCGAAAGGCACTCGCAGAGCTGTGACATCCTGAGGTGACAGACTTGCCGAACTTATAACCGCCCACACGATATCCAGTATGCTAGACGATTGAGACGATGAAGGGACTGGTGCTCATGATGCAGAAGACGCGACATGATTTGGAATGGTATGGTTATCCGTGGACGAGACGTTAGGCTCGGTTTCGACTGCCTTGAGATTAGGGCGGCAAGGCGTTCAGATGATTGCGTGGTCTTTCACAACAGCATGGGCGTTATTATGGATACCCTGACTCTTCTTACCAGCTGGTTTGAACAGCGTAATGCGGTTTGGTCCACTGGCTGTGCCTTGATTTCCTTGAGCTTTTTTCTTTGCGTTACTTGCTTTGTTTGCTCTAGTATACTATTTTAACTCAATTAATGATGGTCAAAGGTAGCAAAGGGTATACCTATAGCTTTGAGATGATAGCGAGAACACATTTGTAAGAATAGAGAACGATGAAGCAGTCTTGAGCATAAACCTGAGTGAGTGAAGATAGATAATGCCGAAAGTTGTAATCCGAGAACAAGCCCAAGTATTAATTCTCCTTTGATGTTCATGGACTCTTACGCCTCACTTAGAAAAAGCAGACAAGAGAATACTGAACGTTGAAGGTTGTCCAATCACTGCCGGTTGAATTTCTGATGACATGCCTGCTCCGTATCATTCCGGCTCTGGCGCCGCGCGAGGCGAGCTTGACCCAAAGTCAAAGACCTCATCAACGAACAGCGAGCTTCCCTTCCTACGCCACCCTCCCAATCTCCCCTCTACAGCGCCAATTGGCAAAGACACCAGGCTTTGGGCTGTTCCGTCGGTCGCAATGCCTGTTTCCTTTGCTCGCCTTGCCGGCCACACGGCGAAACGACTATGCCTCGCCCCACGACCACACATCGCTTTCCTTTCTCGACCCATTGCCCGCTCCATCTCGACGTCGCTCCCTCGTCATTATGCCGCTGTAGACTACGAGCAGCCCGAGGGCACGAGGCTGATTCCAGTTGACCCAACCTTCGGCCACCCGATCGACCCGGACTCAGCGTCCATGAACCTCGCCGACGACGAAGGGGACACAGCGGAGAAGCGAAAGATCAGGCACTACACAGTCAACTTCGGACCCCAGCATCCAGCTGCCCATGGCGTGCTACGGCTTATCCTCGAGCTCAATGGCGAAGAGATTGTGCGAGCTGATCCGCACGTCGGACTGCTGCACCGCGGAACCGAGAAGCTCATCGAGTACAGGACATACCTCCAGGCCCTCCCATACTTCGATCGGCTGGATTATGTCTCCATGATGACGAACGAACAAGTTTTCTCCCTGGCCACGGAAAAGCTGTTGAACATTGAAATCCCGGAGCGCGCGAAATATATCAGAACAATGTTTGCGGAACTCACTCGCATAGCGAACCACCTCATGTCGGTTCTGTCTCACGCCATGGACGTTGGTGCTTTGACACCATTTTTGTGGGGGTTCGAAGAACGTGAGAAGATCATGGTACGCACAATTGGCTCTGCTGCCACCTGATTCACACACACCGCGAATATTAGCGTGCTAACGAAGTAACTACAGGAGTTTTATGAACGTGTTTCTGGCGCACGAATGCACGCCGCATACGTCCGTCCCGGCGGAGTCAGCCAAGACATCCCGATAGGCCTCCTTGATGATATCTACCAATGGGCCACTCAGTTCGGCGATCGTGTTGATGAGACCGAGGAGATGTTGACGGACAATCGTATCTGGATCGGGCGTACCAAGGGCATTGGTGTCGTCTCAGCTGCCGAGGCTATCAATTACTCCTTCTCCGGTGTCATGCTTCGCGGTTCCGGTGTTCCTTGGGACGTGCGAAAGTCCCAGCCCTACGACGCCTACGACAAGGTCGAATTCGACGTTCCCGTCGGTGTAAACGGGGACTGCTACGACCGCTACCTGTGTCGCATGGAGGAGTTCCGCCAATCTCTCCGCATTATATTCCAGTGCTTGAACCAGATGCCGGCCGGCCCCATCAAGGTCGAAGACTACAAAATCGCGCCGCCGCCACGCGCTGCTATGAAGGAGAACATGGAAGCGCTTATCCATCACTTCCTGCTCTTCAGCAAGGGATACAGCGTCCCTCCAGGCGAGACATATACCGCAATCGAGGCGCCTAAGGGAGAAATGGGTGTATTCTTGGTCAGTGACGGCAGCGAGCGGCCGTATAGGTGCAAGATTCGGGCACCTGGGTTCGCACATTTGAGCTGCATGGATCAGATTTCAAGAGGACATCTGTTGGCCGATGCGGTGGCTATCATTGGAACTATGGATCTTGTGTTCGGTGAGGTAGACCGATAAAGAGATGTGGAAGAGTGGGATGATGGCCATGCATGCATGCTGGGCGATCAGGCAAGTCAGAAGGCGTGTCGCTAGTAACATCGTGACACAACATATATTGTGTATGGTGAGGCCAAATGCTTAGCCTGATGGGGCTGTATATATTCTTTGTATATCCAATCGAAGCGGAGCTTTTCTTTTGTTCATACCGGCTTTTTGGATGGCGAAGGTTGGTCTGATTGCCATCGGTCCACATCAAAGCCTTATGATTGCAAGCCCGTCACCGTATCCTGTACTCTGCAACGCATCTGGTTTGACTGACGCGTGCTAACGAGCTCCTACGCGATTGGCCCATGAAAAAATCAAAACTCAGAAGCCGTACGATCGATCCGCAGACCGGATCTAGCCAAGAAGGGTGCTAGCTGCCCAACACGTCATCAGTGAGGGGTGAAAGGAGGGGCAGATCAGTTCAGGTACAGCCAGGTTTGGGCTGCGTAGCTTCTTGGATCATCTCTTTCTCTTCTTCATGTTAAGATATCGTCTATCTTAAATTGTCTATTGAGTCTACTAAACATAAAACTCTTAGCATATACCTCGTGAAGTAAGTAACCACCAAATACTCCACCATCTCTCCGCAATCTCTCTGTCTACCCCGCGAGCGACCCCTACGCAGCAACCACACTATCCCACAAGGCCCCAGATCTCATCCCTTCAGCATCTATTGCCGTCATACATACCCTCTGTCCGCGCCTTTTCTTCTAATCCAACTCTTCTCTTATTTTCCCCGCCTCAGTCCACAACTAACCCACCTCAACCCTAGAACCTACGACAATGTCCTACAACAACGAAGGCTACGACAATGACCAGCGCCGCCGCCGCGACGACGACGATAGCTACGGTGGCCGCCAGGGCGGTGGGGGCAGATACGGAAATGAGGGACAAGGAGGGGGGTACGGCAATGAAGGGCGTCAGGGCGGTGGTGGAGGGTACGGCAACGAAGGAGGAGGGTACGGCAACGAAGGGGGAGGGTACGGCAACGAAGGGCGCCAGGGCGGAGGAGGTGGATACGACAACGAAGGTGGTCAGGGAGGAGGATATGGCAACGAAGGACGTCAATCGGGTGGAGGAGGTTATGGCAATGAAGGCCGTCAAGAGGGAGGGTACGGCAACGAAGGCCGCCAATCCCAAGGCCAAGGCCACAGCTCCGGCACGCCCTACGGCGGCGGCGGTGGCTACGGCGGTGGCAGCGACGACTTCTCCGGCGCGGCGGAGCATGCCTCGCACCATGCGGGCGACAGCGGGGACAGCTCGCTCTTTAGCAGCGTGCTCGGGCAGCTAAGCGGGCGCAAGCAGCATCTGCAGAACGAGGATATCGATGAGGGCGAGGCGGTGCGGCAGCATCAGCAGATGTATGGAGGAGGAGGTGGTGGTGGTGGGGGGCAGGCTAGTTCGGGGGGGATGGGGGCTGCGGCGGCGATGCAGGCGTTGAAGATGTTTACGGGGGGAGGGGGTGGTGGGCAGCAGGGTGGACAGGGAGGGGGGCAGAATCAGTTTATTGGTATGGCGATGGCGCAAGCGAGCAAGTTGTTTGATCAGCAGAGTGCGCAGGGGAATACGGTGAGTGATTCCCGAGATCTGGGGGTGTTTTTGGGAAGGGCGAAGACTGATTTGGTGGTAGCATCCCGAAGCCACGAAGCAGGATGCTGTTTCTTCGGCTGCGCAGGTGAGTTTTGTATCCCGGGAGTTTGGTGGTTGGGTTGAGCTAATGGGTCTAGATGGCGTTCAAGATGTACATGAAGTCCGAGATGGGTGGTGGAGGTGGGAGCGGAGGTGGACTCATGAGCATGGCCAGCAAGTTCTTGGGCTGAAGGGTGATGGACACAGCATGCGAATAGCAGTCTATAGGAACGTCATATTCCCTGATTGTGGTAGCATAAAAGAAGATGGAACTCCCATTGGCATACACCTCCCGTCCATTATTGTGTAGTGTTGAAGTGCATGTCCGCGGCAAAGCTTGGAACATCGAGATTCCAACGCCTCAATCACTCGCTATTGTCCCTTTGCTCATGTATGCTCACACGCTTACATTAAACTTTGCGTTTTGTAGATAAGAGCTCAAGTTATAGCAGCTTTACATCGCTGCGTCGAGGTGTAGTGTGCAGGGTGTGGATGCGCGAGGAAGGAAGTTCGACATCTCTCAGGAGATCGGCGCCTTTGAGTGATCATGGAGGATGCAGTCTAATGGAAGAAGCTCTTACACTAGTTCCGTGTCGGTGTTCTGATGCCGTTTAACGTTGTTCAAAATTTGAGTATGCCATCTGGTGTCGTGGGTCGGAGTTCGACAGCTCAAAACCACTCAGGCAATCTGTCCTCACCACTCAATGTCAGTGGCATCACACACTCACAACCATCACAGCAAGAATAGTTCGAAGTAGTAGATAAGAACATCATATAATTGCGAGGAAAACCCTTCTCGGGTCAAAAACCTCTAAAATATCCAACCAAATCCACAAGAATCTCATCCACCTGACGATCTCAGTTCCACCTAAGTATCTGTGAACACGCTGCCCCGAAAGAGTGACAGAAGGTGGGAATACATGGCCGGGGAAGGGTCGAGATAGCATAGTCTACAAGGGCCGGGTTTGTGCCCTACATATACAAATATATGTGATACATGGAGTGAGACCTTGATTTTAGGAAGTGGAAGGAGGGAATGCCCGAAGGCGAAGAAGAGAAGAGGGACGGGGAGAGGGCGAGTTTAAGTAGATTTTCGTGGAGGGGATGAGTCAGCGGTGAGTCAGCGGGCAGTGGGTGGTTCCGTGGTAGATTGGAGCTTCTGGGCAATCTGATGACGAGGCTATGAAGGGAAAAATTCTGGTTAAAAGAGAGAGCCGTGGGTTTGTGACAAATTCTGTAGGTAAGGTGACAGATTACGTAGGTAAGTAAAAGTTTGTGAAGGCTGGAAAAGTAGAACCGTGGTAGGGGAGAAGTGGTGACGAAGAACCGCACGGCGACCGTCAAAATTGGACAATGACTTCTTTGACTTCTGCTATAGCTACTAAGGCCATGTGGTGATTAAGTTCGAAGAATCCGATATGAATCATCCTCATTTGAGCGATGTTGATATTATACAAGGAGTTCTAAGTGAGCGTTGTCGAGTGAGATCCTCTCAAGCCGAACAAGAAAGTCTAGTTAGGTACTGTTGTCGCGGAAAATCCGTGATAGGTACTTCCATGGGGTCTGGATTGCTCCAGAAGATGATTAACTCGAAATAAGACTGTCTTTTCCAGGTGATCGCAAGTTCGAGTCCCACCTGTCGAGACAGCGAGGTGTATCCGATCGAATCTCATCGATTCCAACACGTCCATTGTCACAGAATGTCTGTGGCGCTAATGGAACTGAATTCCATGCAGACTCTTTTCTGATCTGCTTGATATTCAGCCGCGCGCTCCGAAGCCCAAGCAGAGGCTTTCCCGATTGATCACACGCGTCCAACTCTTCCTCCCCATCAACTCCCAGCGACCTTGACTCACCTCGATGACGCATATCCTTGAACCGGCATATATTGGTGGTGGCAATATCTGAACGGCATCTTTGTATTGGGTCTCTTTGGATGCCTTACGAACACTGCCTCACACATTCCTTCATCGAACGACTAGCGGTTGAACAGCCTTCCATTACCTTCTCTACAGATCATGGCGGGTCTACGTGGACCAATCTCCACGCCGCATAATTGTGTTCTTGGTGTTGAAGTCAGCTTAGCCGCGGGATGCGACCCCCGTCACTTCGCTTTCCCCGACCTTTTTGCTCGCGCAACACGTCTCCACGGTTAACGCTTATGCAGTCAGGCAGGCGCTCAGTCGTAAGGCGGACGGCCCGTACCGCTTCGAATGCCGCATGTAGTCTCCTCCGTCGGATGGAGGGTGGGGACTGGCAATCAGCGACTCCTTTCGACAACGCTATCACAACACCCGGTCGGTCTGCTGTCTCTGAATGTGCTTCAGAGCCTCATTATACTCCCTCGCTGCGCCGCAAACCTACAGTAGTCGCTCTCGACCTTAGGCGTGGTGTAGTGCGATTCGATCTGCGGAATCGGTTTGAAGTGCTGTTAGGCGCTGAATCGCACGACTGATGTCGTCAATACATATGAAGTCGATACCGGTGAGATAACGAGAAGAATTATTGGTCGGATGAGCAGTTGCCGTGGCTGACTTCACAGCGCGTCTTTGTTGTCGCATATTGAAGCTGCCCAACTGTTTACGATGAGAAGACGAAGGGGGTAAGTCTGCCTGGAAACGCTATCGGAGCCATCCTCTCGGGAAGCTGACTCTACAACTTGCCTCCAAAGTTTGCCCTGTGATTCTACGCGCCGGGAGAGCTGCAAGGTTGGCAAGCTGGGTTCCTTGGCTTTGAGGCAGAGATGCGATAGGTGAAGAAATATAAAGGGAGCGCATCCAACGTTATTTTCCATTCTCTCGTAATATCAATATTGTAGCTTCAATTGCGTCCAATAAAGCCCCAAAAAAATAACGGCGTTTACCTCGACTGCGGCGGTATCCTGATGCCTGACGAACAGGCCTGTGGAGGCGAGCGGCGTTTCTTGCCATCGCATCCCGCCCATCCGACCGTCCATCAACATATCGCGATATGCCCACAAAGCGGCGTATTTCCTCGACTTGGGGAATTATGGGCTAGAACATTATACGAACTCTTGAACGATATTGAGGAGAAGCAAAGGGAACTCACAGATCGCCATGATCGCATGGTTGCCACAGGCAGCTATGCCGGCCCCGATGAGAAGAAATCCACCAACGAAGACATGAAGAGGCTCAAAGTTGAGCTAAGAGAGTTACTACTTACCTATGGTATGTTTCAGCCGTGCAAAAGTTGAGATGCGTGGTGCTTCAGCTATGCTCATTCAAACAGGCACGATGCTTGGCGTGTGTGGAAACGTCGCAGCACTACCAGACCCCACCGAGTTCCATTTCGAAGACTTCCACGAAGTATACAAACGCTGTACTCCCAATGGAATACTCCCTACCGTATATGGCTCTTTCCCAGGGCCCATCGACCGCGACCTTTGCGTGCATACAGCCCCACCGTCGATGGATCCCTTCTCAAGATTGATCATACGGCTTCTCAAGTGGCTTTCTAAGAAGCCGCTCTTTAGACGTTGCTTTAACGACAAGTCAACTAGAGAGCGAGGCTTCATGACTCGAGGTATTCGTCGAACTACTCACGTGATCACGTGTGCCATTGTCCCACTGTTCTACTCCGCATCTATAGCGACGTTGTACGCGGTCAAACCAATGACAATCCGGCTTGCTATCATTCCTGTGTTCTTGCTGGTATTCGCCCTATCGGCAATCTTCCTTGCAGGATCCAGTCGGAACGAGATGATAATATTTATGTCGGCGTTAGTGCACAAGACGGAGCCAATCCTGATGACTGTCGCTGATGAGAAGCAGGTATGCAGCTGTGTTGGTAGTCTTTGTGAGCGGCAACATATCATCTCCTTGAGGCCGACACTCAGAGAATTTTCGAGAGAGATGAGGTCGAGAGAAGTAAGTGCAGCCTTCCCTAGGTTCCAGTCCACTCACCGCTCCGTTCTCCGGCCGACCAAATCCTCAACAACACCACGTGACTCGACTCAACTTCACTTTATGCATTTGACTACGCTAATTATGCGACAGCACAGGAGATCGCTTGCCATGCAGCTGAAACTCACACACCGCTAATGTGTTCAAAATGGCGACACAAAAATGGCATTACCTATTTTACAGATGAAATTGACACTACAAGTGCAAAATTCTGAAATTGCGAACAAGTCTCCTTGTGAACTCTCGTGTTTCCTGGCACCGACCCAACGCGTCACGATACGCACCGTGCTCACGGGAGTCGGAGCGCATCCTGCTGACGTCCACGATAAGATTGAAGCCTGAATTTTAGGGCTTGACTTGGTACTTGCGAGTCGAAACATGATCAAGCCATGCTCAGGGGCTAGTCGCTCGAGTCTCGTTACTTTACGCCCGGCCGTGGCGAGGTTCCCGATTCCCCATCCCGCACATAGACTATCTTCACCCTCCTCAAGCATATCCTTGGTCCCTTGTGCGACCCCCATACCCACTTCCCCAGGCTCTTTGACTCTGTAGTGGAAGGTTTCCCCTCTTCCTTCTCACAGTTGCCGTTACCTAGCCCGATCACTTCTCTGACCATTTTGTTGGCCATGGCTTCAGATCAAATGCGGGATTATTTTGTGCCACTCCCCCCTCTACCTCGTATGGCTCACTCTCAAAAGGTCTCTCCATACAAGATACTAATACAGGACGATTGATTAGCGAAGAAGAACTAGAAGAGCACCACACGAAGCGAGGCCAGACCAATGAGCTCCCGCACGATGGACAACGCCCCTAGAAAGGTCCTGGGAATGCATCAACGCGGACAATAAGCCGAGGAAGTAGGCTCACAACCACCTGCTCGGGATGAGCGTTACAATCAGGCTACTCTCCCGATGATGCTCCTTCACGACACCCCAGCTCATATCCTTGCCCCGACCGACGCGACTTCCACGTCAAAACACCCTCCTTCAGCGACGGCACCGCTCCATCTATGGGCCTCGACAAAAGCAATTGATCTTAGATATTGTTCATTTCTATATAAGCCTTCGTTGCTGCACGCCTAAGCTAGGATCCACCGACAAGCGGCCTTAGTCCCTCCTCCCTCTAGCCCATTGTGCCGCCCCACACGAGTATCCAGGTCCATCATATTGTTAAACACCACCCATTGCTTCCTCACAGTACATGGCTATATTCGATATAGAAGGATACGCTATTCGATATGGAAGGATACGCTATCCTAGAGGCCGTCTGGATCGTTCCGTTGGCGGTTCGGATAGCCTATCTGGGTCATCGTATTGGAGTTTGGCATGATCGATCGCGGTGAACACATCTCTTCTGGGTGTTCTTATTTGTTTATAGACTCAAGACAACTCGACAAAGCTCGGATCATCAAAAAGACTCTTGCCGACTTGAACGCGTGCTGGAACAAGAGGAGACGTGATGTCGGTTTTTGTGCTGATTCTGCGATCGTAGCAAACACCGAACGCACGCGGAATATCCGGCGGCTTCTTCACTCTCGGACAGGGATATAGATTTAGGTTAGACGGGCTTAGATGTATGTAAAATGGCACGTTCCAGATCCATGTACGAGGCCGTGCTCCCAGCCTTCGCAGACGACCTTCTATCGCGCTATTATCTAACCCCTCAAGCGAAGCAACGAAATGGTCATAGAGCTCCAGCGCTAGAGTCCGAGAATAGAAAACGAGACCGGCGTTCAGGTAGGCAACCTTACGTCCAGTCGGTATTCATGCATGAGCCTTCCTCGTTGCTTCCCCTGCCACCTCGGCATGGAGCCATCCTCAATCTACTGGCTCTCGCGACACCGCAGGCATGTTTCATCAACGTCCTACGTAACATGCAGACGAACGCGAATCAGTCTGCCCAAGATGACTTAAACAGAAACAACCCACCCAACTTACCCCTACGAAAGAGATTGAGCTTTGAGCGCTTTAAATACTATGGCCATGGCACTTTCGGGACCTGGGAGACGACTCTACCAAAAACCACCAAGATGCGAAGACTCCTGGACCCTCAGCTTCCAGCAATCACGGCTCCCCGACAAAGTGTCAGCATTACTACGAGCACTCCTGCCAAACCATACCTCCTAGCACCTATGCAGGTCAAATTCGGATGGCCAACATGCCGGCTTTCCCCAACACAGCCCTTCAGCCCCGCACACCGTGCCACGAACGCCAATACATTTCCAAGCACCGCCAGCCCGGCTCTCGAAACTTCGACTCGGCGTACCAGCATCGGAAATGAGGATACATGCCTAGATTGCGAGGGTACAGGGAAAAGGGCGCATAGGGAGCACAAACCCGGCTCATCGACATCGAAGGAAAACGCACAAGACGCTAGTACGGCGCATACCACCGAGCAGGCTCCCAGTCCCTCGCATTGGACACCAAACGCTTTGGCTGTGTGCTCCGCTTTGATAAAATGAGTCGCAAACTTGTTGCCGATACTCGTGCCCAACCTCCGAGGCATACGCCGGACTCTCCACCTCCATACTCGGAGGGAGGCACACTTGGTGATAGCTCAGAGCCTTCCACGCCTCCTAAGGTTGCGAGAGGCCTGAGGGATACAGTCAAGGTGAAGGAACGTTCCATGACTTCTTCGAATAATACACTATCTGCGATACCCCGATACGTCTCGGTCGGAGAGAGTAATAAGATGAAAGAAAATAAAGAGAAGGAGGAGGGAGCTGAGAGCATGACGAGCTCTCCGAAGGGCTAGAAACAGTATCAGCCATGGCACTAACAACAGTATCAGCAACAAGTACTTGAGGTCCAGTTTGACAGGTGCCGGCGATGGAATACAGACTAGCCATACCGTCAAAATTGGACAGTGGCTTCCTTGACTTCTGCTATAGCTACTAAGGCCATGTGGTGGTTAGGTTCGAAGAATCTGATAGGATTCGTCTTCGTTTGAGCGATGTTGATATCATACGAGGAGCGGTGACGACGGAGGCCTCATCACCTGTCCCCTTCATACCGAGCAAGCAAATGTAGGTGCTCTCTCCGCATAATTTGCGACAGAGATACTTCAATGGCATCTGGCCTGCTCTGAAAAGCGGTGAGCTTGGTACAAGGGATCGTCTTGGAGGTCGTCGCAAGTCTGTTTCTTGGAGTCCTTTCCGGAGAGACAGTGAGATGTATCCGATCGAATCTCATCGAGTTCATCACATCCATTCTCGCATCTTGGTCGCCTTTGGCAGGGTTGTCTTCATCCGGCGATTGCGCTCTAAGAAAGCTGGAGAACATCTCTATGAGCGAAAACTTTGGTCTCTTTTTCGGGGGGTGATCTGTCTAAGCGGCTCCGTTCGAGTCGAGTGGCGCCGGTTGCTTCGTGGTGGTGTCTGTATAACATACGCGAGGTTAGTGTGATTATAAAAGTAGAAGATTCCGGCGGCTGAGGCCTTTATGGGCATCCCTGAAGACTAGACGCAGTTATACCTAGGATGTTCCACGGAAGACGGAGTGATCCTGAGTCATTTCAAGAAGGTATAGGGAAAGCTGATTGCATGGTAACCGATTGGACGGGAGGCTTTCTCGTCTGAATGGTCAGTCTATTGTCCATTGCCAACAGCTAGCCAATTGGGCCTGGAGCATTTATTGTTGTTGGCGGGACTACTGTGCTGTCGATGTTACTGGTACTATTGCTAGTACCCTTGCTGGTGCTGTTGTTGGGAATGTTGCTGGCATGTTGCCTTTGGTTTTGTCCTCGTCCTCACTGAACCATTTTTGCTACGTCGTGTGAGCGAGTAGATTGAGGATGGTTCCATGCTAAATCGAGTCGGTAATGAAAGCAATAAGGAAGGCTGGTGCATAAACCTTGACTGGATGTGAGGCCGCCTAGCTGAAAGGTGGTTTTGTTCTCCGTTACTAGCCCTTACTATATTGGTTTTGATGTTCTTTTCGTCCTTGTCGGCGCTGGAACCATATCGTCGTTTCATTGCTTCGTTTGGGAGGGTAGCTGAAAGCGCGATAGGAGGTTGCCTGCTGTGGTCGGAATCCTAGCCATTGTTATAAAGCCTGCAACACGTTCGTCGGTTTACATCGGAGGCTGTCTGACGTAGGGCTGAGTCCCTATGTAGGTGTATAGAAGGTGCGAGAGGTTCGACATTATGTCCTATATTTGTTACAGTCGCAGTATTAGCGCAAGAACGCGTATCACACTCACTTTGTTCCAGCACGCGTCGAAGTCGGCAAGAGCGTTCTACCAAAAGTGTGAATTGTCTCAGGTCTATGCGCAAAGGAGTATAACCAAAATGAGGCACATCCACCGTGACTGAATATGTCAAAGCCTGCTAATTGTATGGCCCGGTCCGAGCCTTAGAACCGTCCGTGCAAACTAAATAGCCTCTAGGATAGTGCGTTCTTTCGAGTTGATTATAGCCGTATGTCGTAAGTAGACAAATGGTAGAGCTTGACGACATGGTGGACCTTGACAATCGTATAGAACACGGTGGGCTAGCGGGACTCGGACAGCTTGACCGTCGATAGCAGCTCAGGGTAGCAGAAACAGGTTTTAACGGAAGCGAATCGTAATCAAAATTGATCGCTTTCATTGATGTCTGTCGAGAGGATAGTGCCGTGGCTCAAAGGGCGTGTGTTGGCGAGAAAGTCGCGTCGGTTGACATAAGGCTAGGATCTAGAATGCTGTGATGGAGCATCGTCAGGATAGAGGGATGTTGATCCCGACGAAGAAATTGTATTGCGGTCTCCGCGGTCGGCTTTCATCTGCGTGCCGTTCGCAGTATTGCTCTGAGAGGAAGGTGTACGATCTGGCGACTCGTTGGGGCGCGACCGTGCCTGCTGGTTCTCTGGGTTCCTCTGGGCTATTCGGTGGCATATATCAGTACTCTGCGACAGGGGATCCGTTGAGGGCGAGTCATACTAGCAGGCTTGTAGTATCTTCGGGAGAACGGGATGAAGGCTGCCCGACCTGAAGCCATGGCTATGATAGCAACCCGAGAAGCGTTCTGCGGACCAGAGAATGGTATCGGCGTGGCAATGTGGACGGTAACCAAATCGATATCTGACTGCCTCCTTGGGAAAAGTCCTTGGACAGAACAGATGCGCCTTGATATCGTGGGTACGAGAAGGGGCCCAGGTGAGAAAGGACGCGCTTTGCGAGTGTGAGGGAGGCTGCTGTGTGCGAAGGGGGAAGTTCGAGTCTCCGCTGCAGTCTGCCCCATACAAACGGGGCGAAACGGGCACGCCAGCCTCTTTACAAGCCCCTTCCAAGGACTGACCACACAGTGAACCAAGTCAAGCCATCATTGCTATCCCTCAATCTTACCTCTCACTGTTCGGAGGGCCTCGACGTAGAGGTGCGCTTCGGCTCCATAGCACGGTGCGTTTCCTGTCACGTTAGACTGGGGTTAGATACGATGGGACCTCAACGCTCTCCACGTTAGGTGAGGCAAGGACACATGGCAAGTCGCGTAGAAGTGCTCATCGTAAATAAGATACTTTTTGTTTTTATTACTCTGATTGTTCCGCTCCCGGAAGATAGGACTGCCACTTTTGTGCCTTCAAGGTTGCAATATTCGGCTATTCATGTGTCGTCAAGCGCCACTGGCGATCTCATGCTGTCATATCATCAGCCCCTTGCTATCATCTTAGGGGGAGTCACGTGGAAGATGCTTGGCCATGGTTTTGAGGCTGTCGGCCGCATACCGGGGACCGGGGTGGAGGCGGTGTGTGGATTGGAGCCTGGAGGCTAGACTTACTCGCGGATTCCCTTCAACCTCACCTCTGCGACGTTTGATCGCAGTTATCATTGAGACGACATGTTGCCGCTCACAAAGACGACCAGTACAGCCGCATATCTGCTTTATGTTAGCCACATCCATCAAGAATATAGCTCTCTAAGACATACGCAGACATAAAAATGACCATATCGTTCCGACCCGATCTCACGAAGAATATCGCCACGAAGGAGAATACTAAAAGCAACGCGACAATAACAGCAAGCCGAGCTATCATCGATTTGACGAAGAATAGTCCGATTATCGATCCAGCGAGGAAGAGGGGCAGAAGAACACTATTGATTACGTGAGTTGCTGTAGTGACAACTCCAGCCACAACACCCAGCTTCTGAGTAGACTTGTCCTCGAAGAAGCGTTCAAAACGCTTACTCTCTCCTAACCGGATGAGGACATGAAAGATGATCAAGTTGGAGAAAGGGTCCATGGGCGGATATTCTTTGATCGTGCAGAGATCACGATCAATCGAACTTCCATAGCAACCAAATACGGGATGAAGCTTTGCATCAGGATCACACCTCTCCATCTCCTTATGGAAGTCGTTATGGCTGAACCTGATTGGATCTGGGAGTGCGGCGGTCTTTGCATAGCTACTGAGAGCCTTATCTAGGTATTTTCTTTAGTGTCGTTCAACCGGGAACGCCTGGGAATTTGCTCGAATTTCGAGACTTACTATACATGAACCAGAGGTCCCGCCGTTCAGTCTTAAGCCTTGCGAACTTAGTTTCGATGTCTTTGACCTCTCTTTCGGTAGGTTGGATCGGGTTTGCATTGCCGCTCACGTGCACCGCCCGACGACGGCACTCCTCTAGCTGGTACCTCGCTTCTTCAAATTCCTGGCATTTCTCTTCCAAGTCATGTTGAATCTCATATATTATTTCAGTTGAGAGTTTCCCGTATCGAGGTAATAGCATGCTTTCCGGACATATCGCAAGATGTTCGTGGAGCTTTGAGAACCGGGGATGGGACAGACTCAGCCGAGGCTGCATGATGCTAGCAGTTTTCTAGTGGAGCGACAAGTCTCAATTTTCTCGAGGCACAAAACTTGGAAAGATTGATTCCAGAATTAAAGGTTCGATGAAAGAAAGGAAGAGTGAGGTTGGAGGCCCCTTCTTTCTTATATACAGCCGCCTACCGTTTCGCCCACTCGTCGTCATGAAGCCCAGCTTGTCAACCTCGCAATTCCTTCAACCACTTGCATCGTAAGGCAGAGTATGGGGACGATTATTGAATTCAGCATCCCAAGATAATGGGTCCGCTAGTGTTCCTAGGCAAAATCGCCCACTTGGTCCTCTCATCGCCGACCGTGGAGCAGCTTCAATGCACGCGGAAAACGACGCATCGTGAAGTCAGCCACGGCAACCGCTCATCCGACCAATAACTCTTCTCGTTATCTCACCGGTATTATTTCGCATCTTTTGGGGACGTCAGTCCTGCGATTTAGGGCATGGCAGCTTTCCAAAACAGCTTCGTGGATCGAATCGCAGCACACCCTAGGCAAGCATGAGTGCGCCTACGGTAGGCATGTGGCACAGCGGAAGAGTATAATGAGGCTCTGAAGCACATTCAGAGATAGCAGACCGACCAGGTGTTGGGGTAGCGGTGTCGAAAGGAGTCGCTGGCTACCAGTCCCCGCCCTCCCTTGGACAGAGGAAACTCCATAGGGCACTCGAAGCGGTACGGGCCGTTCGCCTTACAAGTGAGCGCATGCCTGACTGCATAAGCGTTAGTTGTGGATTGCGCGAGCAGAAACGTCGGGGATGAGCGAGATGCCAGGGTCGGATCTCGCGGCTACCTGACCTTGGCTCACTCAAAACTAAAACTAAAGACATACGTGGTGGAGATTGGTCCACGTAGGCCCACCACGATCAGTAGAGAAGGTGATGGAAGGCTGCGCGATCGATCGTCGTTCGATTGAGAGTCTAGCAGGCAATGTTCGTCAGGCAGCACTCTTACTTGGCCTCAAGATACGAATAGCAATTGAAAGTAGCCATACAAGATGCAGTTCAGATATTGCCACCACCAACATATGTCGCTTCAAGGATTGTGCATCGTCGAGGTGAGTCAACGTCGTTAGGGGATGATGGGGAGGGAAAGACAGGGGGTGTAACACATCGGGAAGCCTCAGCTAGGGGCTTCGGCGGCTGAGGAGTTAAGCAAATCAGCGAAGAGTATGTATGAAAGTCGTTTCTATTGGTACTGAAGGCATTTCGGGGGCATTGGAGGTCATGAAATCGATGAGAATCGATCAGAGACACCTCGCTTTCTCTCAGGCTGGATCAAAAGGGACAAACTTACGACCGCCTTCAGCACGGTACTCCGATCCAAGCACAACGCATTCCAGAGCAACCCAGCAAATCTTGCGGATAAAGTACATACACTTACTTCTTCAACTTAAGGGGAAATACTGGTAAGGCTCTCACTCCACTTCGATCACCCGGTTGAAGTCCTGATATTGTATCTACATTTTAGAACGAAGACGAGGACCGTCATAACGTCTGAGAGGATTTTTGCTACGATCCTAATCGACAGAGCTTAATCTGAGGAGCGCTCCTGGCTCACTCCTCCGTCACCGTCTCAACCTCGATTGTCACACTCAAGCAGCAGGGACGGTCTACGTTCAAGGCACCACATCCCACTCCACAACACCCACGACGAGCGCGGACAGCGCAGTATCCGCAGTACAGGGTCTCTCGGGTATCCTCAATCAGCTTGAAGCGCGATAGCCTGAACTATCGTGATTTTACATCGGTAGCTCCATGCCCGAGCATCACTACCACAGACCAACCACCCTATCACTCGCTTATAATCCTTTGCATATGTGTGATCTCATGCATTGAGTTTTACGTGAATAAGGACTCGAAGTATGGCAGCTTGTCGTCGCTGCGTCGAGGTATGACGGAGGGTCGGGGTGGGCGAGGAAGGAAGTTCGACGTCTCTCAGGAGGACCATGAGGGTTTAGTATTCTTGAAAGTCTTATCTAATGGAACGGATCTTGCATCAGCATTACGTCGGTTTTTTTGCGAATGAGTGTATAGCGTTAAGAGTTTAAAAACTAATCGAGATGCGGCACATTGACCTCTACAAGGGTCAATTGCCTCTCTAGCTCATCATCCGTCTTCTCAAGTGAATGCAATGAACAATCTAGTGGCCTTGATGGTATATATCATCGTTCGGAAGATGGAGACAGTATAGGTAGTTGTGCGGTGGATTCTGCCCAGCTGCGGATGGGGTCGCAATGAAGAAGTGAACGTAGAGAGAGTCAAAAACGCTCAGACACCTCTTCCGTGTTACCTCTCAGGTAGAACAAGGTACCCTTCACCCACAAGTTGCCTTAGAGATACATACTCGCTTGCTCTAAAATGTGATTGATCAGTCTCAGAACGCTACTATCATAAGGCGGTCACAGAACAGCGCCAACATTCGCGCGTTTTCCGGGGTGTTCAGCCCCTGAACAGTTGGTGACTTTTAGACTGACGCTCTCCAAAACATCTTTCTCCATTTCTTGTTGTCCTCTCGGAGGAGACAACCGTGTGAGACGAAGCTAGCGGCCTTCCTCCAGCATGTCCTTCATCAGCCTCCCACGGTCAAGCGCTGCTCTCGATCCAAAGAGACATATATGGCTCGTTCATATTCGTTATCGGATTTCTGCGATAGACCACTTGAGGCGATGCTGCCTCCACGACACGCTCGGCAGTTACCCAATACGCCGGGATTAACTTCCCCCCTCACGAAGTCTCATCGTCGCAACACACCACTTCATCAACAATCCATTCAACAACCGTCATTTATGCAACTTGGTATGCAATGATACCCTCCTAGCCAGCTCGTGCCGCCCCATCCCCATACTCACCCTTGCGTTGCCCATGGTTGGTAACGATAGGCCGAGACGATTCCACTCACGACCTTCCCGACGCTCAAAAATAGCAGCCACACTTTCTCATCCCTCCTTAGTCTCAGGAGCCTCCTCAGGTGTGCGTACTGTGCCGCACGGGCTATGACTCTTCGTCTTTCTGCCTCATCCGAGGGGCTGCGATAGGTGTTCGACCTCGGAGGATGACCCTATGGTGCAGTGACAGCGCTTACTCCTATCTTCAAGAGCCTCACGAGGCAGCGGGTGAGGTGGGGATCATATCCAATCCTCGTGAGTTGTTGATGCCGGTAGCTTGGTTCTCTGTCCTTCTCTGTATGTGAATGGGGCGAAGGACGAAGACGTTGTTCAGAGTCTAGGGTTCAACATACCTATTTTCGTTCTTTCTTGCAGTCTTTCACACTGCCGAGTACTCAGCAGGCGCTTTGCATTTAGGCAGTTGCCTTTTTGCTGGATTGCTGCGTTGTTTCGAAGTTGGTGTGCTGTTTTTGAGCCGCCGAACTGTCCTACCGGTCGCCGGATTGAATATAAATTGATGCGCACATCCATTTGTTCCTTCTTTTATCATACTCATCTCTAGAAAGATTTGAAGACCTCTTTCATCCAGCCCAGCTGTTGTTTCTTTCTATTCACACTCACAACATGGGTAATGCTTCTTCGAAGATTACAGTCGACGGGATTGGTCCCTCGTCTGGTGCCGCATCTGCCGATTATTCCCAACGCCATGTCAAGGGTTACCCCGGCCTTGCACATCTCATGGCCGTCGACCCACATGCCTTTCATGTCCGGGGATATCATACCTCATCAGTTCGTAATATTCTCTATCTTCAAGCCGAGCTTGGAGAGTTGGAAGAAAAGCTTTTGCAAGCCGAAGTTAAAGATAGCCGAAGCCCCGAAGGTGATGAGTATTCGAAGAAATGGCATCGTTTGAGGGACTCATCGGGAAAACAAATTGAGGCTTGGAACGAATTGATGCAGGTATTGCCAAAATATCGTGAGTTGACTGAGTTGGAATCGAGCCTATGTCGGACCACTAACGGAAATCTCAGAAAAAGCTATCCTTAGGCATCGTGAATTATACCCAGATGGAGTTAATAAGTTCCACCTCGGCATAGTTCAAAGCGCTCTCGATAATCGCGAAATCCAGGGCAGGTCCTCCCTTCTTGGGGACGACGCTCGCAACTGGGGCTCTACCCTCAACCCTTCTGGGCATGCGCAGGACCTCCTTGCTGTAATCCCGGAGCCGATCGAGAGCTACTTCGTGACGTTACTCAAGGAGACGCTCGTGCCGATATTCTTTCACAGATTCCACTTCCGATACAAGACTCCCAGCCGACACGGGTTCGTCAGTTACGACGGAAACTGGATTTCGTTCTTGTCAGTACTGATCGGTATTCCTACGCTTGCTTTCGTAACCGTGTTCTCCTTGAACTCCCTTTACCTTTTTCAGGGAACGAAAGTAAAGCTGCTTGTCGCATCAATCTCGTACTTTGTGTTCTTAGGATGCGTCTGTGTCTTCTTTGGAGATCGAATCTTTATCGCTACGATCAGCACAGCGTAAGTTTTGTCTCGCCCCCCACCGCCCTTCAGCCCATCTAAGTACTCGCATAGGTTCGTGGCTGCTCTTGTGGCCTTGATCATGAATAGTAGCAACTAAGGCGCTACTGAATTTCGTGTTGGACAGTACTCCCGTTCTTCCGGCCGTCATCAAGGCTCCTGAGAGAGATTGAGGTCACCGTTCAGCCTTGCATGGGGCTCACACCGTTGCTCTGCCAACCTTTCCGTTCCGTCTTCCCCGAAAGCCAAAGCTTCGACCCTCACACCTGCGGAACCAGGGTCGGACGCTTAGACCATGGTCTTCTGGCTCCAATTTTATTAAGGCAGACAAGGCACCAACATCCACGGTAGAAGGACCGCTCTCAGATCCGCCTCTCCTTTTCCAATGCTTTCGTCAAATACCGAGCCTCTCGAAGCCCTTCGCGTGTGGATGCATCTTGCTCGGAACTTACTTGTACTGCATAAGAATACTCGATCCTGAGAACTTCCTCGTGCTCTACGCGATCGAGATACACCCCGAAATGCGACCCATCGCTCGCCCTCGTCGGCAAGTGGAGAGATGCCGAGTATGCACCTCGAAGCATCCGTACCGTCACCATTGAGTCAATGAATCAGCAACGTCGCTCATCCACAAGGCACACTACAACGTGAAAATACCTTGGACGAGATTCGTGACCGGAATTGTTCCGTTTGGACAATCTCCTCACGTGGCGTAGGCGTCTCTCCTCCATCATTGGGGCTTCAGGGAGGCTAGCCAGGTCGAAATCCCGTTTCAGCCAGGCCATGCACACCGCCTATAGCCCAATGGGCCCCTTCGCTCTCTCGCCTTCTAGTACGTAGACCCAAGCAATGGCCCCCTTACGTTGCGATGCATGCACCCTCCGATTCGAGGCGGCCTCCCACAACCAATTATTTCGACCACGTAGGGACTACCACTATATGAAGCCTTTCAGAGCCTACGTCTGCTAGCAAAGCGATATTACTGCTAGATTTTTCCGCACCTATTCGCCCACAGCAAAGGAAAGATGCCTCGAGTCTACCCCGTGTTGCTCCTCCCGCCTCTGAACCGTAAGTCACAGCACCGAGAGCAACGTGCGTTATCTGCCGTATGACTGATTCCATGAAACATAGCTCAGGAAGTCAAGGCCGACATAGAGGCCCAGCACAGAGCAATTGAGAGCGACAGAGCCGAAAGATATCGTCAAACTATCACGAACGGCACTTCTCCCACAACGCCTTCGACAGCCATCAACCCGCAGCCCTCTTCCAACTCCACAACTCCTTAGCAGTGTCGACAAATCCGAGCTCTAAGAGGACCTGCCAGATCGAAGATATCCCAGGCCACTAAGACATCGCGTCTACAAGCAGAAGGGCGCTTCTTCTACCTAAATGTTTATCAACATAGCCCAGCATCTGCGTTACACCTCTTCGATCACCCGCTCCCTTGCCACAACCAAGCCTTTCGAACTGTAGAGCCTCAACCGGTGCGACATCCACGATTTCTCAGCACTCTTCACAACACGATATTGCATTGCGGTCCACAAAAGCGTTCCCTTCTCGCTCTCTCTCGCTGGCCGCCCACCTCCACGCTGCTGAGAACCTGGCTACCGCTCCAGACCCTTGCCTTAGACCTCAATACCATTCATGCTCTACCGACAATTGTCATACATGAACTGTTTCAGGATGCATTTGCGATTCTGCTGAGCAAATGCGCTCGAATCGTTGCTTCGCAGAGAGGATGTCCGGGTCAGATGGTGGCGGGCCTAGTCCAGTCATTCACGGAGGCCACGTTTTGTTTCCTTGCTTAGTTGCTTATAGAGCTAATATAATAGATCATTCTAAGACCTCTAGAGTCTAATTTTGAAATCAGACAAGGCTGCGTGGGTAACGGAAGCGAGGCTGATAAACAAGCCCACTTGAGACACGGTCACTACAAACATAAGAAGCGCCTCCAACTCCCGCGCGCCCTCTTACATCTGCGAATAAGCTGTATGAGACATATCAAACATACTATTCGGTCGCAAACTCCTTGATACCCGCTTATATGACAGTCGCGAAAGTATGCACCCAGCAACACGTCCGTCATCGTTTCCCTCTAGCTTCTATTTCAAGTGCCATCATGCCGCTTTGGGAGAAAAAGACGGGAAAGAATACTACTACTGACAATACAAATGAGCCTGGCAATGTCCAACAGCCTGACCCTTCCGGTGAGTAGCCCTCATGCAATCGATCTACACACACTCGGTCTTCCTCTGCCTTGTCAAGGCAGTGCCATCGCTCACATATGCCCCCACATGAGCAGGACGGCTCATCCGCGCGAACGCTCAGAGGCGCTCCACTAAGACGCCTTGTTTTCAAGAAAGTACTAACTCCACGTTCATTCCCAGACACCAACACGAATCCAGACACGATCGCGAACTCAGACCCGAATGCGAATCCAGACCCGAATGCGAAGCAACCTCTTCCTCAAGACGCCTCAAACGAGACCAGCTCGACCAAAAGCAGCGTAATTTCAGCCATATCGAGAAAAGGAAAGAGGGCCGTGGGCATAGTCAAGGATAATGTCATTGGCAGTACAAAGACGGCAACAAAAGCCACAATAGGGCTCTTTAGAAGAAAGCGATCCAACTCCAACCCAACCTCGTCGGATAGGTCAAAGAGGATACGAGAGGGGGGGAATGCTCCCGCCCCTTCTGCAAATAGCAACAGCCTACTCAGTCCTTCGCACAACGAGAACAGCACCACGAGTGCTCCCAAGACTCCGACACCGCCCGCCACGACCGCCGATCCAGCCGATCCAGCTCAGCCAGCCAAAGCGTCGCCCGATTCCACTACCCAAAAGCGACGTTCAGCTTCTCCCATGGAAGTAGACAAATTCCATTCAGCCCCGAGCTCGCCTAGGTCCAACAAGCAAAGCCGAAACTCTCAAGAGCAGGACAACATCGCGGTCGCGTCTAAAGATGGCCGCCCTGCTTCTTCGAAGCATGAGACAACCACGGCTGCCGATGCGCTTGGAATTTCGATACCCCGTAAACCTGTTGCTGGTACTGGTACCCAAGCTCTGCCGCAGGCGCTTGAGTCTTTGCCCCCATATCCGGAGGGAGATGATCGAGATGCGACGGCGGAGCCTTCCATCACCCCTTCACGCGAGACATCTCCGGCGAGGGATACAGCTGTCAGCGTTGAAGGGAGTAACGAGCTTGGGCAGAAGGATGATGCGGAGGCAGATAAGGGGAATGAGGGTGAAGGACAGGGACACGAGAGCAAGTCCAGCTCCCCAAAGAGCACCAAGACCGCTTACAAGGACGGGGAAAGCACGGGAGATGGTACGGATGGCGATATCCTGTAACGCAAGCCACAATGTGCCTCACGAACCCCGGATACTCATTCAGCAGCGTTTGTAGGAGATAGGGAATTGCATTTGATGATTGAATAAGATAGACCACGTGACTTTCATGAAAATTCTGCTCTCCAATGCTGAACCTGCTATGAGGGACGCTCAACGCCACCGATTCCATGATAACATCATTCGTAAACCACGAAGTCTCAGACAACCTGAGTAAGACCTTTCATAAATGCATACCAGAACTTCTCTCCATTACAGACCCCTCGCCTCTTGCAGCTTCAACAACCAACCCTCTGCCTTTCCCATACCCATCCCAGCGCCCTTGCCCAGTCCCCATGGACCAAAGGACCAAGCTCCGCTGAGTTGCTGTTGGGCCGCTAGCAGCTTGACCCTCGCTGCTTCTCGTAGCTCAGGCTCTACTTCGAGCAAGGGGAGGACCTCCGACGCTGCTGCTGACGAAGGAGGAAGTTCAGCACCAAATGGCAGCTCGCTGGGTGCACAGATCGTGTCTGGCGGCGGCAGGACACCCTCATGAAGATACGCACGGAGATGGCCGACCGTACATAGAGAGGGTGTTGAGATAGAGCAATGCTGCATCCCGTTAGCAATAATCCTCCCCACCAAACTCCTCCGCAAGATCTCACAAACTCACCCCAGCCGACTCCTGCGTCAACACCCCACTCCCCTCAAACAAATTCGCCATCTCAAACGCGTTCGTCAAGGGCGTGACCGGATCCGCCGTATTCCCAATCCACAAACAGGGTGCGACGTCTTCCCACCCATCGGCCCTCGAAATCTATACAGCGGCCGCACGTCCCACGCCGTACAGCGCAGCCGCAGCCGCACCCAGATGGCACCGATGGCTGGGCTCAGGGCCACGAGCTCGTTGGCGTAGGCTTCGAAGTCTTTGGAGGTCATCCAGGTCTGCGAATCGCCGTCCGAGCACATGATAGCGTACTGCGCCGCGTCCTGGTGCTCGTAAACGACGGAGTCGGAGCCGTTGCGGGCGCACGAGAAGTGGTGCGCTGGGGTGATTAATTCAGCGAATTGGGTGCCGTCGCGGCCCTCGAGGGCGGACATGAGGTCGGCGACGAGAGGGAAGGTGGCGAGGGGGCTGTAGAGCATGAGGAAAAGGAGCCAGCGGGCATCGCTGTAGGTTATGACTTCTGGCGTGTCGCCGGGGACGGGGAGGGGTTTGTGGTAGAGGGAGTCTACGATGGTCGCGAGCCGTTTCGCGACATCTGCGGCTGTGGCGTTGGGGGCTGCGAGGGCACACTTCTCGAAGCCGATTGCGGCGCAGGTGGTGTAGAAGTGGGTCATTACTTTCTCGGTGTCGTTGAGGTTGTCGGTCCAGAGGGTTTGGAGGTAGTCTTCAGCATCGACAACGCCGTCGAGGATGACGCGACCGACACGAGATGGATACATAGACGCGAAGGTGTTTCCCAGGAAGGAACCGTAGGAGAAGCCCCAATACTGAAGCTTTGCGGTGCCGCGGACATAGGGGACGTAGTCGGGCGTGGAGGGGAGGGCGCAGTAACTGGTCTTGCGGCTGCGTTTGACGGCTGCATCAACGATTTCTTTCGAGATTCGCTGAGTTTCGTAGAACTTCCACTCGTCATGCTTCTCTATAATCTCTAGCATGTCGCGGGCTACAGAGGCCGTGGTTAAAAACTTCTTGATATCGTCACCTGACTCGGATTTATGAGAGCAAGAGGTGCCTAGAGCTTGGTTCATGGCCCACAACCGTCCCAGCGCGGCATCGGAACTGCCAAAGATGCCTTCCTCTGTCTCGCGAAGAAGCCATAACCAGCTCGAGGCATCATCTGTGAAGCAGGATGCACCGGGTTTAGTCTCGCCGACGCCACGAGGGTCGAAACCGATAATGTCATAGTACTTCGCTTTCGAATCCTTCTCGGTGGTGACAGCCGGATCTTCTGCTGAGTCGACAAGTGTCTGAAGAGAGAGACCGGCAGCCGCAACAAATCCAGTCCCTGAGCCACCCGGTCCGCCGGGATTGATGAGGATCGGCCCGCCATACCTGGGATCGGAGACGGGAACTTTGGCGGGAACTTTGACAATCCCAAGAGATATTGTTTTGTCTGTGTTGGTGCCGTTCCAGTAGTCTAGAGGAAGTTCAAGTCTAGCACATTGGAAGCTTTCATAGCAGGGTTTGAACGAGAGGTCCTTGGAAGACTGGAGCTACAAGGCCAGTATGTCAGTCGGTATCTATTGGAAAAACCTATTGGGGCCCAGGAAGATTCGGATAGAGTCGAAAGCGTTTGCGTTGACATTTTGAAAGTCTGAACCTGGATGCTCCAAGGAGAACCAACGCAGCCGGGAAATTCAAGGGAAAAGAGGTGAGACAAGGAGATAGGAATACAAGCATCTTCAGAATCAAGAGACACTTCCAACTACATCAAACGATGAAAACATGGCCATGTGCATGACTTTGCCAGCATATGAGAAACATCCCTCCCGTAGCCCAGCTAAACCCAGCTCCATGCTCCCTCTGCGGACTCGCTTTGCCACCCAGTCCCCATCGGAAGTCCGGCCACAAGAAAGCTACAGATAAGAACGCAGGAAATGCTATCAACGCAGTCGCATAAAGAGCAACAATTGGGTCTATTTGGCGCCGCGGGCGACGGGGCGCAGTGCCGAGGTCAGTGGAGATATCGAGCTTCATAATGAATTCCGTGTTTGAGAGTAGGGGTTACGCCATAAAGAAAATTGCTCTCAAGTGTTGCTTAGGGCGAAGGGGTGGAGTAGGGGTATAGATTTGCTCGAAGGCAGCAGTGTTGTTGGCAGTGAGGTGGCTGTCACCCGTCAGCCTCCTTCCCGTATTGGCATCGCGTTTGAGTGTGGGGTCGCTTGGTGATCGTGTTGATCCTTTATAGTGTCTGCCCAATCACATCCAAGATGTATCTAATATGGTCACGGTAAAGGTTTGTATTCCTTTTGATATATGGAACAGGAGCTTTGACATTTCCAAAAGCTATCTCAAAGGGTTTTATTCAAAACTCGGTGATTCCCCTTCGTAACTACCCAGGTATGCCGGCCTTCGTAGAAGAGCAACATCGCAGATACCCCGGACATAATTGTCTCAGTCTCATTTTTTCAACCCGTACCTCACCCACCCCATTCCGTGCCGAAAAAACAATCTCCATCCGAATCCACCCCCAACATCATCATCCACACATCCATACTCCCTCTTCTGTCGATTGGCCTCATTCGGGCTCTGGTAGGAACCATGCTCGACATCCACATCCTCCTCCCTCTTCCGCTTCTTCAGCTCCGACATTCTCCTGCCGAAATCCCTCTGATGCATCATCTTCTCCATCATCGTCTCCCTCGCCTCCCTCGTCTTCACCAACGTCTGCTGCTTCTTCGCCTCCATCTCAGCCGCGATCGCCATCTCTAACTTAATCGCCTGTCGCTTCTCCTGGACATTCTTCAAGAAGCTAGCAAAGAGGCCCTCGCCGAACTTCACAGGTTCCCCCTTCCAGTACACTTTCTCTGCTATCGACGGCGTGGCCATGGCAACCTCCGCCCACTCAGGAAACATTCCGACCACCTCATATTCAGCTTTGCTCACACACTCCGGGCTCAAGAGGTATCGAGGAGGATGCGAAATCATTTCGATCAACTGCAAGGCCCGGTACCAGAAGATCTTCTGCAGCTCCGTATGCGCCGTTCGCAGCGGCATCGCTTCCTTTGGGCCAAGCGTGAGATCGAGCTTGACGGTCTTCACCGACTCGGGGAGTTCTGCAAGCCGATCGATCCAATTGGAGTACTGGGTGCTGTAGACCGCCGCCATCTTGCACATCCTCCAAAGACCCTCCTTATCCTCATTGAAGTTTATGCCTTCCCATATCTGATCGAAGACTTGGATCGTGATTTCTGGGACGCCGAGCCACGCGCAGTTCTTCAGTCGTGTTGCGCGCTCGTTCAAGAGCTGTTGAAAGGCGCGGAAGTGCGTGAAGGTTTTGGGGTCTGGGGTCTTGATGAGGACGAGGGGATCAGTGCTGGCGCTGGGGAGCCAGAGCGGAAGGATCTCGTTGATGTCTGCTTGTAGGGTCTTGCAGACTCCGAAGAATGGAGTGGATATGCGATAACCTTTCTTGTTGATTATAGCAGATATGGTCCCCGAGATAATGTGCTGTCGGAGTTCGGCGGGCAGGCTGAGGAAAGTGGTACCCGACATTGCGAGTTGGTGGTGATTGGTTTGGTACAGTCGTAATGAAATAGGGTGATTGAAATGGTGGTGATGTTGCGGATTGGTGGAGTCGGGTTTGGGTGTAGACCGAAGGGTGGTGGTTTTGATAGACAGGTTGGTAAGTGCGTGGAAAACTGTGGAGAGGAGTTGAGGAGGTAGGTCCTGCGTAGCGAACATTCGGTCCTCCTACTTTCCTGTGATGAAAGGTTGTGAGTTGGCCAGTGCCGGGGCGAGAAGCGTCTTTCATGCAGTCAGTGAACGAAATAAACAGCCATCCACCAGCCAAATACATCAAGGCTCGGACAGTTTAGGGTTGACTTAGATATCTAGTAACTTATCTTCATGAGCACGATGGTTTTACATATGATCAACTGTACTACAAGGCCAATCCATCTTTATCGTCAGTTCATAGCGGAAACGCATTGTACATTGCCTGGTCATAGAAACCCGTATACTCGTTACCGCTGAATGAAGAGCTTCGTCGTATTTTCAGCATTCCGAATAAGAGAGCAGTTTGCCATATTGGACAGATGGTAATATATGCACGGGAAACCGTGCACGAGGTGGTCGCCACTTCTAACTACCGCTCATGATACTTATTAAAGGGTGTTATCCGCACCTGAGAGCCTTATAGTAGCGCGATAAGTCATCATCAGCCTTGTGTCCGCTGTGACGCCTAAATTTAAGCAAGGTCGCCACGCTGATCGGTACCTCAGCTAGTGCCGCATGCCCCACGACCACCGACACACCGGCCAGCTTATTCAACCTCCCCAGCGAACTTCGCAACAAGATATTGTATATGAGCTAGAGAGCCACGGGCACCCCCAAACTCTACCTTGGCTTCAGCATGGATGGTGCTAATACTAGCGATGATTCTGCTTGGTCAACTTTTGCAGATTTCCTGGAAGCATCTTCGCGGGTTCTGTGCCTCGTGGGTGCTGGGCTCAGCGCACCATCTGGTCTGGCCACCTGGCGTGGGACGAACGGGCTATGGAACGACATCAATTTGAGAGAGCTTGCCTAACCCAACAAGTTTCAAGAGGATCCAGTCACAGTGTGGAGCTTTTACGGCGAGCGTTTACTCAAGTCATTGGCGGCTCAGCCAAATGCAGCACATCATGCGTTGGCGGCTCTTGCTAGGTGGCATGAAGGATGGTTGACTATCAATCAAAATGTCGATGGTACAGATATTAGTCTGGAAGACAAGGAATCGTGCGGGCGGTGCGCTAATATCATATCAGGGCTTCTCGAGCAAACCGATCATCCCATGTCAAGGCTACTGGGCATTCACGGCACATTGAAGATTGTTCGATGTACCACATGCGATTACAACACCAACGTTCATAAGCCGCATGACATTCCGTTCCTGCTGTCGCTGTCCAATGCTAATAATCAATCACGCTCGGCAGCATTATCCGACCTTCCACATTGCCCCAAATGTACAATCTATTGCGCCCAGGAGTTGTTTGGTTCGGTGAGAGACTCGCTGCTGGCGCACCAGACAGAATTGATGAGTGGATATCGGAAGAACGCATTGATCTGGTGATCGCTGCTGGTACAAGCTTGGAAGTTTTCCCAGCTGCAGAATGGGTGGATACAGCGCGAGCATGTGGAGCATCTTTGGCTATCATCGATGCGGAAAAAGACCACCGGCTGGTGGATGAATTAAATGACAATGACTGGTTTTTCAAAGGAGATATCGCGGTTATTCTACCTAGTATTCTACCTAGAATACTAAACTTCTCAAACGTTGACGTCACGCAAGAAAATAATATCATTATCGACTTTGCTGGGTCCTAATAACATCCCGTCTTTTATATATTCTTCGCTCCTTTATGTTTGACACGGGATCTCAAAATCCGTTTTTCTATAATGCAATCAAGGTCACGTGTAACAAATTCCCGAGTGCGCCAAAGCGGCTAAGCGAGGATAAGAATTGTTCAAACAAATTCTTACATCTACCGTTCATCCTCTCAACATTATGTCTGCTCTCACTGACGATCGAATCATCTCGCTCTGTCACGATCCGACAACCACGATTCTCTCAGCGCCGCAGTGCTTAAACAAGGTGGTGCGCATTACAGACAGCCTGGCCGTGAAGTTTGGACATTTTGTTACCGCTTAAGAATTTAGGAACTAACAGGTCGCACAGCGGCGCCTCGACGCAGACATAGTCAATGTGCCGACAGCTTATCAGTTTGTGCAGAAAGAGGAGATTGGGTATATCGTGATGGACTACGTTGATGGCGATACGCTTGACCTGGTGAGCGCAAAAAATATGGCTGAGGAGCTGGGCAAGGTCTTAAATTATATCCATCAACAGGGAGCGACGAAGCCGGGATCACTTGGAGGCGGGCTAGTATCTGGTGTGCTCTGGCCTGAACATGAGGAGGTGGAGTTTTCGGAGACTAATGACCTCCAACTTTGGCTCAATTAACGTTCACCCAGCTTAGGGCACAAACTTAATCTTCGTCGCCATGCCCTATCTATGTGCCATCTGGATTTTAATCCAAGAAACATTATGGTGGATGGCAGTCGCATCTATCTCATCGACTGGTCCGCCGCCGGGTATTTCCCTTGATTCTTCGAGCATATATTATACCAGTTCCTCCCGCGAGATCGTAGCTTCTTCAATCTTCTAAGACCATTTCTCGCTCCCTTGTCTGATGAAGAACTGGAGAGCGCAAAGATTGTGGTTGAATCTTTGCGACACAGTCAATTCCATGTTTTGTGAGTCACAAGCCGAATAAACCTAGGCGCCACTGACCAGGGCCATCTATCAGTCCGGGGGCCAAGGTCTCCCAGAGAGCACGTATTGGAGCGTAGGCTTATGAAGTATTCGATGTTCACTGTTAATGCTGTGCCGGCTCCGCACATCTATGCGCGACCAAAGTACACAGAAAACCTAAACAAACTACGCGATACTGTGCCGCACGTCTCAATTTGTAGCAGGTTTGCCGTCTGACCCGTGCACTGCTGCTACCTGGGTTTCATCATTTTGATCGCTAGCAGTCATTCTTGGAATTTGCTGAAACATGCTTTTCTTGCGCCAGGTGACTCTGCGGGTTGCGGAAGCCAGCCAGCCCAGCAATTTCTAGGGTTATCTAATCGGCGTACTATGCGGCACGTGGCAAGCTGCTCGCTTTCGTCGAATGACTGCTACAATGCGAAAATTCTGTCCTCTGTTCATCCTGTACCGTATCCCGTCTGAAAAGGCATCGCCTGCGCTAGCGCAGAGCCTTCCATGCGACCTTTACTGCGGTAGCCCGTAAATCAATTTTGATGGTCGACTACGAGGTTGCATCACGCCTATATTATTAGCAACACTATCCCAGAAGCTGTGTAGGTACGGCCAAAGCCGTGCAGCACTTCCCGCGGCAATGTAGCGCGCCGTCTCGAGATGCTGGATGGCCAGATAGCTGTTTCGTCAGCCTTCGGTGGTCAAAGGAGACATGGACAAAATTTACATCCAGTGTCGGCATCCGGATCCCTCGGATGAATACTCGAACCTGTGGAGGTTGTTATGATGGATGACTTGGCTAATATAGCCGACTGGCAGATTGCTCGAGGTTGGGGGAAAGTCAACAATGAGGACATAATTGTTTGTGATGGCGTAGGCGTTGGCAACAACCGTATAGACTGTGTCATGTGGCAGCGAAGCGAGCCTGCAACTGCGGTATTCGTCACATTGTCCTTCAATTGGATGTTAAGAGACCAATGATTGTAGTTGTCGTTGTACGGATGGCAAACTGCTTGGATTAAGTGGACTACGCGAGTGTCGTTGCTAAAGTCCGTCATCTAGTGGGCATTAATGATGGACCAAGGCTTGGGTGAAGGACATACCGTGGAATGAATCAGCTGAGTGGCTTCCGATGAAGGTGCTACAATTCGCCTGCGCTTCCAATTAAAGCGCAGTCGTTCTGTTCTTTTGGGCTGGCCTGCGGGCAGCCTGGCGTACGGAGTAGTGTCGTAACAATTACTAAATATATTAGTCTAAGCTAGCTAAGTCTGCCCGAGTAAAGGCCGGTAATATAATAAGGTTTTATTAACTAAACCTCTAAGTTAATACAATTATAATATATATTATCTCCAGTTATACTACACAGTCTCTCCACGAACTAAACCTTGGGTAAGAGTATATAAATTTTCAATTTTAGGCGGTTTGTTATGCATGGAGTGGTATGGTTTCAGCCACAAATCCCTATAACTAAGGTTTGGCTGAAAGTCAGGCTCCTTCGCGATGCAAAGGTACCACTGCCATCGACTCCTGATTTAAGAGTTTAGATTTAAGAGAATTATACTCAAAAGGCAACTCGTTAGAAGCGTTGTTAAAGGCAGAGATGGCGGTTATCGCCAGGAGGGTGAGAAATTGATCCCCGAGCCGGTCTCAGCGTAAAGCTCCACATTGCAATCCATCCGAGGGTACCGACTACGATGGAATCAGCGAGGCGGGCGTGGCGCAGCCGTCCTAGCGGCCACGGCTGCAGGACAGATCAGGACCACGTCCGACTGAGCGGAGCGGCTGGAGAGTACGAGGAAGAGGCCGGAGGCCAGAGTACGGACACATGCACCGATCCACAATGTGAAACGGAGCGACCTGTTGAGGAAGATCGACGTTCTGCGCTGTGGGGGTTGCTGGTGAATGATACGCGCCTAACCAAAATAGGATTAGCTACAACTGCGATCAGACTTGGCAAGCTGGTGAAAACAAACACCAAAACATTCTCAGTTCACCATCTCTCCAGCATCTAGCGCATCCTTTCTCTTACACATTTCAATTACGCCATGAAGCGTGCACTCTCCTGTCCAGACTCCGAGCAGACGCACAGCCATCCTTTGTCCCCAAAACGACTGAGGAAATCCTCCGACACTGGCCACTGCTGCCTGCCCCTCGACGCTTCATCGCGGCTCTCACGAACGCTTCCTCTGACGCCTGAGAATCTCCAAGCGCTGTGCTCGCAGTCAACGCTATCCATCGGAGAGTGGGCAAGCCACGACGATAGTTTCGGCGAGCCAGAAATGGGCCCCCCAACGCCAAGTGTCACATCGAACGATAGTAGTCAAAGAAGAAGACCATCGAAGCTGAGCTACCGGCGACGATCTCAGAGCCCATCCAAGAAGACAAGCACCCAATATCGATCGAGGAATATGGCCGATGCGAGCGTCTTTGTAGACCACTGTCATGACCCCCCTTGGGACGTGACGGATCAACTCAAGCATATATTTGGAGTGTCGATGTTGGACGACATCGGGCATGCCTCTTTTAGCGGTGGGAATTCTTGCGTCCCGGCTATTCAAAGCACAATTGCAGAGCTAGCAGAAAAATACTGTTGTAAATCAAGGCAGATGACCAAAGACTGTGCTGGGGAGGGTCAGTGGAAGAGCCATCTGTTAACGATTCTTGTGGAGCCTATGCAAGAGTTGTGGCCGAACATTCTAAAGCTGAGCGCGTCCGAAAAGCGTAGGTTTGTCCGTTCCGCTTTTCCGACACAGCTAATTTTGCCGTAGCATGGACAAGCGAACTCAGGCCAACCCCACCATCCTTCGAGGACATACTCTATAATGACTCCCCTCATGTCGAATCTCATCAACTAACAACTGAACATCAGACTCTGCCTCCGCCTCTGCCGGCCCAAACCTTCCCCGACACACCAATCTTCAGCGCGCCATCCAATGCTCCTAGCGATGTCACCGACGATCCTAATCGTATTTCCATACCGAAACCAGACATAGCCCTTGGACTTGCCCACACCTCTTTCGCTCGGCTCCAAGGCAAGATACTATGGGATCTCCAGGACAACAATCGCGTTCTTAGCGGGCCGCATCAGTCAGGAGTTGGTCTACACTTCCCTTTTCTTATTATAGAAGCAAAAGGACTAGCTACAGGGTCGAATATGGTTGGAGTGCAGAATCAGGCTGCTGTCGGCGGCGCCTGTGCTCTCAACATATTTCGCGACCTGAAGGTCATCGCAACGATTCATGTGCCTTATACTTCTAGTAACCAACCTAAACCACGGCAAATCCTTTTTTCAGTGGTGACAGAAGGACCTGTTCACGAAATGTGGGTTCACTACCAAATAGGCGAGGCGTATCACATGACGGTGCTACGGATATGGCGGACAACGATTAGGAAGGAGGCGAGAGAATTTGTGCAGGCTTTGGGCGAGATATTGAAATGGGGCGTGGGCGATCTCAGGGCAAGTGTTCTGAAAGAGCTCACTACCATCGAAACGGTGCTCCGGGAACGCAGGATTGAGTGATTACTCCGATTGTTGATGCGCTTGCTACGTTGCTTTTTCTCCTTCGTACTCAACTTTTTCTTCTTACTGAATTTTGTGGATCACGTAACGAATACAATGGCAACTTATGTGTGTTTTTTTTTCCGCCTCCACGAGTCCAGCCTCCATCTCTTCCCTCTCCACGTCACCCAACGCCCGACCTGGCTCACTTCGACAGCCTGATAATCACAACGGAGATCAATGACCTCGCGCCTGTCTTCACCCTTTCTATCTTGTCCAATGCCCGACCCGGTTAATGCTAACAACACAGTTCCATCTCTACCTCCACCTCCACCTCCATCTCCTCAACCACGGCCCTGCCCAATGCCCAACCTGCTTGTCCTAATGAATGTTGACAGACGATTATAGGGTATAATGTGTGGCGAGAAGAACTCCGAACCCACATTTTTGGTGGATTTGATCGAGTATCTTGCCCCGCTCGACAAAGTCTGTGTCACGACTGAAGGGTCTGATAGCGCACGGTTCTAGCACTCCCGTTCAACAAATTATGTGTACTCAAGAGGACAGCACGTTTTCATGTGACTGAAGCTGATGCCTTCAGGGCGATAATTTCAACACGGGCCACAGTGCTGCAGGAGCACTGTGGCCCGACGGTAGAGATTATGAGAGAAGTGCTAGATAGGTGGGCGTCATTGAGTGTAACGAAGAGCGACGAGCGCGTGCGAATGGCGCAACAGGTTGGCGAGAATTTATGATGGCCGCTCGTCGCCGGTGACCTTAGGAAGTATGCCGCAAGAGGCGCGCTTCAAGCGTGTCGGAGGGGACACAATGTAACGTAGTCTGCGGGTGAGTGGGCCATGGACGTTTTAGCACTCCAGCTATCTCAACAACCACCAAATATTTCAAGCTGTAACTTGGAATAATAATATAAGTAGCTATTCTAATATCATATGTTCATTGTTCAGATTTCTCAACAGCCCTGTTTAGCCGTAGTAAAGTTTTGGTTAGTTTTGGCCCCCAAAATCAGGTATTATATACAATATAATCAAATCATGCCTCTATTGCTCCAAACTTTCTCTTAGCTATTAGAAAGAGCTAGATAGTATATAGCATCTTAAAATTGTACTTTATATTTTGTAGTTGTTGAGATTGCTGGGGTGCTAAAACGTCCAAATCGCGCCAATAATGGGGTGGCCCACTCGCCCGCATGGCCCAAGGGCCCACTCACCCGCAGACTACGTTACAAAGGGCCAGGCTCGATGAATAATCAAATATGTTGATTTTCTGCCATGCCCGCGCACAGGCCGCCGGGCCAATTAGATCTAGGCGGTGAGCGATCACGTGACGAACACAAAACCAAATCCGGGTGTTTACACCAGCAATTCATCACAACATGCCTCAACACCACGCCGGAGGGCGCGTTAACGGCGCGTCTGACACCTCGATCCAATTGAAATCAGCTGTAATTACGCTCAGAAATTTGGTGCGCTTGGAATGGGCTGATATTAAAGCCAGAACTGGGGTTAAATCATTAACAGCCTCACGAATCTACAACAAGGCCGTAGACGATGCCGGCAACGCGGATTTTAACAATCTCCTGGCTACTCTCTGCCCCAAATCAAAAAGGCCCGGGGGCGCCCCCCGTGTATCCAATGGCTTAGAAGCATCTGCAGCAATTAGGGCTAATATAATGCGCTTTCTAATATACAAATTATATAAAGCTAGATTAGGGGCTGCAGCAGAATATAGCATTGCTAAGATAGGGCGGCATTTTCGCATGGCCCGCCGGCATGCCAACCAACCTCTCCAATATTCCCCTCCAACAAACCGACTAGCCTCTTATGGCATCCACGCTACATAACTCACGCCGTCGCTGATATATGCCGACTGCCCAGCGGCGCAGAAGATAGCATGGCCCAAAGAGATACTTTTGCGATCTGGGGAGTGTTCGTATTGGGTTGTCACGACGACGATGTATCAGACATGAACGCGAGATGAACAAGCATTAGATTCAATTGATGATAGCTACGTACAGCTGTGTGATGAATCAAGAGAATTGGTGAAGAGCAGAAGCAGGGGCAGAGGCAGGTCTATGTACAGGACGGGCCGCGAGCTAGGGCTAGCAGGGCCAGGGGCAAGCTACGCCACGGCGTAGCGCGTGTAACGGGCAATACCGTTACATGGGTTATGTATACGCTGTCCTTCGTGATTCGAATGGGGATAACTATCTGATCACTTGTGCCCCCTATGTATGATCCGGGTGGCCCAACCGCTCGGAAAATTCCTGTGCGCTGCGAGAGCTAGTATATTTAGATACGTGTATTAGTGAAGGCTAAGAGAAACGTACATCTGGAAATTGCTTCATCAGAACATTCTCTCTCTGACTTTTCAGGGCAGCCATCTGCCCCTCTGCGCTACACTTCTGTAGGGTATCTGGTCGCGCCGTTGTAGCAGTATATTCTGTCTCATGTTTCATCTCCCACTTTTCCAGTTCCGTATCAATATCTATTAGGAACTGCTGGAGATGCGATGGCATAGGTAGTATAGGTAGATTGAGTTGGTGGGTTACTTATTTTGGTAGGTCCGCGTGGATCTCTAAATAGTATGTTAAAAAAAATGGGAGAAAACTGTAGAGCACGGTGCATTGCTTACCTAAGAGACAACAAAAGCTTTGCGGAAGAAGGGGGCGTCTTCAAGGCGTTGTTCAGTTTTGCACATCTTGGCGGAGGGGTAGGCATCTGCTCAAACGTCTAGACCATGTGACTGCCCCACCACCCACCTGGTTGGGCTCCAATTTCCGGCCCGATTTGTGCTGGTCTTGTCACGCGCTACTCTCCGTGTTTTGCCGACTAGCGTAGTTCTACGACTAAGCCACAGAGCCTCATCGAACGTCAACTCTCATGCCTTCCTTTTTGACGTGTTAGGGGGGTTTTGCGGTAAGTCAGCCTTACGAAACGGCGTCACAAGCCTCCAAAATCGGCAGCGAAAACGCCGTCAGATTGTTTAAGGTAGTAATTAAGTTCTACTAAAAGCTATCTTAGCTTAAGCAAATTAATACTAAAGGCACTATTACTAGTATAATATTATTACTTTGTTATTATGCTAAACACCTTAAAAAGCCTTTTAACTAGATTTCTGCGCCTATAATATTATTTATGTAAGGGGCTGGCAGAGGCCTATCCAACGAGTATGCGAGAACAGAATAATTCTATTGAAGAAGAGACGGAAGCAGGCCAGCTCGAAGAGCTGGAAAAGGGGCCTGCCAAGCCCGGCCTCGTGCACGGCCGACAGCTAGCTAGCAGCCAGCTCCGGAGGCCTACGGCCGTAGGAGCTTCCACCAGGGCATAGCCCGTAAACAGGGCGCAGCCCATCACAATTTAGCTAGCTTTAAGAAGATTCTTGCAAGAGTTATTATAGAAGCCTACTTAAGTAATAGTTTCCTCTATACTAGCCTGCATATTATCCTAGTATCTATTATTGCCCTGCTTCTACTTCTAATCTTCTATAAAGTCGGCGTTATAAGCGGCGGGCCTATATAGATATAATAATCTACTAAACTATTTAGAGTTAGTGAATTAAATTCAGTTGCTCAAGCCTTTATAGGCAGAGAAGAGAGTTTGGCAGTCTTGGTTCTATAACCCGCTGTACTGCCGGTACTGCTAGTTCTGGTTCTACTGCCTGTGGCGGCGAGGGGATATAACGGCTGGTAATTCCGTTGTGGCTCCGGCGAGCTTGTATCACTGCTCACACTTTTCCTGCAGTGAGCGGACCAAGGGGCCGAAATACCGTGTTGATTGACACAGTCTCCATCGAACTTGTGCCCAGGTCGGAGAAGGCGCTTGCCCGAGTAGTTGTATTCCAGGCCGTTGTGGCTGACCACGATATCAAACTTCTGGGGGAATGGGAGCACCATGGCCGAACGCTCGAGATATCGAACGCTATAACTATCGAAGAGGAGGAACGAGAGAAAGGCCATGACAAACTGTGAAAACCGTGGGCTATGATTTTTCCTGGGGCACGGCGATTTCGATGTTAGCTGGATTTATTCATCAAATAGCTCTGAAGAAGCCCAGTGGTTTCGATGCTGGCTCGTGCGCGTACTGGGACTGAAAGGAGGGAGAGAACTGCTGAGCTGTATCGGCGTTTGATTTGGTTGATTCGCGCGAGACGTGAGGGCCGATCAAGTGGGAGGCAAGTTCGTCTGGCTGACGGGCGACTCCTTGATCCTGGAGGTAGGAAAAGGGCGTGGTTTTCAGCTGGAGGGAGTCCTGACTGGTGAGAAGGTTGATAGAAAGGTAGCTCTTCTCCTGCCGCGCGCTCGCTCTCCCCAGCTTCATTTCCCACGTGCCTCGGCCGCCGAAACCCCCACTCGGGAACTCTTGGCCTGCCGCCAAGGTGTCGAGGACCTAGCGACTGAATTTTGTCGAGATTCGAGGCCAACACCACCTTTTCTCAAATAACTCAATAACGACGCATGCTAGCGTAGAAATGAAATCATGGCGAGATGCCTCTAGCTAGGGAGAATTTTTGGCGAACTTTTGGAAATGAAAAACTGTAAGGTCATCAAAATAGTGGTGGGGTCGGCGAGTGCGACGAGAAAAGGGGCCTAAGCCTCCTGCCTAGGTAGATAGCTGCCAGCGTATTAGCACCCCAGAAAGACGCACTAAGGGTTCGAATTTACAAGCCCTATGTCGCCTTGCCTTCAGTACCTACCTACTTTTCGTCTAAGCGTTGAAATGCCCTACAGGCGGCTTTCTCCTATGCAGCGGCCACCCCGACCGACTTACTTCGTACCTCGGGGCTATATACTTCCGCCGCCGACAACACCTACATATCCGGCAACTCTTGGCCGCCGCCAAGCGTGAACAAAAAGTGTCAAGCACCTAGCGACTGAATATTTTCGACTTTCGACGCCAACACCACAGTTTCTCCAATAACTCAACAACCACACCTGTTAGCACAGAATTGAAACCAGGACAGGAAACATCTAGTCGCAGAGCATGCCTGGCGAGAATTTGGAATAAGAATATTGACGCGCCATCAAAATAGTGGGGTCCGCTCGCGTGCCGCGAAAAAAACAGGGCAAAACACCTACCTACCCACGCCCCTACACCCTAGAAACACGCCTCGAAACACTACACATACGATGAATATCCAGCCTTGCACTTGAGACTTATCCTCTGCGCATAAAAACCCCCACAGCTACTACACCAAAATATTCGCCTCCTTACCGGTCACCTCTCACGGACTCACCATAGACGACGCGAAAACTCGAAGCCGAACTCTTGTAATACGGATGCTAAGTAGGGATTAGCGTACGGACGATGGCGGCGATGATGTCGACAAGCTCGTCAAGTGTTCCGGAGAGCCCAAGGTATTTGGCGGTCAGCCTGCAATGGCTCCTAAACACTTCAGCGTGATGGGATTTGCGAGATCTCATGGAGGACCGCGAGCGGCGGCTGCCATAACTCATGCCTATAGGACGACACCTCGCGATCGTTGCTACAACTGCTCTTGGCCGGTTAGACTAGGAGGACGGCTTCCAGGGACGTTCGACGAACAGGACTGCCCGAGAGAGCTGGGGATCTTATCGTCAGCTTAAGCGGCTATTACATGTCACAGCCAGACTTCAATGAAAGAGAATGGAAGCTTCACTCACACTTGTCGAGATTCTTTGATAGCACAAAATAAAACAACATAACAATATTCCTACCTACCTACCTACCCAGCCCCTCCTCACGCATACTCACATCACCCAAAACACCACCACCTGTAATCTAAACCATGCATTCAATTCAGTACCTAACCACCTCGCTCTCCCATATGCAGTCCCACTCCAACCTAAATGCTCCTTCCTCTACCCACGCTCCCAGCACAAATCCTGTAGCTGCATCTTTCAACCACACCCAAAAGCAGTAAACCACTCAGTGCTTAGCCGCCAGGCAAAAGAATCGAATAACACTGAGAAATACAACACAAACCGCACGCCCACACCGTCGGCCGTGCACCGTCGCGCAAAAGCATGCCTCCGAAAGAATAAAAGCCCCTCACAAAAAGGAAATGGCACCGCCTACTCCGCTTTCTCGAAACGCCAACCCGTGAAACTACCCAGATGTGTGTGCTGCCCGGCCGTGCTCCGTATGCGCAATCGATAAGCGGTCATACTACCGCCGCGCAGAACCCGCCCCCAATCATCCACGCAACACAAACCCGTCTTTACATGTCTCATGCTCACGGTCTCATCAAATGCACAAAAATCGTGCACTTCTCCCCCTCCACCTCGCCCTTCCCATCGCTCTTCTTCTCCTTCTCTTTCTCCGCGACTGCCTCGACCTCGATCCTATTGACGCCCTGCACAAGCTTAGCCTCAAACACCGGCCGGCCCTTCTCTTTCTGCCCGTCCTGCCGCGTGACTTCCAGCATGCGGGTATTGTTGACCGTGACGAAGAGGCGGTAGAGGCGGGACGTCGTAGCGACGGGAATGTGCGGGACGACCTGGAGATAGTGGTACGCGGCGGGGAGGGTGAGGGTGAGCGATTGCTGTGTGCTGTCGCGCGAGGCTGGGATGAAGTGGGACCACGGCTTATGCTGGCTGAGAAGCGGGTGGGTGTTTAGTTGTATCGATGGAAGCAGGGCATCTGAGCCAACTTTGACGACGTTAGTATGATTGATACGGTATATAATGTTGAAAGGCTTACCCTTGCCAGCGGCCCGTGCGTGGTTCTCGAAAACCGGGGGTGGTTGCGTAGTGTAGTTCTGCGGGTTGTATCCAACGGATTGACCCATGTGTGGGTATGGGAGAGGACTGCCACTCGCGGGTCGTGGTGTGATATGTTGTGGTGGTGGCATCACTGAGCCGCCCAGCGGTGTATGCACAGGAACGCCGAGACGTAGGTTCTGCACCTCGGGAGCTGCACTCGAGAGGCGAATCGAATCGAGAGCAGGGGATTGAGCATGGTAAGTTTCTGTCTTGACACCGTTCAAGCCTGGAGATGCGGCAGCACCATAGCTTGCATCACCACTAAGAGGAGGAATGGATCCCGATCCAGACCTACCACCACCGAATGGGTTGCGAGGTCCTTGAATCTGGGACGGTGTCTCGGAAGAAGTCGGTCTCTGCCCGTTCATGCTGGCTTGGACGTGGCTTCGCTGCCTCTCTAGCGCGCCGCTATCGACGATGACGCCCGGTGTACCTGAACTGCGGCCGGCTGGTGTATCTGGCGTTGGGGTACCAGGGGCGGGACTTCCTTTGAGGCCTCCTATCCTCAATTTGATGGACTGTTGTTTTGGCGCGGACATGTTGATCTTCAACTTTGGCTGAGGCGGCTCTTCCACTTTCGACTTCGCTTCTGCGAGACGTTGTCTAAAAATTTCCTGTGGCTGTTAGCTAACGCTGTTCATTGTCACAAAGGGAAAATATAGTACCTCGAACTCAACAGCCAGGTTGAATATGTCACTGCCATCCTCATTATACGCTTTGGCATTGCGCCAAATCAGGCTCATCTCATCTTCGAATGCCTTCCAGCTCTTCAAATCGGTGAAACCTGTAGCTGGCTCTCTGCCTCTAACCCCTTGCACCTTCTTCTTGACGCCCATCAACGACATTGGGGTCTTGATGGTTTGGTAATAATCCTTCAGGGACCGATTCGGCAGGTTGATGAAAGGTTGGAATATCTGGAGGTCGGCCTCGGTATAATGTATTAGTTGTTCGACGATCTGCTCCTGGGCTTGCTGGAATGATTTGTTGTTATAATCGGCATTGTCGACTTCGGTAACAGCAGACCGGCTAGTTGCGCGCAAGTTCTTTGGTGCTGGGGTGTGTTGAGCAGGCGCTGCACGTCGTGAGCGATCAGCACTGTCGTGCACTCCGGCCGCTGGCTTGACGGCCGACCCGGTGACTCCATTCTCCTTCTCTTTCTCTTTCACCAAATGCTCTGGTATCGGCGTCGGAACAGCAATGTATCCAGGGTCCCGGTAGGCAGGGTTATGCTTGACCATGAAGTTCGATGCCGTCTTTCGAACTCGCTCCGCATCGTCGTAGATGAGAGATTTCCTGTCATTGAAGGTCTTGGCGTTGTGGACCAGCCGTTTGAGGTCGCCTTCGACCTGAGCGAGGGAGGAGTATTGTCCGGCTTTGAGCTTGTTCTGTTTTTACCACTGTTAGCAAATGTTCCAATACCATTACTACGCTAGATATCCCTTCTAAGCGACTGTATGGGTGAAGCCCTTGCAGTGGAGGATGTCCACGCATCTCTAGATCGTGTGTACAAGGCTGAAAGGTCTTCCCGGTGTATTTCGAGAGTGTAGGATGGGGAATGGAGGGCATGCGTACTTCAATGGTGTCAATTGCGACAGGGAGGAGGATCTCTTCGTAGTAGACGGGGAGCACATTCTGCAGCAGCTGTTAGCCCAGGCCTATCCCATGGATGTAGAAGGCTTACCTTGTCTGGAAGAGTAAGGAAATGGGTAGCAATCGGGCGACCTCTATAGCATAATGTCAGCGGCTGAGCAGGCGCATATACATGCTCTCCGATCGCAACCAGGCGAGGCTGGCGCAGTCCCGAGCCACAGGAGGCACTCACGTCTTGTCCTTTGCGGCCTTCAGCGAGTCGACGAACTTCAGGCCGACGGTCGTCGTCGTCTCGACCGTCTCGATGACGGGGTCAGCGTCGCCCTGCAATCCATCGCGTCAGTCGTGCTATTCCCGTGCATCCCGCAGACTCGAGGCCGCGGCGGTGGACAGCGGCGGCGGTGCGTTCGACGGGCGTGCGGTGCGGAGGGGCATGGAGGTGCGAGGTGGGAGATGCTGCTGGTCGTCGAGCCCTAAGCGTCGCGCTCGTCGACAAGGAGCATCTTGCCCAATCCCAACCACCAAGCCACTGCTCGCCGTCTGCGCGCCGCCCGCCCTCTCACCACCGGCGCATTCGATTCACTCACCGGCAACTTCTGGCGTTTGGCTGCGCGACCCTCGTGGTCCAGCGTCGCATTGCTCGCTGCCTTGCGCTTGGCTTCGCGGTCCATTTTTGCTGCAGCTAGGTCGCTGCGGTGGAGTCAATGATAAATTCGGTATCTCCAGGCACAGATCCGGCGTGGTGGTGGTTGCGACGGCGGGCGTGAAATGGGCCTCATTCGCGTTCGCTATCCTGGCGTTTTGGTCAGGGCGTGTTGGGAGTCGCGTCACGTGGGGCGCACGGACCGCAATTCACACAAAATACTTCGTATGGACACATCAGTCACAGAACTCAGGCTGCCATCTCAGCGACGTTCGTGTATAGGGATCAGCTATCAAGTGCGCAATCTGCGTCTAGACATGTTCCCTGCTTGGGCCTCTGCTACCATCAGGGTATCGCTAAGAGAACAACTACAGGCCAACTACGGGCGGCGCTAGCCCATCAACAATCGCCAGAGAAGACAGAAAGGAACAAGAATCGTGAGGGATCATCCAGGAGCACGAGGTGCTGCGGCTACTTCTTGACTTGCTCAGAAGCAGTTCTCTCGAACTCCTTCTGTGCCTCTACTTCCTTCATCTCGCGCACTTTGGCGAGCACCACCTCCCTGAAGATGGCAGACTTTGCAAGCTTGCTGAGACGGCCACCCGCCTTAGGGGGACCAGTTGTCGTTGCTGGTATGGTCAGACCTCTGTCGGTGCTGTGTGCCGCGACTGCCTCACCCGCTGCCTGGCGAGCGTTCGCGGGTACGTCCGCTTCGCCGGGAACATCTTCTTCGTCGTCCTCTTGCATTTTGAGGGCTTCGATGCGGTTGGCAAGCTTGACCAGCTCGATACCACGCCTGAGACGCGCTTTTGCGACGTACGCACGGATCTCGGGAATCAAGTTGTGGTCAGATGCGGTCTTGCCGCTCAGCCATACATGTTTCAGAGCATCCTGCAGCTGTTAGTTTGGTGATACTTCAGGATCCACTGGCCAAACGTACCTCACTAGTCGGCCTCTTGTCGGGATTTGGCTGGAGAAGAAGGGTGATGAACTCCTTGGCGTCCTTGCTAACGTCCTTCCAGTAACGCTCGTGGAATATGAGCCGTCCGTTCTTGCATTCCTCGATCAGGTCTGCGAGATTCTCCGACCTGAATGGCGAGTAACCGCACAGAAGCGTGTAGGTGATGACACCCATGGACCACATGTCGACAGGCTTGCCGTGCCCCTTCTTGAGCATGACTTCCGGGGCAGCATATCCAAACGAACCAGCCATTGTCGTCAACACTTCGTTCTTGGAGTCCAGCATCTTGGCAATGCCAAAGTCGGCGAGCACTAGCGACGAGTCTGGTTCTTTTGTGAGGTATAGGAGGTTCTCGGGCTTCAGATCTGAGTAGAATTAGCTGGAGTATCTTTGGATGAATGGGACGCGCGTACCTCTGTGGACGACATTGTTGTGGTGGAGGTAGTTGACGGCATCGAGAACTTGTCGGATAGTTTCAGCAGCATCCTTCTCTGTGAACTTGCCCTTCTCGCAAATCCTGTCGAACAATTCTCCTCCAGTAGCAAGTTGGGTGACGATGTAGTATTTGTCCTATCAGACCGTCAGCAGCACGTCGGCCAATTGAATCTTGAACGTACCCTCGACTCAAACCAATCATGGAACCGGACAATGTGAGGATGCTTCATACGCTGCAGCATTTCCAGCTCATCGTAGACCATCTGCTCATTGCCTTTGACGTTCTTCTTCAAGATGATCTTGACAGCCACCTTGCCCTCGGGGCAGGTAGCCTCGCGGACAATGCCATAGGTCCCAGCTCCCAGCGTCTTCCCCATCTGATATTTAGATCTGCGATGATTGTGTTCAGTGTATTTGGCGTCGTCTAAAGGGAATGTGAGCGTCGAACTTTTTGTCATAGCTATCGGGCTGACCATGCAACTTGTTGAGCATGCCTGCGACTGCGAGGAAAAAAAGGTCAGCACCAGGCCGGGCGTAACAGGGCAACACTACTCACGACTCATTTTGAAGTCGACGTCCGGGGCAGAGCCTCAAGCGTTGCGCTGTCAGCGAGGGGGGTTCTTCGTGAGCAGGCTGCCAAGCGTGCTATCGGAGGCGGGGTAGAACTATAGAGCTCGGTGAAAGAAGGTGTAGAATGGATCGCTAGGTGTTGAAGGTCGGTTTGAGGAGCAGGGCAGGTAGAGGCGAGTGAGCGTAGGAATATCAGAGACTTTAAGCGTGGAAGCTTCAGCGCTGAATTGGCGTGTCGAGGGGTTGCGTGGTTTGAGAGGAGGTGGGGGCAGGTGCCAGCATCGCTCCTGTGTCTGGCCAAAGGGACACTCCCTGGGGCTGAGAGTGCGGCTGAGCTGCACCGGTCGGTCAGCGTTTCCTTAGGCATCTCCTGAACAAGGCTGGCGGGTCCAAAATTGGATCTTCTTTATAACACAGTTTGCTCCGGAGCAACAGGCGGCGAGTTTCACGATCGATCGAGGTTGGAGGCGTGCCCAAGGCGTGAAGCTGTGGCGTTCTGCTCCCTTGTTGCAATTGGAACCTGGCGCGTCCCGTCTTCCAAGGAAGCGTCGATCTGGTCCGACGTCATGGGCGGTAATATGCACGAAACACTTATTTATGAACAGGCAATCATTTCCACTTTCTCTTCCACTGCCTGTTTGCTATCTACCTAACTGAGAATTCTCCCATCCACGTCCCAATTCCCTGGAACCTCACCTCAAAGCCCACCAAACCAACGCAAAACAGCGCCATGCCTACTACTACGTCCGTCCTCACTGTCCTCGCCGGCATCCTCGCCGTGATCTCCCTCGCCGTCTATTTCTTCGGCATTCCCCCAGAGCTGAAGAGGGCCATGGAAAAGAAAGCACTCGAGACCATGGGAGAGAACAAGGCTTCGTATCTTATGAAAGGTGCGTCTATCCACCCTTCTCATGGCCCTGTGCATGTACTGATTGTTGCCAGACCAACTCAGCAAGATCCCAGAATCCGACCAGCAGAACGTGAACGAGGTGAAGAACGGCCTTGGCAATGCTCTTGGTGGAGGACTGAAGAACCCAATTGGCGAGAAGACTGGTGACCTTGGTGATGATCTCACCTCGGGCTTCACTGGTCGCTGATTTCATCATCACAGCACCAGGCCTGGTCCGGGAACGCGTGAGGATGTACTCCCAGAAGTCAAGCGGGGAGAGTGTACGATAACATATCCGGAAGAAAATAACGGTTGATCGGCGGATACGATGGGTTATGACGGGTTTCCTACTTTCAACGGCCTGGTTCTCTGGAAGGATACTTTCGGGGGGTGGGGGTGTGGAAAAGTATTTGATGGGTTTCAGTGCTCTTCGATGATTCCTTTCTTTAGGTGCAGCGGGCGATCCTATAAACCCACTCTGAGGCTCCGGGAACGCTGATAACCACCTCTTTCTGTGCTTTCTAGTGACAAGCTACAAGTCTGTGCACACTCGTTTGATATAACGTGCGGTACCCCAGTACTTTCAAAAATGTAGCCGCGATTTCGAGATCCCTGCAGCGAACTCTAAGCTACCTTGTGACTAGACTAGCCAGGATGCCGCCCACGGGGAAGCTCCTGAAACTTGTGTCTAGTTTCCAAAATGGCGCTCAAGCAGTGGCGTATCTATGTAGGTAGACTTCTGGCCTAATGTTGTACGCTCTTATGAAACGTTCCTCCAGGTCGCGAACCAAAGCAGTTGATGAATCCCTACAATAATCCAGAACTGGGCTTGAAATGCCTTCTTCATCGTTTTGTGCTGGAAATAATGTTGACCGAGGAGAGCTCCTGGCCAGCCCCCTAGCATTTCGAATAAGTGCATAGTGGTCTCACGGACACGCCACCCTGAGTTGCGAGATCGGTACTTGTCGAAGCCGTACATGATGAAGGTGGCTAGACTCATGACGGATGTCAACATCAATGGCCATGTGATCCCACGACAGAACAGGCGCATTCCTCCGACTAGTGGAACAGCGAAGGCACCACAACCGATGATAGTCGCTGCGGTGATTGGTCTTCTCTGTGGACGGATCTTTTTCCGAGGGGCGTTCTGTGGAACCTTTCGAGGCACTCTGCGGAAGCCATTCTCATCGAAGTTGCCAATGGAGGGGTTGTATTGGGCTTGAATTCGTCTGTTGCTTGACGGATCCATTATGTCGTCCAGTAGCTTCTTCTGTTCCGAATGTTGAACCCTCAACTCGTCGATCGCCTTTTGCATCTGATCAAACGTGGCGAAATTCTTTCGTGCCTTACGCAGATTGCTGATCTCCGAGAATACCTTCTTCTCGTCCACTATCTTCATGGTGCTAGTATCGACTTGTTTTTGGAGGCGATCGATCTCCCGGTCCACATCTTTAACGGTGCGAAAATTGATGCGGCCCTTCGCAGTCTTGAGCTCATTCTGCCGGAATTTAATCTGCTCATCGAGCTTCTTCATCTTTTCGAAGATGGCGTTCCTTCCAGACATGCTCCCTCTCTGCAATTCCCCGATCTTCTTCAATTCGCTCTTAAGCTCTTGCTGCCTCTTCGCATTGGGCGAATCCCTGTTGTTCGGTCGGGCAAGGTCTTGTTTCGCGCGAGCGGCGTTCTAAAGGGAAATAAAGTTAGACACCGCAGGTGAGCGTGCAGATTGTAGAGAATGATGAGAGATTGACCGAATTCATCGATTGATGAGGCACAGGCGTGCTAGTAGGGATAAAGAGCTTGGAGGTAGTTGTATCTGGTTCTGAGGCGCATCGTCATCAACATGTATAGATGTTTGTAAATGAGTGTCAGGGAGAGAGGTGTTGGATAAGCGAAGCTCGGACGGCGTATGAAGACATCAAATTCGGAATAGCCTCGCTGACTCGCTGCGTAAAATTTGAACGTCTCCTGTCAACCTCGCCTCGTGCATCCTCGATCTCTGGGCAACAAAAGTTCTTCCGGTCTCGGCTTACTTATTGCTGGATTTTCAGTCGTAGCAGCCATCTATTCGGGTATATTTCAGAGATCAAAAACCCTCCTAGGCCTTCATCACGAGCTCAATGAACAATCTGCTTTGGTATAAGATATTCTACTCTTAGGGATATAACCGCACTATCTTCGCATCGTCCTGACTGTATGCACACAGTACGAGAGGAAGAATGGCCCTTCTCACGGATCTTCCGGATGACATTCTGCTCGAGATTCTAGCTTACTTCGAGCACTCCAAACGGGACTTGCTAAGGGTCTCAAGCACATGCCGTCGATTGCTTGCTCCCGCGCGGACTCATATCTACCGAACCGTTGACATTCTAGTCTACTCCGCCCGTTCGTTTAATCCAGGAGACATCCGTATAAAAAAGACCGGCGTGATCCCCCGGAGTGGTAATCCGGAGCCCGACTGTAATACTCTCTATCTATTGCTCCGCAGTCTTGACAACAATTCGTCAATCGGTCGTCTGGTAAGAAGTCTCTGCCTCTCCTGGAACTCGTTCCCCAGTAAAAGCCTGGAAAATGCCCGTGAGCTGGAAAAGCTGTTCAAAGCCTTGCCGAACCTGAGACACCTTGAAATTTCAGACAAGAAGTTTGCAAACAACTTCAATCAGCAAGGACCTGACTATCCCGACCATACCAAATACATTCTTGAAGAGAGTTCAAAATATCCGCTGCGATCATACGTATTAGATTTAGGTCGACTTACCTCGACCAAGCTAGCATCAGCTATGATCCTGCCGACCGTCGAAACGATCACCACTCCACGCTTCTGCGACATTGGGCGCGGGACTGGGCCACTCACTATTCTGGACCCCAATCTGGAAGATTTCTTCGCATCTCGATTGTCTGCGCCCTCCAACCTCAAGAATCTTGATTTGGGAACATACCGGATCTCATTACCAGTCCTCGAAGGAATCCTCAACTTTGCCCCGAAGCTGCAAAGGCTAAAAGCAACTCTACCAGGCCGGAGCTGCCGCTATCAAGATCGCGACTACGGCCTTGTAGCGTCAGATCGCTGGCTCAATCCATCCACGATCTCTCGAGCTCTCCAACCCGTGCACCATACCCTAGAAGAGTTAACCATGGTGAACGATCGTCGCGCTTGGGCAGGCACCGACAACACCAGAGCAGACTTCACTGGATTCACGAAACTTCGTAAAATGTGTGTCGCGCCCGGGTTCTGGTTCAAATGGGGCGCATTCGCATACGGAGAGCACATGAACATCGACCACGGCTTTGTTGCAGACCATGAGGATCGCTGTGGGTTGTGGGAGCTGCTACCGCCAAATTTGGAAGAATTAGAGGTAAACGCCCACTTTATATCTCTCATGCTATAGCGAAGCCTAACTGCAGGTATAGATATACTTTCAATTCTATTCCGGAATCTTCTGCGTCTCTATCCCTCACGTCACGAAACTCGAGAACATGCTAGACATGCCTTCTAAACACTACCACTGGATCCAAGAACTCGCAACTTTTAAGTCAACCGCCTTCCCTAGCCTCCGCTCCGTTCGTCTGATCGAGCAAGTGTTGACAGGCTTAACTGTTGGAGACGGCATCTCCTTCGAAGAGATGGCCTGGACGCCTCCGAAAGACTTGCTGGACTCCTACACCGAGGCAGGTGTGGAGCTCAAGGTCCAGCTGAGGAGTAACTACAGGGTCAAAGAGGTGGAGATGAAGTCGTGCTGTGCGGTCGCCAGCGCTTACGGGCGTTCGTGCTGTGCGGATACGAGCTGAGATTCTTAGCAGCCAAGCATTTTGTCACTATAAACATCGTAAGATGCATGGAGGAGAGCTAGTCTGTGAGATCTGGGCTGGACGTTAGCATGCTACTAGAAGAGAGTGAGAATTAGCTGAGTCTCGGGTAGGGTCTCGTATCATTGACGTCACCATCGACTTCGCCATTTCGATTGGCGCGTCTTTTTACATTCTGTATCCTATTACGCCTAACCTCCTCTTATTATCAGCAAAGAGGAAAAACAAAAAGAGTAGCGCCTATAAGCATGAATCAAGTGTTCCCTCCCACTTATCTGCACCCAGACCAGGCAAAAAAGAACTTCCTCGGAGCAAAACACCACCCTCTTTCGAGGGTGTAGCCACCCCGGATGGGGTTTCTCTATGTCTCGCCCGCCCGCGGTAATTTTCAATTCCGTCATCTTAACCGGCGCTCGCAGACGCCTCACGCACCAACTGCATACATCCTCTTCACCAGGCTTCCAAGCCTCTCTACGAACCAGGCCGCCCGAAGTCGATTCCCTCAGGCGAACCTAAAGGAATGCTCCAACTTTTTAACACCGAAGGTCGAGTCGAGAATCGAACCCGAGACCAACTACAAGACCCAGGTGAGGTTTGTCGACGGTAGTGAAACACTACCTCGGGAGGTAAATGCCTGGACTCCGGCCGCGGGCTTACACTCGGTGTGGCCGACCAACTGAGCTGCTGGGCAAATTAGTAGATGAGGGGTTTGGATTTTACGCGGAATATATAGATAGGCTCACGCTCACAGGCAACGCTCACAGATGACGTAGGGAACTCACGTCACCTAACAGTTCACGTTTGCCTGTAGTGAGCGCCTTGCTCACCGGCCGATAGCTCTCTCACCAAACCCGATCCCGCATGTACTATCCAGCTATCAACGTCAAGCTCAACCACCTCATCCTCTTCACACCCACACCCACCAGCCTTCCAACCCTCCACCACCATTCCACTCCTATCACCGCTCCACCACCCAAGCAAAAAACCGAATCACAACAATGCCCACCGCCACCCTCCTCACCCTCCCCGCGGAACTCCGCCAACAAATCATCACGCTCACCATCTCCGCCACCATCACCGACGCGGCCTACCACATCTCCACCCCCCTCTCCAGCATCTGCCGCACCCTCCGCGCCGACGCCGCCGCCGCCCTCCCCCTCTGGCTGCCCGCCCACAACAGCCCCTCCGCCGTCATCTCCAGGCCCATCACCACGCCTGTGTCCTCGCACCCCTTCGCCTCCCTCTCCCGCCTCCTCGCCGCGCGCGCCACCCACCGAACAAGCGGCCGCGCATGGCCCGGCATCGCCGCCCTCACGCTGCGCGTCTTCGAGCCCGCGCCGTGCCGGCCCACGGGCGTCGCGCGGCTGACCCGCTCCGTGCGGTGCCTCGGGCCGCTGCCCACGAGCGTGCGGCGCGTGGCGTTCGATCTCGCGCTCGATGCGCGGTCGTTGGCGGGGCTGGCGGCGAAGTCGGCGCGCGGGCAGCGGGAGTGGTGGTGCAAGGTGTTTGGGGCGCTGGCGCGCGGGGTGGCAGCGAATCGGGGGGTTGTGGAGGAGAATCAAGGGGTGGAGGAGAATCGGGGGGTGGAGTTTGAAGTGCTTGGGCGGTTGCCGGAGAGTCAGGAGACGGCGATGGTGGGGCTGGCGCCGAAGACGACGCATTCGTATCGGGGGTTTTTGCAGCGGTATGGGAGTGTGGAGGAGGGGCTTTTTGAGGAGTTTTTGGGGGGTGTTGGGGAGAGGAGGGAGAGGCTTAGGCGTGAGGAAGAGGTGGAGGGGCAGAGGAGAGAGGAGGCGAGGAGGTTGAAGAGGGAGGTTCGGAAGAGGATGTGGGAGGTGAAGAAGCGGAAGAGGGGGAAGGATGATGGTGATCAGAGCTTAGAGGGAACTAAGCGGCAGAAGAAGGATTGGGGAGGTTTTGACGGTGTTGCGGATGCACTTCTCTTTTGATTACCCATTAAGGCCGTTCTGTGCTCGGGACAGTGTGCTGGAGAAACCTAGTCAGTGCGTTACGAGTGGAGATTTGGCTATTGCACTTTCCAGGTATAGTATACATTATATGATAGACCTACTAAGCTAACTCTAGAGATAGAATAGCCACGAAACAGACATTAAAATACCTTGGGCTTTGCAATACTCAAAGTCCAAATCCAGTACTACATACAATGATCGTAAATGGGGATCTCGCTCTGGCAGACTCTCTCTATCGCGCTAGACCACCTACTACTCTTGAAGTACGTACGCTACCCTCATCCGCTTCGAGCCCTCCCTCGTCTTTTCCTCATCCTCCTTCGTCTTTTCCTCATCATCCCTCTTCCGCTTCTTCCCCTGCTCCCGGATCTTCGTCCGCACCCGTTTCATATTCATCTCCAACCAATACTCCTCCCTCCACTGCGGCGTCTCCGTAACCCTCCTCAGGAACCTATCCAGCCCCCAGCCCCCAGCGCCCCCCGCTGCGCTCCAGCGCCCCGTATATCTCACGATAGCGCCGCTCCACAAACTTCCAATGGAAGCCCGAAGAATAATACGCGCCCGACCCCGGCACCGGCGCGAGCGCGGCGACCTGGCTCGCGGGCAGCTCGCCCCGCACCTCCACCCCGACATCGCGCCGCGCCGCCACGGCCGCCAACCGCCGCACGGTGTAGAACAAGTTGAACCAGTAGTCCCGCTGCGTGCACCCGCTGCTGGCGCACAGCTGCGCCATCCGCGACGGCGGCAGCGCGAGGGTGAGGGCGATGCGCGTCACGCTCGCGGGTAGGCAGGCGGTGCAGCTCTGCCTCCTAGCGATAAGGGGCCACTGTGGACTTGAACATGTCCCTTCCTAGGCGTCCGGTCGGGCAGACGAATCGCAGCGTGACCTCCGTGATGCCGGGCCAGCTGCGGCGGTTTAGCTGCGCTGCACGCGCGCTGAGGAGGTTGTCGAGCGCGGCGAAGGCGGCCCAGCTGGCGGGGGTGTGTGCCGCCAGGATGATGAGGGTGGAGGGGGCGGGCAGCCAGCTCGTGCAGAGCTTGAGGACGTCGGCCCGGAGGAGTTTGCAGACGGAGCCGAGGGGCGTGAAGTGGCCAGTGGAGAGCTGCTTATTGTGATTGAGATGGTTTCGGCAACGATCATTTGGCGGATCTCGGCGGGGAGGGTGGTGAGAGTTGGTGGAGACATTTCGGTTGGGGAACTCTCACGACCATGGTACTGCATGGGATCACAACCCCGCCGCCCAGACACCTCCAAGTTCGATGATGTTGAACGAACTCGAGGTCACTGGTTTTGCCATTAGAGCTACGGGGCACTCTAAAATGTTTTGCAAGCCTTGATTGGAGAAGTAGGCGTTGGGTCGGAATTGCATTAACTTTATGGGCGAGAGAGGCATCCAGTCATGCAGCATACATATGTTTTGAGAGACAATTTTAGCTGCAGTCAGCACAACAGTTACATAAACTTCCTTGAGTATGTCGTACTCTAGTTTTTATAGTCGTATAGGCGTACCCACATACTTGAGAATCGAACTTGGCAGCCAGAGGACTATGATAGAGATCGCGATCCAGTAGACGGAGAAGCAAATAAGGGTAGGTCGAGGAGCGCCCGAGTATACCTCGTAGAGATTTAGAGGGGCAGAACGTGATGAATTTGGTGACCAGAAGCTGCTCGCCCGTGAGGCGATCGATGGGTGTTTGTTCGTGGCAAAATGAACCGAACCAAAAAGGTCCCCCTGGTTCCGGCATTGTAAAACTTCCATCTTGTTTAAGCTTTGGAACGGTATCGAAACGGCTCGAGTGGTGGCATAGAGGCGCACATGCCTGTGACAAGGCTGTGTACTGGCTAAGCAGCGGCAGAAGTCGTGATACAGACTCATAGCCTGTCGAGTGGGAAGCAAGGGGATCCTAATCTTGCGGGAGTAGCTGCATGTCGCGTCTTACAAGCCTAGGACATAATTAGCAGCTGCAATTTCGCCTCACGTGAAATACCCATCTTGTCCAGACGTCAACCTATCCTCTTTTCCGAAAACCGCGTCGCCAACACCCAGGCAAAGCATCGTGAGATCCGTTACGTGGCGCACAAGACCATTATTCGAGGCGGAGATGACTCCGACACGGCCCATCGACAAGCATAGTCCCAAACGCACACAGACAGATAAGACAGGATGAGTGAGAATATTCTTTCCAGCAGCAGAAGCAAGCACCTTAGATTCAAGGATGGGTATCAATCATCTCAGAGTACCAATAGAACAACAATTCCCATCCCAGAATCCCTTTTTCCTTAGGCAAGCAGCAAAGAAGCTCAGATGGCTCGGTTATCTCTCTCGCACTCTCTGACTCGGTCTCGATCTCATCTCTCGCCCGCAGCAAGCAAAACCAACAACAAGAAGAAGCCCATGATTACCATCGCAAAAAACCAGAAGATAAAAGGTGTCCGGACGGATTCAGAGACGAATCCCAAAGAAGTCGAACCAGAACAAGCACTCCACCCTCGAGTATGGAGTTCGCCCTGAGCAAATAGCCTTCTGTGTTCTCTCCGGAACGACAGAAGGGGATGGGTGAACTCGCGTCAGTAATCAATGAACCTTCTACCACTGGCCGCCGCCCTGTTGAGATTGGCCGTAGCCGCCCTCTCCACCACCCTGGCCTCCGCCGCCGTAGCCACGGTCGCCTCCGCCGCCTTGGTAGCCTCCGCCACCGCCGCCGGAGTAGCCTGATTGCTGGTTGCCGCCCCAGTTGCCGGCACCGCCGCCATATCCGCCTTGTTCTTGCAAGTTAGATTCAGGAGCTCTTGAGCGCGTTCAAGGTTGGAAACTCACCGCCTCCGCCGGAGCGTCCGCCGTATCCGCCTCCTGGATTAGAAATTTAGCATGGAACGTCCGGGAGAAAAACGGGTTATCGAATCGCACCATAGCTACCTCCGCCGCCGTAGCCTCCACCTCCACGGCCTCCGCCATAGCCACCACCTCCACCGCCACGGGAGTATCCTCCTCCACCTCCGCCTCCGCCGGATCGCTCGGACGCCTTGTCAACGCGGATGGTTCGGCCATCGAACCTAGGACTTGTCAGCATGCCACGTGGGAGCATAGCGAACTCAAGTGCCGTGCAAGCCATATGGCAACACGGCCCAATCAAGTCGTGAGTCAAGACGTGGAAGAACAAAGGATCAAACATACTCGACGTTGTTCATGTTCTCGATCGCTTGGTCGGCCTCACCCTCCTGGGAGAAGCGAACAAAGCCGAATCCGCGGCTACGGCCAGTATCACGGTCCTTTACGACAATCTGCATTTAGGTGAGCAGGATGTCGCGATGGGCGCGGCGGGTAGGGGTCGGATGACGTACTGCCTCTTCGACGGTGCCGAACTCCTCGAACTTGGTGCGGAGGGTGGCATCATCGGTGTGCCAGGCAAGGCCGCTGAGGGCTGTCAGCGATGGGCATGCGAAGTGAGGACCGGCGGACTTACCCAATGAATAGCTTGGACATGGTGTCGTGGTGTTCGGACAGCGCTCTACCAACGTCTCAATTCACACACTCAATAGATCGCGAACGGAGAAAGACATTCATGGAGGGGTCGCCTGTCGCAGACGGAAAGTACAAAGAGGCAGGACAGGGAGGACGGCTGGAGGAGACGCCGGGAGGTGAGAGCAAGCAGAGATGGCAACTCCGGAGAGCAAGGCAGCAGACAGCATGACGAAGGAACGAACTTTTGATTCTGGGTTCACGAGAGTGACGGGTGGCAGCGCACGGTGAGCTGGTGCGCGGTTGGGGGGAAGAAGAGCTGATGGAAAGGTTGGTGTAGGCGCAAGAGTTTGCGACAAATGGGTGTGGGTGAGGAGAGTTGGTGGAGTGGGTGGAGTGGGTGGAGGGGGACGGCGGGGCAGATGAAAAGCAGGCAGGCAGGCAGGAAAGAGACGCCTCCAGTGGGAGAAGGGCGCTAGCGATCAAAGCACGCACGCACGCACGCTCCGGCTCAGTCGCCCCAGTGTGCCCAGCGACGGCTGTGACAGGCCGGCTTAGCGGTGGAAGCGCGGCGGATGCGTGGCAGGGGAGGCCGCAGAGGGGCGCTTGTGAATTGCAGTGCAGCGAGCGGCCCTGATACGCTGGGGGGGCAGCAGGCGGGCGTTTTTGGATGCCGCTGGCTGGCTCTGGACAGAGGGGCGCTGATATTGGCGCCATCCCGTGTCTAAAACATCATGCGGCCCATGGCTAGCCCGGCCCTATACAGGCCCACAGGCCCAATTGCGATCGAAGCAGGCAGCTGCCGGGCCAAGGCATCGCGCACGCCATGCTTCACGGACCCGCTCCGCTGCGGGCAGCAGGCTCTGCACGGCAGCGCAGGCGAGCCAGATGGGCGTCGGGATCGGGCCAGCACGTCGCGGCTGTGTATCACGTCGCGGCTGTGCATCACGTCGCGTAGCGGGTATAGCATCAAGGCATCAGACAAGCAGGGCAGCAGGGCAGCAGGGCGGGAGGCACAGTGGGGCGTCGCGTTGCACAAATGGACAAAGGCTCGTGGTTGCAGTTGAGCGGAGGCGATCCCGCAACGAAGCTTATCAAGATAATCGCGGGCGGTTGCACCACGGCAGCCGGAATCGGCCTCTCGCAGCCAGCTGGGCGAAGCGGCCGGCCAAGCACAGCCATGGCGCGTGCTGCCGTGGGATGCCTGGTCGGCTGCGCTCGGGGTCGCCACGGCCACGGGAAGACGACCTGACGACCTGACGACCTGGCGACCGGACGACTACTTCACCATGCGATCCCCAGCAGCATCGTCGACCCTCTATCGTGACTATGGAACGCATTGTGACGGCAGCTGAGAGCCAGGCCGTCTCGCCGGACGGCCACAGATTCGCCCGCCTGCGCCATGCATCATGCTCTACCCAGCCAGCAGTGCTGCATGGGGACAAGCACGCCAGCTGCAATCAACCGCTGCCCCGTCCAATGCCATCATGCTGCTTGCTTCGGTGCATGCGCCAGAGCGACCTCGCGGCCATCAGACTGTAGCTTCTCAATTGACTCTTCGATCCTCTCCTGGGCCCGGCTGCCGTAGTATTTCCAGGTTGCGTGGTGTTGAATGCAGGTGCCCGTCATGTGGCAGGTGCTGTCCGCATTGGGAAGCCGCCGCTGAATGCCTCCTCTCCGATCATGTTGTCATCGCGGCATTCTGCTATGCACCTCGTCAACCTGCGGCCGCCGCTGCGAAGCTAGAGCACTGTGATATCTCCGTTTGACACTCCAAGCTGCATCGTCGCTGCCCACCGTCACACAGCACCAGTCTGCGAGCGACCAAGAGTTCAGCCCCTCCGCGCTTCTCGGCCATCCTCAAGACCTCTGCAGTACGACAGCAACTACACGTCGTCGAAAATCGGTGTGCCATTGTGTCCCCCGACCCTGAGAGCCACGGCGAGGCCGAGGAGTGAGTCCGTCAAGGCGCCGCTGTATGTGAAGCCTGCTAGAGTCATGGATGTCCGCAAATGGCTCCAGGAGGTGGTGCTCCCAGAGAAGCCACCGAGCCTCCCCGACCGGCTAGGGCTGCCCCAGTTTCTCCATCCCAAAAGAGACAGACAGAATCCTTCTGACCAGGCCGGCGCGTCTGCATCTGCTCACAAACACCGGCAGAAGGACAAGCCGGTCGCCTCAGACAGCTCCATCTTGCAGGCCCGACAGCATCACAAACGAAAGGATGCATCCGAACACGAGGAACCTGTCATCGCCGGCGCCAATCGAGCCTCGTCGCCTGCAGAGCATCGCTCCGATCGCTCCTCATCGGTGAGCCATGCATCAGACCACCGATATCAACGGAAGCCAAGGCACAAAACGCGGCCCGACCTGTACGAGCCCAAGCAGGATGCCTCAAATGAGCGGGGAAGCCGGAGACACAGGAGGGGCCAGGACGAATCAAGGAAAGGGAAGAGAAAGTCGCGACGGAAGAAAACGGACAACCCGGGCGCTGGCCTGGTCCACAGCTTTCATGCAAACAATGTGCCCAGGGACCGCCTGACCGTGAGAAGCACACTTGCATGCCATTTAGCTAGGACGGCGCTGATGATTGGTGCAGTTGAAACCACGAGAGAAACTCGGCATTTTCAACAAGGGACGCGCATCAACGCCCGTCAAAGGCCGTGGCCGTAAGCGACTTTCCCGCCATATATGCCGCCTGGCCCCTTACTGACGTCGGTTTAGTCCCTGACCTTGTTTTCTCCGAGATGAAATTCCTGCAAAAACGAAAAGATGCCCCGGAAGAGACCCATAAGGAGGAGGAAATAAGAAAGAGGCGGAAGAAGGACCATGCGCAGGCAAACGAGCATGAAATGTCTGCATACTTCACCTCTCTCCGGCCACCTCTAGCCGAAAGGGACACCAACATCCAATCCCATCAACACCTCTCCGACCATCGCACAATCGTTCCGGCAAACGAGCACAAGAAGATAAGATCAGCCAGTATTGAGACTCCTATACCCACCGTAGAGTTACCAGAGAAGCCATATCTGGGGTTCGGGGGCAGAGGTGCCCGACACGAGAGCAGCTACCTGTCCTGGTCGGAGACTGACCGGCTAACCACTCAATCACCCGACTTTCGGCGAGCCCTGACAACTATAGATATTGGTCAATTAGAATCCGCGCATCGTAAGCAAAACGATATCAATGCTACAGCCAAAGCGCCCTTTCAGCGACCTACAAACTTCAAGTCACCCAGCCATCGCACTGTTGACAGGAACAGTCGGCCGAGGGCGTCTTCGTCTCTCCCCGCCAGCTTTTCTACGCATCGTCCACCTTCTCGTGGAAAGTTCCGGCGTCCACAGTCAGATCCTCAGAACCGGACACGAGTGTCAAGACAGGATGCGGAAGTGCTGGATACCTCCCCAGAAGTGGCTGCTGCTTCACCTCGCAAAGAGTGGAAAAGGGTGACACATCGACATCCGGTAACGGAGAGTTACTCAGACTCGAAGCCATCTGTTGATGAAGCTCGCGAAACAAGTCGAGATCAGCAAGGAGAAATAGAACCGGATACTGATGGGCCAGATCCTGTCATAAAGACTGACACAGATCCAGACACGTCTTCCACTTTTGGGAAACTGCTTCGAGAGTGCGAATCGGCTGCTGCACAGAAAGATGCTTGGCCGGATCAACAACAGCATGCTGACAGACGGCCTGCAGTCCAGTTCGCCTTTGCTAACGATGGCAGCGAGAGAGGTGAAAATTCACTCCATGAGACACAGCAATTGCAGGTCACACCACCGGTACATTTTACCTCACAAATCCGCCCGAACTTTGACCAAGATTTTCCTAACCTTTTCGACGAGCAATTGCAACTCGACCAGCAGGACCACCAGTGGGACATGTACTCGGAGGATGCAGACATGGAAGAAATTCACTTGATGCTGAGGGCGGACCGTCAGATGGAAAACTATGACGACGGACTGTCGTACTTACCGAACGGGATTTCGTCAACCCGACTTGGGCGTTCTGAGCCAAGTGGTGGTCTAGAACTGGAGGCTGGTGGTGGAAACCAGCAACATCCACCACAGGCAGAGGAGGGAATCTTTGCGAGCTTTTGGCGTCCGCATAAACTGTATTGACGTGAGGTTTGTGTCATGGACCAGGCCATGTTGTCTACAAATAGCCCCCTTTAGCAACTTTATATAAGCGAAACCTTCGGGATCCATTCGTCCATACAGCAGTTCACCATAACCCTCGGCATGAAAGTTGAGCTCCGCATCCCGCACCTTTTCTTATCCGTCGATCACGTAATTCGTGCTGTATGAATCTAGGACGCCCATTGAGGCTCAGCGCTGCCGTGAGAGCTGAAGTAATAAAGCCCCAGTACTTGGCCGTCTCATGCAGACTGCCAACCGTGACGTTTGCTACGCTGGCCACGCATAAACAACCCTCCGCCCGGTACCCCACCACGGCCACTCCCGCCTCACTCGACAAAATTCAGTCCCGGACGAGACAGCTAGCAGGGCACATCCAACCTTCGCGAACCGCAGCAACCATGGCTTCTTCAGCTCGCTCTCCCTACACCGCGCGTAAGGTCGGCGCCGCCAACACCCTCGAGCACCGCGTCTTCATCGAGAAGGATGGCGTCCCCGTCTCGCCCTTCCACGATATCCCTCTGTATGCCAACGAGCAGCAGACCATCCTCAACATGGTTGTGGAGGTGCCTCGCTGGACGAATGCAAAGATGGAGGTACGACACCTACGTGCTTTTGACTGACTCCTACAGTGATATACAGAAGCTGACTCTACCCCGCCTCACAGATTTGCAAGGAGGAGCCTCTCAACCCCATCAAGCAGGATATCAAGAAGGGCAAGCTCCGCTTCGTGAGAAACTGCTTCCCGCACAAGGGCTACCTCTGGAACTACGGGGCCTTCCCCCAGGTACGCATCCCCTCCATACCCCTCACCGCTTACCATCGAATACCAATTGACGAGGCACGCAGACCTGGGAAGACCCCAATGTTGTTCACCCAGAGACCAAAGCCAAGGGCGACAACGACCCGCTCGACGTGTGCGAGATCGGCGAGCTGGTGGCCAAGCCCGGCGACGTCAAGCAGGTCAAGGTGCTCGGCGTCATGGCGCTGCTCGACGAGGAGGAGACGGACTGGAAGATCATCGTCATCGACGTGAATGACCCGCTGGCTCCCAAGCTCAACGACATCGAAGACGTCGAAAGGCACCTGCCCGGTCTGCTGCGGGCGACCAACGAGTGGTTCCGCATCTACAAGATCCCGGACGGCAAGCCGGAGAACCAATTTGCGTTCTCGGGCGAGTGCAAGAACAAGAAGTGAGTTGGCTGGTGTGTTTGCTGGGAAATTCGGACTAATGGGTGTAGGTACGCTACGGATATTGTCCGCGAGTGTGCGGAGGCGTGGGAGAGGTTGATCACGGGCAAGACTGCGAAGGGAGGCCTGTCTCTGTAAGTGGCACAATTGCACACACGCTCTAGACTGTATACTGATGTATATCACAGCGCCAACGTCTCGGTCCAACACTCCGTTGACCGCGTTGACCCCTCTTCTCTCAGCATCCCGCGGGGCGAGAACCTGGCACCCGCCCCTATCGACCCCAGCATCGACAAGTGGTTCTTCATCTCCGGCGCTCCCTCCTCTTAAATACAAATCACAGGATTATTATTGGGAATGGCATACAACGGACCCAGAATGCGTGACATCGTTGAATTGACGCACGTTGCTAGAGAGAGAGAGCGAGAGAAAAAGCGGGGGTAGGGGAGTATCAATACGCAGATCTAGGAGTACAACACAAACACACATGCCCTCGACGGTGGCATAATAGATGAAAAGCACGTGTCCAAAGCTATGCTGTGGTTCCGAACTCCTGTGATGCCTCCACCCGCCCTGTGACTCTTCCACACATCTACCATGCCTATTCCACATATATTTGTACAGTGATTGTTGATTGCACAAGGGTGGGTTGATCGATCATCCACTCAACTCCTCCTTCCGCGCCAGTATCCTCGAATGCCGATCCACCTCCGCCATCACCTCGGTCGAGCGCATCGTCGCCAGATCCAACTTCAGCTTTTTCCCGTCCTCTGCGATTGAAACACACGGATTAGCCTGGTTGCTCGATTCAAACCCCCCCAATACCCCCTTGTCCTCGCCGCACCACCCAGGCGCCCCAGCGCATCCATCTCCTACATGTATCCACCAGCGTTTGTAGCAGGGGAAACATACTAAATTTCACAGCGAGCTCGGGCTTTTGCGTACTCGTCCGCGGCAGGATGGTGGATTTTATGACCATGCCCTGCGACCGCGCGTCGGGGGGCAGTTGGGCGAGGAAGGTGCGGGCCGTTTTGGAGAGCGGGGAGAAAGGGTTGAAGGAGGTGCGGACTTCGGAGAGGAAGCGGGTGATCATTGCGGCGGTCGAGGAGGCGGTGGTTAAGGTGGAGGAGGCTACGGCGGTGGAGGCGGAGTAGGGCGGTGGCTAAAAGAGTAGTTAGATCGGGGAATTGGATTGGGAAAGTTAGCGCTTACGGCGAGGAGCGGTGTAGAACGCAATTGGTGATGTCGGCGGTGGTTTTTATTAATTCATGGAGGTCTGCGGAGAGGATCGCGAGTTTCTCGGATGTCTTGGCGTTTATGGAGGGAGCCGTGGTACGAAGTAGAGTATACGTTTAATAATTTAGTAGTAGAGATATGTGTTAAATTCTTGCAGTGCAACAGACACTAGCTCTGGAGTCCGCATCTGCTGCATAACCACCACAGCACTTTCCTCGCCAGGCATAATTGTTTACGTACCCTTCCTATCATGCAGGCTCCCATGATATATCTCGATCATGACTACATGAACACGGCCGAGTCCAAAGTCTGCCCTTACAACCCTTCCAGCATCATCCAGATCGTCAGCCACCTTACGAAAACCTTTGAAAACCTTGTTCAGAGCCTCGAGAAATCCGCCGCTTGGATCTTCGGCGGTTGGTGTGCATTCCTCATCCTCCTCCTTGTGTACCCTTTCGTGCTCAAGCACGTCGGGGTCAAGCTAGACTCAAACCACGTACTCAACACGCTCGTGGACCTAAAACACGGCCACTCATCCACCCCTAGACCGGTGCCGCACAAGTCCCCGGCCTAAGTTACGCTGGTCCGTCTCGAGTAAGCTTGCGCCTCCCTCCTCGCATCATCCCGTGGAAGACGAGAAATTGTATCTTTGAGCCCCCTGTGCTGGCCAACGACCCTCCCCCGCAACGAACTTCGTACAACAATGACCCTCTTCCACGACCTCTCCACCCGCCTCTCTACTCGCCTCTCCGCCCTCTTCGACCAAAACAAAGCCGTCCTACAACTAATCCACAGGCTCTCGAAACTCAACTTCGGCACCACCAGCGACGACAACGGCGTCCGCCTAGAGCTCACAGCCGAGATCTCAGAAACCCTAAAGCAGCTCGAGCTCGAGCTCGACTCCGTCCATGTCGCCGTCGACGAGCTGAGCATAAACAATAGACATAGCGGTCGCGATTCGCGCCAACTAAGCCGCGACTCCGAGAAAGAGCGGGAGAAGACGCGGATAGCAGTGCAGGTCGCGAAGCTCACAGAAGACTTGCGGGGGCACGTTTCCTCGCCGCCGTACTCTAGCGGAACCGCCGTGCTAATGCGCCCCAGTACTCGCACGCAATTCGACAACGCCCAGCGCATCGCGAAGCGCAACGCCGAAGCCGCGAAGCGGAAGGAGCGCGAGCTGCTCTTCGCCGGCGCCCGCAGCGGGGCCAGCACGCCGACGTCGCTGTCATCGAGAAGGAGGGGCAAGGATATTTCGGCGGACGAGGTGCTCGTGAACGCGTCGAGCGACGTGACCAGTGCGTTGCGGCGGACGCACCAGTTGATGCAGTCGGAGCTGTCGCGGTCGAGATTCGCGCAGGAGACACTCGAGCAGAGCACGGCGGCTTTGGCGGATTTGGGTAGGTTTACGTCATGCGCATTCCTGCGATTTATCCCCGCTGGTTCTTTGATATGACGTATGGAAGCTAATTTTATGTGCAGGCGACCACTACACCTCCCTCGACGACTTGCTCTCCTCCTCCCGCAGCCTTCTCACCAACCTCGTCAAGTCTCAGAAGTCGGATACGTGGTATCTCGAAACTGCGTTCTATATCCTCGTCACTACTATTATCTGGCTGGTGTTTCGACGGTTCCTTTACGGTCCGCTTTGGTGGTTCCTCTACCTCCCTCTTAAGTACACCTACAAATTAGTTCTCGCTTTGCTTTCCGTTGCTGGCGTGACCGGCGGCACGGCTTCTACAACTTCCGTAGCGATCTCAGCGTCGCAGAGCGCGAGCCTGATCGTGAAACCAAGCGCAACAGGGAGACCACCGGCGAGGATGCCAGGACAGCAGCCGTATATGCGCGCTGGGGGCGGTGGGCAGGGCGCGAAGAGTGATCCGAGTGATGAGGGGAGTATGTCGCGGCAGGTTGGGCAAATGGCGGAATCTGCGCAGCAGCAAGAGGGACAGCAGGAGCAGCAACAGGGAGAAAAGGCAAAGGACGTACCGAGGAGAGGGGACGGTCAGCCGCTGGTGGAGTCGGATAAGCCGCGGAATCCGAAGAAGAGGATGTGGGACGAGGATGTGGAGAATGCGAAGAGGGAGGCGGAGGCGAGGGAGAAGGATGAGCTGTGAGGTAGGGGATTTGGGGGTAATGAGAGATGATGGGATGAATCGGATTATGTCTCTATGATGACGAAGGAAAAACACTGGAACTGAAGGTGTGACTGTTGATGAAGCTATACCAGAGCGTTTATCACGTTATATTACGCTGGGTTGTAGCTAGTTAACTACCTCCCGTTCCGACGCCATACATCAGTTCTATTTCAACCAGCGCAACCTTTAGTCGGACCGTTCTGCCCTTTTCTTACCACCGGCATTTTCTCGACCAGGTTGTCGTCGCCACACCTAACAGGATCAATCTAACGTCGCACCACCGGTATCAGTACCACCTCCTCCCTAGTTCCTCCTCTGCCGCTTCGCCCCATTTTCTATCGTCAAGTTGCCCTCGAAACTTCATGTTCCCTCCCTCGATCGTTTCCCCAGCTCAGCCACTCGGGTGCCCAAGTATTTCCCAGTCCCATTCTTCTCTACCATCTTCTGCCTCTCCTCTTGTAAACTCCTCTTGCTGATCTCCTCAATACCAGCCCTCCTCGCTAGCTCCATCCTCTCCGGCATCTCCCCGACTTTCTTCAGAAACTTCGCAAGGAGCCCGCACTCCGGAGCCCCAAACTCCCTCCAATACTCCCTCTCCATAACCCCATCCAAACCATAGCAATACCCCAGAAACGGATACGGCGCTCCCACATGCGCAACCGCCGCTACCATGCTCTCTCGAAGCTCGCCCACCACCTTCAAACGCTCACCTATAGCAATATCTATCAGGCGCTGAAAGAGTAGTGACTCCCAATCAATTGTTAGTCAACTCTTCCATGCTCGCAATGAAGTGATATAAAGAATTCAGGAGGTCTTGGGTATCATCCTAAACGCCATTTTCGCTCTATCCAAGCCTTGTGTGTACCGCCAAAAGGAGAAAACAAGATCGCACACGGCCTAGCATCCATTACAGGGGAGTTACCCATGAAGATGCCAGAGCCTAGACTTCCTCCACTGCGTTGCCAGCCTCGTCGACCGCCTCCTTCACTTCTTCTTCCTGGCTGGTATTCTCCTTGATGAGGACTTCGGTCATGACAGCATGAGTTCCTCCGTTCGCTTCGCGCCAGCGCACAGTGGAACTAGAAACCTTGCCAGCATTCGGCTGCATGTTGTACTGGTGGCAAGTGACTCCGTCCTTGACTACCTTGCCGTCGTAGTCGAAGCGAACGCCGACTTGCCCCATTTCTACAGGGCCCTTTGGCCAGGCGGTCAGACGGCGGTTGACGGTAGGGTTGGCTAGTCGCTTTCAGCCACCGCTGCTCACGACTTTGTCGCCGATTCCCTTGAGACCTTTCACTTTCGGGCTTCTGTTCTTCGATGCAAGGTTGCTTAGCGGACTTGACTACGGCGATAAAGGGGCCCCTGGTCCACTCATCGGGTCTGGGATAAGGTTGTTGGTAATCGAGAAAGTGTAGCAGATGTGGGCGATTTCGAAGAGGCAAAGCCGAGCTGTGCAAGCTTCGTTGAGTGCTTGATAGAGACACTTGCTGAGCAGAGCTGTGAGTGACATTGCCATTGTTAACAAATCGTAGGCGTCAGTTGTGCGTATTGGATCTTTACTGATACAGTTTGCCTCGCAGAGATCTTGAGGCTCTAAGATATCGTCTGGATCTGTGCTGTAGATACAGTTCAAGTAGCCTTAGGGAGAATTGGTTTAATGAAGTGTTGATAAGCTAAGTGACTTTGATCATAGGACGGTGATACCTGCCGCATTTATCGATATGCCGATAAGGGCTATGTAGTTGTTGGTATGATCAATAGTGCTTGAGCTCTCAGAAGATATCTTATACAGCTGACCGTCCGCATTGGTAGATAGTGAATGGTACAGGGTACAGCCAATCAGACGATGCGGTAGAAAGATATTCCGCCCTAGCCACGCGACTTCGCGCGTTGAAACGAATTGCAACGGCGAAGCCAAAACATGCTACTACGATAATGGTGAAGACAATGAAACGAGAACCCACCCGCGGACTGCCATGTCTTCCTCGACAGCTTTACTCACCTCGATGCTACGTCGCGGACTTAAGCTCCAACGGCTAGGACGCCACGCCACAAGAGCATCAACTAGCTTTTCTTCGTCATCAAGAAAACCCGTCAAGATGGATCGTGACTCGGAACTGTTCGAGTATACGTCAGGCAGATGGATGTGAGTTCAACTTACAGCACCTCGTCATAGATCAGCGTGCACTTTTTGCCACTGTGTGCTGTGCTTCAACGTGTTGACAGAAGTCTGGGGCAACATATCAAACTTCAAATGGGGCATACAGGAGTAGGTTATTGAATTGAGCACATGGACATATCACTATAAGGAGTAGTCCGGATAGTAATTAGCAAGTCCGCCAAGAGGTAGTTTGATTTCCGCTGCATTAGCCTTCACGTCGTGCCCAGAGTCTTGAATGCCTGTGGAGATACCATAAGCAGTGATAAGCTAATGGGTCTAGGATTTTGGCAGGTTGCTGTAGCTGAGGTAGTCTACCGTCTCGGCGACGGGCCCAAGTAGCAAATATTGCCCTTGACATACATATATATTTATATCAAAATGAGTTCTGAGACCCTTGTTTGTGGGACTGGTCATGCGCCAATGCAGGGGTTTTTAACTTCTCTGGATACTACGAGGGCCATGCATAAGACCGGATCGAATACTGTTGTGTGAATGGGGCGTACCATTCATGTAGGTGTCGACGTTGTCAGCAGTGGACGCCAGAGCCAAGCTTTTCGCGGAACGGAACAACTTCGCCGCCCGACACTCACGGCCCGTGCGCCGAGACAAGTTGCCGCGAAGTGAGAGGCATCCAGGACATCCAACTCACCCCCACGACAACCTCAACACCACTCTCGTCCACAAACACCTATTGCTGTGCTTACCTGCGCGATCGCACGCTCGCATAGCCCAGACACGCCCGCGCTCGACCGCCTCACTCGCCTCGCTGCGCCGCCCGTCAATCTGCGCAGTCAACCGCAGTCACCCAACCCATCGCGCCGCACTCTCCTGGCCCGCTCTTCAGCGGAGACACGATTCGCCTTTGGGGACGACGCTTGGAGATGAATAATAGCTCTCGGTCTGGTCTGTGGATTCGAGGCTAGCAGGCCCGTACGGCGCCATGCCTGAGGACACGGAGCCTGAGGTGCTCGCCGCCCGACCAGACTTAGGATTCACGGTCCTACACCAAAAGGTCCAGCTCGAGATAGACTTTGCGTCGAGGCTGATCAAGGGGAAATCTGAGCTCACTATTCAGCCTACCGTTAAAGACCTCCGGACGATACGACTGGACTGCCGACAACTGAAGACCACCCAGGTCACCGTTGAAGGCAGAACTGCTCCCTCGACCTACAGCGATCTGTATCAACGCCTCCACCTTTACATGACGACGGGGATATACCAGCATCACTTTCCCAAGTTACGGATCGACGCGCATAAAAATGGGAAGGAGAACGAACTCGTGATCACTCTACCGAAGGGTGTGAACGTTAAGACCTCACAAACGGATACCCGCGATGGCCCCGTGGATACTGGAATGGTGACACGCAATAGCGCCTTTGCAGATGTGGCCTTAGAGAACTCCTCAGCTGAGCCTTCTGGATTTGATAACCTGCAGGTGGTAGTTGAGTACTACATCGATGAATTTAGAGACGGGCTAGCATTTGTTGGAGTTCAGAATGGGGACGGCAAATACCCCCATCTTTTCACTCGGAACTCTCCTTATTCGGGCATCGCTTCTTGCTTGTTCCCGTGCTTGGACGACTCCTTGACGAGATGTACCTGGGACTTCTCCATTCGCTGCCCTCGCACTCTAGGAGACGCTTTGCGCAAACCTCGTGCCCTTACGAATGGCCTTGCCAACCATGATGATATTAGCAAAACCAACGGCACTGGACTGCCTAATAGAGTTCACAAGGTTGATAGTGTCATGGGCTCCGATGACGATGACTTTATGGGCCTTGACGAAGAGGAAAAGTTGCTCGAGATGGCTGTGATCTGCTCGGGCGATATGACAGATGAGGTAAGTTTTCATTGTTTAAGATTCAGATCTTGATCTAACATGAAAAGATCGTCGACGTACAAAGATCAAGCTGGAAGACTGTCTCCTTTAACTGCGAGACCCCAGTTTTACCTCAGCACATTGCTTTCGCAGTAGGACCCTTCGAGCATGTTGATCTGTCCGAATTTCGAGACAGTGACGTGGATGAGAGGCTGGGATCTAACGCTTCTAGAATACATGCCTTCTGCCTCCCAGGTCGAGCTGAGGAAGTGCTAAACAGCGCTGAGATGCTTGCACAGGCCGCAGACTTCTTCACTGAGAAGTTCCTGGCTTATCCCTTCACAAGTTACAAGGTGTGTTTTGTCGACGACTTGGCAACCGATGTCACGATTTCAGCTTCGATGTCAATCTGCAGCACTCGACTTCTCTACCCGAAGGAGGAACTAGATCCGATCAACTATGTCACGCGCATGTTGGTGTACGCTCTCGCCAGTCAATGGATTGGCGTCTACGTCATCCCACAGACCGCTAACGATTGGTGGATCATTGTTGGCGGAGCCTGGTTCATAACTGATCTATACTTGAGGGAGCTTTTTGGGAAGAACGATTACAAATACCGTCTAAAACTTATGGCGGACAAGATCGTGGCAACGGACGTAAAGCGACCTTCTATTCAGGATCTCGGACCTTACCTTGCTCTGGACCCCGGTGAAATGGAATTCATGGAACTTAAAGCCCCGTTGGTTCTGTCGATTCTTCATCAACGGCTCGTTAAGCAGAGTGGAAAGAACGGTGTTGATCGCTGCTTTTGGCGGATGCTTCTGAATGCCAAGGCCTCCAATTTACCCAACTCTGCAATATCTACCGAAGAGTTTTATCGCATATGCGAGAAAGTTGGTCACCAGCGACTGGACAAGTTCTTCACACAATGGGTAGAGGGTGGCGGGTGTCCCTCGTTTCACTGCACTGCCAAGTTTAACAAGAAGAAGATGCTCATCGAAATGCAAATTGACCAAATTCAAGGCACTTCGTTGGGTAACTTTGGCGACGACCAGCTTGTTTTAAACTCCTCAAACTTCATGAGAGAGGTCAAGGAAGACAAGCATCACGTTTACGCAGCAACAACGCAACATCATTTCACTGGGCCCATGACCATTCGTATTCACGAGGCCGATGGAACGCCATATGAGCATATTGTCGACATCCAGTCGCGGAAAACCAAAGTGGATATTCCATACAATACCAAGTACAAGCGCCTAAAGCGAAGTCGCCGGCAGAAAGAGCGAGCTGCAGCTGCACAAGGAATCGACATCACTGGAGATGCGCAGGATGACGTCCTCCTGTATTGCCTGGGCGATGTTCTCCAGAGCGGAGAGGAGGTTCGTGAGTGGAAGCTCTACGATTGGTCAAAGGACGAGGAAGATAAAATGAATCAAGAGTCTTACGAATGGTACCGGATTGATGCCGATTTCGAATGGATATGCAAGAGCTCCGTCAACATGCCTTCGTACATGTACGTCTCACAGTTGCAGCAGGACAAGGATATTGTCGCTCAGCTTGAATCTATCCAATGGCTTTCCTCGAAACCCGGTCATGAGCTACTGTCGAGCATTCTGGTGCGGACGTTGATGGATGGACGATATTTCCACGGTATCCGCACAATTGCAGCGGACGCGCTGGCAAATTGTGCGAGAGCAGAGATTCATTGGATCGGCTTGGATCATCTTGAGAAGGCCTTCAAGGTGTTGTTCTGTAGACCTGGGACTAACATCACACGCCCGAACGACTTCTCCGATCGTAGCTTATATCTCATCCGATGTGCGATCCCGAAAGCAATTGCGAGGATACGCGACACTAATGGGAAAGCGACGATGCGAGTGAAAACATTCATTTCCGACCTTTTGAAGTACAATGATAACGGGGACAATCCGTTCTCCGACAGTCACTATGTCGCTACTTTGATGTCGTGTCTGACCCAGACGCTGACAACTGCGACCCAAAGCAGCTGGGTTGACGATGACGATGATATCGACAACACGGATGAGATCGTATTTCAGCAGACCGCCCTTTCCGAGCTTGGCCGTCTGCAACGCAGCGACGAGTGGATATCGTCGTTCCAAAACGTCATCACAACTACCGCTCTCGAATGCTCTCTCACGCTGATGCAGAATAGAGTCATTCCGCGCAAACCCTTGGAATTCATGAAGTACACCAAGTTAGGGAATGCCGACAACGTGCGCTTGAAGGCGTGGAATTGTCTCGTAGAGTTGGGTATGATCAAGCAACCGGCGGTCTTGACTTTCATGATCTACAGCTTGCAATCAGACCCATCCCCTTACTTCAGGGAGCGACTTCTCCGTATCTTCGGTTACGCACTCGGCCAAATAGCTTTGGGAGAATTGAAGGATGACACGCAGGCTGATCAGAGCAATGACATCCTCCAGATCGATCAAGACGATGGTCCGACTGAACGCCAAGCCGATCTTGCACGAAAGACGAGTGTAAACGGGGCTCTTGCAGCGTTGAGCAAGGAGATATCCGAGGATAAGACCTTGAAGAAAGCGTTAGAAGAAGCACTTCGATCTCACACTACAAGCCTCAGAGATATGGAGGAGCTTTTGGAGATCTGCGGCCTTCTGTACGAGCCTGAGGACTCGCTTACCATCGCCCTGCGATACCCTCGTTATTGGAAGACTCAGCATAGGGGACGGGGCGTGATGAAGTTCTCTCAGACAGAGAGGATTCGTAGCAAGCCGATGCCGAAGCCAGCTTGGGCGAAGTCTACTCCTAAATCTGCCGGCCCTAGGCCTGCCATGCCGAAGCGCACCCTGACACTGACAATGGGGAACAAAGCTGCCATCGCGGCCCATGTTCAAGCGCAAGCTGTTGAGACACAGCCACCTCTTCCAAAAATACATCTCGTCACCAATGGCAATTCTGCACCAGCGGCCGAGCCTCCAGTGACGCCTCAAACCCTCGACGTCCGGCCCCCCATCCATCGATCGGCGTCTTCCTCTCAAACCTTGCCATCTCAGGCCTCCACTGCCATCTCACCTCCACCAGCACCGCCAGCGCCGGCTGCTCCTCTAAAGAAGATCAGGGCCCCTAAGTCCCGTATCGTCAAGTTCAAGGTACCACAACAGCAGGTGGCGACTATAATCTCACAGACACCGCGACCGGCCTCTTCGAAGCTCGCTCGCACCACCGCCGCAGCACCCTCTGCCGCTGCACACTCCATGCATGTGCTACCCGGGGCGGTGCAACATGACCACGCCTATATCAAGCGCCAATCTCCATCCCTAGCTGCAGCTGCGTCGCTGCTCTCGCCGGCTGCAAGCGGAAATGGCTCTGGTAGAAAGCGAAGCAGTGAGGACACGGAGAACGATCAGCGGCCGCTCAAGCGCCAAGCGAGCACGGAGTCTGTAGCGGCTGTTGCGAAAGCGACCTCACGGCCTTCGCTCAAGATCAAGCTCAAGGTGCACTGGCCTCCAGCTTCAGCGCCTTCAGCACCGCCGGCCCCGTAGTGAATTTCTACGCGGGAGGTCGGAACATTTCAACCTATCGAACGAGATTTTCTGGCGCATTAGCCAGCACGGAGCATTGGTTCTTTGCTCCACTTTTCATGTACAATCACAAAATTTCCCTTTTTTCGTTTCTCTTTTTCTTCTCACCTGTTGTTTTCTTGCTTTACTTTGCGCAACGAAAGACCCGAATTACTCTACTTCGGGCTTCAAAAGATCGAAAGACCGATCAATTTTCCTGCTTTTATCCTTTTGCATGCCTCGAGGTAGGCATATTTTTGAAGAGGCATTCACTCTTGCTGCATTGAGCGATGGCGTTGGCTGTTTTTAGTACCCTTGTGGGTCGGGCGGTAATCATGGTGCTTTCCGGTGGCGGTCTTCGGGTTGGGAATCCGGCGTTTCTTGTGCTACACGATATCCGATTGTGAGACCCTCGGGTGGATTGGGAGGGGCTGAGGTAGTGAGAAGAATGAGATTGATAATTTATGAGTGTGTTTTTTGTGGATGTGATGTGGGCGTGATGTGGTGATGACTTGGCAGTGACATTCTAACCTGGTGAGGGGATCCTTTCCCGAAACGTCGCCTCATCGTCCCTCCTGGCCTGCATCTCGCGAACCCCGACACCGCTATTTGACTTTCGGGTTCGAAGCTGTCCCCAAGTTCGCAAATCATCAGCATGAATAGGGGAGAGTCGTGAGAGCGGAGGAGCGGATCCCAGAGAAGACACTGGCTCACGGTGATGCTTCTTGGATGTTGGTCTGGCTGGGTGTTTGACTGTGTTTCTCTTCTTGAGTGGGCCGAGAATTTCGGGATCGGGTTTGGATCATCTCGAAAAGTGCATGGAGACTACACAAGCACCTAGTGATGTGCAATTTTTGTGATATGAGATTGCGGAAGGAAGGTTGGTTATAGGAAGAGATTTCTAATGGAAGTGGGTGAGGTGGCTACTCCAACTCGAAGTCTTAGGATCGAGAAACCTCTCCTACAAGGGCTACTTTAATCCCCTACCCAGGTCTGGTGGTTTCTCGGCGCAAGATCTGGGTTTCTTGGAGTCGGTTAATTTAAGCTATTGGATTGGATTGAGGAACTGGCTAAATAGAATGAGATTGGATGAAGGAATTGATTGAAATGCGAGGTTGTACGTGTACACGTACAGGTGCGTAGCTGAAAGCAGTGTGGATGCACTAATTCTGGCTAAGCACCTGTCCAGCCGTACATTGCACGAGTTATTGATTGATAAGTTGCAAAAAAGTAAGTATTTGCGTGAAAACTGCCAAATCATTAAGCGCAGCCCCCGAAAGTCCACTTACTTATCGTCAGGTGTAAATCTCGATCTTCGGACTGAATCGATTTGGTTTCGCAGCCAGCACTTGCGCTGGGCAGACCACTATCTGTTCCATGCCCTCGCCGTAGTCATCGCCTTGCTTTACAACAAGTGGGAAGAGGACAATCCTAACCACCGCTCCTTCCTGTTCCAGCTTCTCGTTGGAGCCCGTTTCCCCGGACCTTTCATTCATAAGACTTGCGTTGAACAAGACTTTCTTGACCAGATCTCCGTTGGCATCATACTCAGGTTGAAGTGGCGGGAGCATCGTGTACTCTGCTCTTTGCGTGCGCATCTCGATGGATAGAGAGATTGCCTGCTGGAGCATATACCGGAGAGATTCCTGAAGTTGGGCTGCGTGCGCTGACGGTGGTGGTAGGAGGGTCGATAAATTAAAATAGATGGCGTGCACCAAGGCTTTAGTGTCTTGATCGCACTGCTCTTGAAAAGCCCCGCGCTTGGCTAGAAAAGTAAGCGTGATCGCACGCCACTGCGCAACGGCGTGGGCAGGTGCTACGGAATTCCTCATTAGCTCAAGTCTAACCTCGGAAATATCAAACATTATTTACCCGTTTCTCGCAAGGTCTTCTCCAATGACTTCAACTTTTGCCTTTGTTCCCTATCCATACCAAACAGGAATCTTGTGAAGACATATTCCCAGATCATGGTGGTCACGATGGACATGAAGACGTCTCGTCGTTTCACACGATCAGCGAGCAGCACGTCTACATCCGAGCCATCAAGGATAGCATTGTCCAATCGATCCACAAGCTTTTCGTCTTGAATTTCGGCGGTCAACCGGCAGGGCCTTGTGTCAGACATCTTTGAGAAACGTAGTACCCATTGCTGCACACTAAAACAGAGCTGCTGGCAGGCACTCTCGAAATAGTCCTCGTCGCGTACCGTAAGGAAGCTGTCACCCGGTTTGGGCGCGAGGATTTGCCTCTGAAACGCCCTGTTTTGCTCTTTTGCAGCATCTAATTCATGCTGTAGGCGTTCAATTTCAGCGCGGTCACGTGCTTCAAAGCCCTCCTCTTTTTGGTAGGTAGCATTGTGCAGCAACTCTTCTGCACGTATCTTCGCTTCCTGGAGTTGGCGGTTTTCGCCTAGGAGAACTTTTACACGCGATTCGAGATCGATCATCTGCATGTTCCTCCCCAAACCCTCCTGTAGGATTTGCGCGTCAGCCATCAAATTCCATTGAAGACAGTAAGGGCGCATTAATCTAAACTCACAGCATCATCGCGTATGTCCGTGCCTTTCTCTATCGCAGGGTCAGAGGTGGAAGGGCCTACTACGACGTGTTCAGAGTGTGAATATGATAATCGTATATATGGACGCCGTACCTTTTTCACGTTTTGGTGCGTTTTCATGCTCAGAGAAGGCCGCTGGTGGCCGGGTGGGCGAACTATCCTTTAGAGACTCTCTGATCTCTCTGTGAAGCCTTTTCAGCGCCTTCTTACGTCCTTCTCCGTAGATGAGAGGGATATGGATATCGAAGATGCCCAATAGAGAATATGCTGCGTCCTCTTCGCGTTTCGTCTCGCGGCCGTTTGCCCATGACATTCGCTCATTGACGCTGAAATGAGATAAATGGTTTCCCTGAAGAGCTTGAAGAGAAATCCCTGTGACATCGTGGATCTCTTGTAGAAGTGAAATCCTATTTCCAAGGTGTTCGCCCTCCGCCGAAAAGAACTCGATAGATGTGGGAGCGAGAAGTTCTTGGAGTGTCCACCCCCGAGTAAACCATCTGCTGTCCTGAAAGGTTGGCATCCATTTTTGCTGAGAGGACAGATCGCTTTCGATAGAGCTACTGACGGAAACATCCGATAGATATACGTAGCATTTATCCGCCTTTTGGTACCAGTAGAACATGGAGTTAATGGCCTCCTGCAGCTCCGCGCTGCTTGATTTATTAATACAACAAGTGTCCACCCATATGTACTGGAGGTTGTCCTTGGCTGCTTGCTTTCCGCAAAATTGGATCTTCGCGTAACCAGCTTTACTCTTGCCTGTGCCTTTTACTATCTCTTTATAGGTAACCTCTTCCTGATCGGGTCCCCATGTATGTGAAAGAACAGCATATCGCGGAATGTTCTTGCCAACCACTTCAACAAGGCTGAAGTCTTCAAGCCGTAAAAGCCGCATGAGGGAGAATTGTTAGACAGCTCTAGTTAAATCATAGAATAATAGATTTATCAAGACTTGCACGGGTTGGGCAGTCTAAGAACTGCGACTGTGCTGGCCCTTAGATTCATGGAAGAACACTCATACGAGCGAGTTGGGGATGAGATAGCGGGGCAATTGGCAATGCAAAACTGCAGAGCCGCAAAGACTTCACATCACGTGGTGGCCTAAGCGTACCCATACTCTACTGTGATAAACAATAAGTGATATTAAATGTCAGCACCGCTAGTAGAGAAGATGGCCGAGCCGCTCTCGCCTTGCAAGCTTAAAAAATAATGAGAGAAATATGAGGCAAATCACGTGCCTTAAGTGGTGACGCTTTTACTACTGGGTGCTAAGGCTTTTATGAGGGCTCCTACCAGAAACATCGCCCGCATCGTCCCTCCTCCCGACCTGCGTCTAAGCCGCCGGCCCATCTGACACTGGAAAGATCAGTGCAGCACGGAAACTCCACAGTGGTGACATTTAAGGCGTACACAGTGGACAGCAAGACAAAAGAGACATTTACTACGAAGAAGGAGTGGACAAAAGTCCTAGGCAGCTCAGCAGCAGTTGCAGTACCAATGGCCCTGGTAGAAATTCATGGGGTTCCTGCATTAGCGGACCTAGGGAGCAGCACAGTAGGCAAGGACCTAGCCGTAGCAAACGAAACATACGCACTAGGACTGACTCCGTATGGTTGGTAGATTGTCATGGAAGAGACATGCGGCCGCCCTCGACTCGCAGAAGATGTTGAAAGTCAACACGTGTGCTAGGACATGGACGTCAGGACGTGGGCTTGACAAGCGCCAGCACTATACTTAGCGTTGGAACGATGCCCAAGCACGTGCCAAGGTACCGCGTCGATCGGGAGCCCCTCGCTCTTTTTGGACTGCCGTCAGGGGCTCCCAGCCAGCTACGTACAGTACCTCCAGGCCCGTCAGCGCGGAACGGCACGAAAAAGTCTTTGTCTGCGAGCTGCCGCCACAGCTTAGCAGTGCTTAGCTACGCCACTTCCCTAAGCTCAAGGAGAATGGGAACGTTTAAAACAATTATCTAACATAACTTGCGAAGCTTTTAGCACTCCTTTTATATCTCTTTAGCCGCCTTGTTAATACCGCTCTTCCTACTATTATCCTTCTTTATGCCCTTTCTAACTATTATAACCTCCTTCAATCCCCCCCTTAAATACCTCCTGAAATCCCTTCTTAAATATACCGCCATTGCACGACCTTTCTACGCTCCAAGTCCGTTCCGTGCCGCAATTGGGCCACCCTGCTTCGCGACAACTACGAGAGCTTGTCACATCGCGACGGCCGAGTTCACTGATCTTCAGCCAGACGGCGCAGTTGTCACAAAAGAAGTCTTCATCCGAGTTGGCGACCCTGGAGAAGCCTATGTATTAATTCCTACAGAAGTTGGCTATGCTCTGAAGGCTGGCAGCTGCCTCGCCAGCAGCTCATCGGCTCTCCCTAAGCGCCCGGACAGGTTTCCGTTAAGCTACTTTCACAATACCCAACACTTCGCCCTTGGTGACTGTCCGCTATCTACTGTCTAGTTGCTAATCTTCTAATTTTAAGACTCGTCCCCCGGCTGCCCCCGCCTAGTTATCCCTCAACAGCTTCCCCACCAGTCTACTGCGAATACGAGTCCGGCAACATTATATCTCTACGGCGTGATGCATACAATCGCTTTGGATGGAACTCCAGATGGTACTTTCCTAAGCCTTTATACTCTTGTTTGGTGCATGCTAACAGAAGGTAGCAGAATTTGCCCATCTTGCTAGTACTATACTAGAGGAGATTGGAGATGCGCTTAATCAGTTAAAGGATATGTAATTGTTAAGGGATAGGGATAGTCACTAAAGTGCTGGGTATGAATACTGGGATATGCTTGTATCTCTATTGTATACTCCCCTCGCCATAACATGAAAGAGAGTCTCAATTTGAAGAATCCACCTAAATAACGTCCTAATCAACAAAAACGAGAGTTCCATCAACAATTGAAATCCCCATCAGCAAGGAAACCCCCAACATATTCCAACGCTCAATACTCTGTAGCCTCGTTTCTATACGTCATAATTTCAGAGGTCCACTCTTCAATCGCGGTAGCCATCTACTGATAGAATTGACCTAGTTGCTCGGCCGTCCACGCGTTGGTACGTACCGCAATATAGGCGTTTACCAGTGTTATGTTTACTATATTAGGCTGGAAGGGCACTAATTGGAGTTTGTACCTGTTAATCTTTAAGAATATATCTGCCGCCAGAAGTGCTGTACATTTGTTGCTATCTTAGAAGGCGTGGGTTTTTATAATTCTTTCGGAGAGGCTTGCTGCAAGCTAGAACATGTTCTATTGTACTTAATACTTATAGGCGACTGCACTGCTAATTCTAATATAGACGGCTGAGTGGGCTGGGCATTTATAATTATTGTGGTGTGAAGACGTATAACCTGAGCGGAGGTTAGGAAGCAAAACTTCACGATGTTAGAGGCCATTACGGCAACAGTTTGCTGGCTTAGGTGTTAGGTCAACGAGCGGTCCCGTGCCAATTTCTTTGTGCGTCGGCATGCGGCACAGTCGTTAACATCGAGCTTCAATCATGATCTGCTCTACTTGAAGGCTCACAGCGCACTCACTCGCCTCGAAAGTAAAGAAAGGAGCTAGATTTCAGTCTAGCTGTCTCGGACCTCGAAGCGCGTGTCGGACTTCGAACCGCGCGGACAAAGACGTGCTCCCAGGTTTCAGAGCCACTCGGGTTCTGTGAATCCACTGGTGCCAAACATCGAGCGTGCCGGCTGCTGCGTAGCTGTCAGCCTAGTTGGCGGCTAATTCAAGCCGAAGAAATAATTCGAAACTGTGTCAAACTGTTGGACTTCTTAATAGAACAATAAGAAGACTAGATTCTAACGAGCGCCAGTTAACGAGTTTCATAGTCTAAGAATACGGGTTACTCCTAGATTTAGAGTATATGACAAGGGCCCTTAGTACGTACTGTATCACTAAAGCGGTGTCATCAGCGGATCGGACAGAAAAATACCCGTTTTTAAGGGGCGGCAATTGATTCACGCAAGGTCCAAGAGCTCGAAGTATTACGAAACTACTAGTACTGGAAATAAAAGTAAAGCAGTAGAAGAGCAGAGCTCCCGCAAGTATGAACCCGTGAAGTTGAGGTTCTTAACACTGCCGCACGGAGAACTCCTGGAAACCGAAAATGCCTAATAAGCCCAGAACCTCTAAGGCTTTTTATTGGGATTCCAAACTATTATCGTGAGAGAAGGCGCGCGCGTATAATGGCGCAATGTCTTGTAACTCTCTTTTAGAAATCCACTATCACCTAATTGGTAGTGACTCAATTACCTTAGAAGATAGACAAGTAGGACCAGTGGTGTCGAGGGTGAACGGTTTAGAGCCAAAGCACCCACAGACAACGCACATCGCAGCTTACTCGCTGATCTTTAGACTCTGCGAAGGAACACCGAACAACTGGATTCACGAACTACGTAGATACTTCTCTTGTCTTAACTCTACTTTCTTAAAGTCACTAAACATGATTATTGCTGATCGAATTCGTATATATAACCTACCCACTTACAACATTGTATTATTAATTCATATTTCTAGAAAACATTAACTACCACCTTTAAGTTTACCTCCTACCTATACCAACTCTGCTCCTTTATAGTAGAGTCCCTAATATTAGTTAATCTTGTATCTCTGCTAACTTTTATATAACACTGTGTCTTACTGGCTGTATATCTAATTCGCCCGGTATCCCAAACATTTTTACAGTAAAAATATAAGAGACAAACAACACAGCTTTAATAATCTCTGAGATACGTGTAAGCTAAGTTACTTCGGTAATATGCCATTACTCTTGCCTAATTTAATACACTAACGCTCTATAGGTCTCTGCACTCAGGTTGAAATTGATGTGAACTCTGATTTCTATAGACGTCTAGACTCAGGTTGAAAATTGATGTGAACTCTGTCTTATTTCGGGGGCCCGAAGGCCAAACTATATACTACGTAGGAAGTGACTGTATGCATAGGCAGAAGCACTAATTGGAGGCAGCAGTAGGCAGCATTAGGCAGGGTAGGCCACCGTACCCCAACCCCTCTCTGTAGAAGTTGTAACTGGCTAGGCATGTAGGCAGCTACTATGCCAGCAACTCCAAGTCTGTACGTAGGTGACCGTGAACCGTA